GGAGGGTGAGGTTGGAACGGGGGTGGAGAAGGAACCTCTTTCTCACCATAGAGATGGGCGCGACCGAACACTCTTCCTCCACCGACCATGGCCAAACTGAAGATCCCATGCTCTGGACGAGCCACACCTTGATCTTTATCTCCGACAGGTTCGCCGACTGCCCGTTTCAGTTCGCTTCCAAACACACCCGGGTAGGCGCACTTGGACCCGTCGCCGCCGTTGCGACCCTCCTGCAGCGCGGCAACGTTGGTCTTCTCTTCCAGCCAGTCCCAGCGTGGCTTGGCAGTTCCTATGGCGTCCTGCCAAGCTGTCTCATGGACAGCGTACGAAGGGCCCTTAGTAGAGTCGTAAAGGGCCTTAGGGAGATAATCGGAGCTCGTGTACAGATCAAGTCCGCTGTCGACGTGTCAGTTTCGATCTTCAATCATTTTCCCCCTTGCCCTCCAATAGAAGTTGAGACATAGAATGACTAGTGACTGCGTAGTGAGGAGCGTCAGGGGGGTTGAGGTATTACTCACAATAACAGAATGTACGCGCGGAGGGGCTCGTTGCCGACGAGCGAGGCCGAGATGGTATTGTTGGCAAAGACGTCTGGCCCGATCTCTTGGAAGATATGGATTGAACACAAGCAGCGCATAACCCGAGCTGGAAGGCAAGGCGGAATGACACAGGCCGATTTGTTAGCGTACCTAGAGTTTAATTTGCTCGGGTGCTTAACCGAGCCCCAATGCCAGTGGCGTTCTCCTAAGTGCTTCATAGGCCCCATAGGCTACAGTGCCACAATCGTGGAGAAAGGGAGTGGTAATGGCTTACAGAGCTTCCGTGGCTCGATTCCGATCTCAGAAGCGAGAATCTTGACGGAAACACCCTCGCTGCCAGATCGAGCAAGGATGTCGGGAATTCGAGCATCGGCAGCGATGTGCAAGGCACGAGCCTCAAAGTATTGAGACGATACCTCGAGCACACGATTGGCCGGCTCGCTAACGAGTTCCGTAAGAGATCCCACTGCCGCGAGCAGGGTTCGCTGGGCTTCGAACACCCGCCATTCGGGAAGATCCGTGGCCGTCGATCCTGCGGTGCCGTTGCCAAGGGGAGGGGTCGGCTTTTCTTGGCGTGCGGCCACCAGCCGTGCAATGGCAGACTGGATCAGCTCACCGAGCTGCAGGAGCTCAGAACAGTCAAGGTCGGACGATCGTTCCATTGTGAGAATAATGTCGATTTGGTAATAGATAGGGCTAACCAATTGCGTGAAGAGATGTGTGCCTGTATGTGTGTGTATGCGAGCGGAGTGACTAGTATGCAAAAGCGAAGAAGGGGGGCGTTGTCAATTCGTTGGTATGATGCCAGTGCGCCGAGCCGTATCTTGCCAGGGGGGGGGGGGGGAGGGAAAACAACGTCAGTGGAAACCCGCTGAGCATGAAATAGGCACGGCCCATTGACGTATGCAGACTTAAGTCCTATCGCGAACGGTGTTATCGCCGTTGAACCCCAGTCCAGGGGCCGCGGGACCCGAGTATAAGTTCCGTGCGGGCCTCTTGGACCGTCCAGGACCAGACACCAGAACCTGGGGCCAGAACTTCGGGCCAGGGAAATGCCAGCACTGGGAAACAGCGTAGACCAAGTCCCACTGCCAATAAGAGACACTACATGAACTGTGCATTATGGGTGGCAATGATGCACCCGTCGAATTGCAAGAACGTGTAGAGAAAGAAGAAGATCTGTTTGTGTCCAACTCGTTACTAGAGTTCTTAACCAAATCCGCTGTGCACTGTCCAGTTGTCCAGTGTCCACCCGTCAGTGCGCTGCCCACTGCCCGCTGCCCACTGCACTGCCATCACTAATCCCCACCCACCCCCCCTATTCTTCGTTCCACTCGAGAGTTACCGACAAGCCATGACCCCTGTTGTGCTGATCTTATCCGCTTTTAGCAACTCACCCCATAATGGCCACCAAGTTACCTGGGTACACGTGGGAGAACGGCTTCCGCCAACCGAGCTCGGATGCCACGCCTTGGGTGTGGCCACAGGGGCAGGAGATGACTGACGCCGATGATTACGTTACGCCGCCCGATGTTGAGTTGGTCTCATCCCCGAGCCATAATTCGCTCGGCATCAACGTCGTCCGCAACTGGCCTACCTTGTATGACGGGACGAACAGTCCCCACGGCGTCCCCTCTTGGTGGGCTCCCGAGAAGGCCGTCGACGTGCTCATCTGTGGAGGTGAGGAAAATCATGGACGGCGATCATCTCATTAACAAGTTCAGAACAAAACACTGACACAGAAGTATTATGTATAGCCGGCCCAAGTGGCCTTGAAGTCGCCGTCAGTCTCGCGAGACAGGGCGTGTCGTTTCGAATCATTGGTAAATCACTTTCGCTCTCCTGTGCTAGGATAGTCAATCTCGCGCGACCGGAGAAGATCCAGTGTCCGGCTTGTTCAAACTTCATAGCGCGGTGTCCCGGAAATTCGGAAGCTAACACTTTTCGGAAACACCAGACAAGGCCGACGGGCCACTCACGGCGGGACGCGCAGATGGAGTCCAACCCAGATTCCTGGAAACCGTCGCCCTATGGGGACTAGCCAGCGAAATCCATGAGGAAGGGCCCTTGATTGAGAGAACGGCCCTTTATAAGGATGGGAAAAAACTTCTTTTCAATCGTTCTCATCAGTCTGACTCGCGGTACCGCGGCTTGCACATCATCACCCAGGGCCAGATTGAGCGCATCTATATTCGGGACTTGGCTCGCCAGAAGGTCTTGGTCGAACGGAGCAGCATCGTTAGCGATTTCAAAGTCGACGAGACGAGCGGAGACGCGACGCATCCCGTGTGCGCTACGGTTCGGAACAATCGTACGGGCGAAGAAGAGGTCATCAGAGCCAAGTTCCTCGTTGGCAGCGATGGAGCGGCCAGCAGCATTCGAAAATCGCTCAAAGTCCCCTTTGATGGAGTCAGCACCGATATTTACTGGGGTATTATGGACTGCATCTTCGAGACCGACTACCCCCATGCCTGGGTCTTTGGGTAAGTTATTATACGAGGATCCGAAGACGAGACTCCGCGCGACTCCCTGCCTCTGAGACGTTACTTGCATTAAGAAGTTTCTGTACTAAAAACGGGCCTCTTCGACCAGATCGGTTATCAGCTCGAAGCACGGCGGTTGCGTTATTATTCCCCGTGAAGACGGATACATTCGGTACGGTCCACACTCCCCTTAGGACAGTCCTCGGAAACGATTGAGATGAAAGGAGATTGAATTGACAAATCTTCCAGCCTGTACACTCAGCTGGACGTTTCCCAGACCGGTCACATTGCTACTTCGAGGCAGGCGAGTGACCCGACTTTTGCAGAATCTGGAGGCAATGTGGACGTCCACTCCATCACACCAGAGGAGGTCCTCGAGCAGGCCAATCGCATCTTTGCTCCCTACAAGCTCAAGTTCGGGGCACCCCTGAGCTGGTTTGCCATCTGGAAGAGTACGTCCCCCTCGGTTTTCTACACACAAACCTTTTGTGAAATATGAAAGTTCCGATCTAACGCAAACGTAATCGGTAGTTTCGGAGAGAGTGGCCCGGTCGTACTCTTCTCCCGATATGCGAGTTCACCTTGTGGGAGATGCTGCGTTCGTCAACCCAACCACCCCCCCCCCCCCAACCACCCCCCCCCACCCAACATTCCCCCCCTTAATGGCGAGGTCTTTCTAACTCAAGCCACGATTCAGACACGTCCATAGCGTCATGGGAGCTTTCGGGCTAAACGCTTCTATTCTGGATGCTGCAAATCTCGCATGGAAGATAGGCCTTGCCGCCAAAGATCGTGCTGACATTGCTGCCCTCTTGCCCACCTATGAGACCGAACGGCGCAAGCATGCTGTGCGGATTATCGAGGTTTCTGGGACCTATTTGCGCTTCATTTGCGGATCTACTCTGCCCCTTCCCGACTTCAGAAACATTTCATCTCTCGAAGCGGACGACAGAAAGAGAGCTGCCGCTGTTGCCGCTTCCAATGGTGCGAATGAACATACTGACACGGTCTCCCTGAAGAGGGAGTACGACCAGCCTAACCCCAACGGAGCGCACGGTGTCAACGGAGATGATGAGACCGCTCCTAAGAAGGATCTTGAGTTCCTCGCCAGCTTCTTCAAGGCCCACGGCCAGTTTCTCCTAGGAGTCGACTGCCGATATGATGAATCTGTCATCGCCCCTCCGGTGGAAGCCGCAAGCGGGAAGCCCCCGGCCATTGCAGTGAAGAACGGAGTTCGAGCCCCTAACCCTCGGGTCTGTTTCTCTGACAAGGAAACGGGTTACCTCTATGACAAGTTTGCGGGCGCTCCGCGCTTCCAGCTCGTGTTATTCGCCTCCACGTTAGCCGGCACCGAGGTACGCCGGCAGGTAAATGCTTTCTTGGCCAACCTGGCGGAGCCGAAGGGCTTCTATATGAGGCTGGGTGGGGAAGAGCGGTTCAATGTCGTGCTTGTCGTTAAGAGGCTCCCCTTCGAGTGGGAGAGCAGCTCTGATTGGGGCCAGTCGGCCATCAAAGCGGCTCTGCCGAAGGGGGCCACGGTCGTGTACGATGACAGGGCGCCTGATGAGGATGCCCACACTACGTGGGGGGTTAATCATTCTACCGGTGGGCTTGCCGTCGTCAGGCCTGACTTGTGGGTCTCTATCACAGCATTCCCGGCTGATACGGATCGAGTCGCGCAATACTTTGACGCCTTCCTGAAGTAGATAGATGCCATCTAGTAGCCACTGAGTGCTTGAAATACAACGGCAGAACAAGATGTACCTTATAAAGTAGACTGCACTGTAACTAATGTGACCCTGGTATGTGTGGTCTTGATATGCTCACGGCACGGCGTTAGACGTCCTAGTTACATGATAGTCATATCACTGCGCATGGTGTTGGTGGGACAAAGTAACACACACCTCTCACTTACTATACTACTTCACCCCCTGCTTCTGTTTACAACGTAAAGCCTCAACCCCCAGGCTGAATAGCGTTTATTCCTCAGCATCTCACGCTCATATTCCATGTGAGACTTTTGCTTTCCAGTGAGGTTTACTTCATACAACCGAACAGGCGCTGAAGGTTCATTCTCGGTTCAGGGATAAGGTCTGGTACTAAAGTGTGAGGCTATTAACAATATGCTAGTCTTTGCTTGATGAGATTTGTATGACTTCCATCCCGTGACAGATTACTTTCCATGGACTTGATAGTTACATATCTCGAGTTTGAGAAGTGAAAGAGGATAGTCTCGAAAACAGACAACTTGGACAGCTATGTTTCCATCAAGACTTAGATGTGAGAGTCCAAGAAATCCTGAACATCGCGGTACAGGTTGGGAGCAGCATGATGGTACATGAGTGCATGGCCGGTGTTCTCGTAGACCTTGACAACGTGATCGTTGGCCTGGGGGAAACGGTCATACACGGCGTATGGCTGGCTGCCGCAGGTCTTCCGGCAGAACGTGGTGTCCTGCTGGCCGATGCCAAGGAACACAGGACCCGAGAACTCCTTAGCGGTAACCAAGTGGTAAGTGAAGGAGATAGCCATGCCAAGAGTATCCATGTCGCGAGTCTCGAAATCCATCTCCAAGGCTCCTTCGTCGAACTCGCCCCAGAAACAGGCCACTTCTCGGGCCTCGATACTAGGGTGAGTTTGGTAGAAATCCGGGAGGTAGCCCCATCTTTCAGGGTCAATAACACCGGCGTCCGTCTGCATTCCGGAGAGGAAGGCAGGGTAAACCCAGAGAAGGTCCCACGTAACACCAAGGAGCACGATTATATCCGCGTCGTCAGGGTACCTGTCCGCAATGCTATTAGCGACGATAGAGCCGACAGAGAAACCCGCCATAGCAATTTTGTCGTAAGTCCGTCCCATAAAGCCCTCGGCGCGAATGGTCTGGATGAAGTTATGGATAGTCTGAACGAATGTTTCAGTGTGCACCTCGAAAAGACCATCAGGCTTGGAACTGTTGCCAACCCCTGTAAGAACAAGTGTCAGTGATGCGCATATGACGGAGTTTACAAGTCGGACATAGATCAGGGAGTAAGAAGGAGACGGGAGTGGTGGGTGGGTGGGCGTCGAGGACCTGGCGAGACGAACCAATGAAATCAACGGCCAGAGTCGTGTAACCAGCATTGGTCATGAACCGCGTCCAGCTGTAAGTCTCCGGCTTGTAGGGGAAATCCCACATGATTTTACTAAAAGTTGCACCGTGCAGTAGAAGTTGGAGGGTGTCTTTGCGCTCAATGCCGGCAGCAGGCTCGCAGAGACGAACCGACATATCATAGTCGGCTTCCACAAGCACCTGTCTCCCGGCAAAAGCAAACAGGGACTTGATGTTGTAGTTCTCGAGGGAGAACTCGCCAGGAGCCGTCTTGTCAACGTGAATCGGGACAGTGAACTCCTCGCAAACCGGCAACGCGGTTTGGTTGCATGGCGAGGTTCCGTTCACGGCTCTCCCGACTCTCTCTAAAGTTGGAATGACATTAGAATACGACTGGAAAAGCGAGCCACAGCGGGTTTGCACGTACGATATTGGCTGTCTTCTACGGCTCTCGCCTGGGAGACTTGTGGCCAAGCCAGCAGTTGAACTGCCAAACTGGGAAGGAGAGCTCGAAGATGCATTTTGACAGGAGAACACGTGCACTGAACCGTTCAGAGAGGGGGGGGGTTAACTTGCTGCGTGGCTTGAGCTGTGCCGATGCGACGATAGTAGCTCTAAATTGGCGCTCGGTTGATGACCTTATGAGGTATGTGGCAACCCCTGCAGCAGGACCGGGCGGCGTTCGGGACCGGAGTACGGTACCGAGGTAGGAGAACAGAGCAGGGTGGGGTGCCGAGCTTACGGTTCAGGCCACGACCGAATCCTACGAGGGAATCCATATCCAATGGGACCTGCAGCGCGTTCGAAAGTAAAAGGAGAGACCAATATTCCTGGGTCCCGCGACATTGACATGATAGTGCAGCATCAAATCGACCATTCGGCGTCGGCTCCCCGGAGGTTTCAATGTTATCAATCAATTATCAAGATTCAACCCCTCTTCAAACCCCACCTCTATCCAATTACAACAAGGCGATCCATATTCGACATATCATGATTCGCCTTGGCAGCATCTGTCTCCTTGCGCTGGTGTGCAGTGGTTAGGCTCTCCCCTATCAGCACGCTGCCGTGGCCACGTGTGTATATGCTCCCTTTCCCTTCCGTCCAAGACAAAGTACGGGTGACAGGTCTTGGACCTGTGTGACAGTGGTACACTCCGCAGATTTGGAATGCTTCACTCTATAGCTAAGACATTAGTTGAGCTAACTAAGTTGAATGACTGAATGTATCTCTAATATACCTCTGCACCTCTGCATTTAAGTGCACCGAACTTGCCAACGTATTCCCGAATAGCACGTTTCAACGGGATGGTTCCTCTTGTTCACGCTACTATCAGGAGCGTACTGCCTTTTGGTGTAAGCCACGTCTTAGAAGCGGCCACGACATTTGGCCATGTCCTCGTTTCCTTCTCACAATCCAATCTTAAAGTTCAAAGTTTAAACCTTGGTCTGTGAAACTTTGGAGTCCTTGTGTGATTCTAAACGCTAAGTCGCTGACACCTCTCTGCTCTTTTGCTAAAAAGCTGCTACGGAATGGCTTGATCCTACTTGTGTCTTTCTCCCCAGTTCCACGGAAGAAGTGTCAGAGGCCGTTTCCATATTGTATAAACATAATTGCCCCTTCGCCATCCGCGGCGGTAGTCACAGTGCCATTCGGGGAGCGGCTAATATCGACGACGGCATTCTCATAAGCATGAGGAACGTCAATGATATTACACTCGACAGCGACAATGAGACGGTTACTATTAGTATGGGTCTGGTAACATAATAGGTCAGGTCTATAAAGCCATTGAACCGTAAGGCTACATGGTTGTGGCCGGTCGCTTCGCCAGCGTCGGAACCGGCCTAGCCCTTACAGGCGGCTTCTCATACTTTGCCAACGAGCGCGGTTTAGACGTTGATAACGTGGCCGGCTATCGGGTAGTACTCTGTAACGGCACCATCGTGGAGGCTAACCCGTCTATCAATCCCGATCTGTACTGGGCGCTAAAGGGGGGTTCAAATAATTTTGGCCTCGTGACCCATATCACCTAAGAGATATTTCCTTAGAAGGGTTTATGCGGCGGCCGGGTGACATTTCCGCCGCACACACTGGATACTCTGAAGGACCAGTACCAAGTTAAGACTTCCGTCGAGACCCCCGATATTCATATTTTGCCCGCCTATATCTACGACGGTACTTTGAACACTACATACGGCTTCTCTCCGATCGTGTATAACCAAGAGGCAGTTGCCTTGCCGCGAGCTCTGCAGCCGTGGCTTGACGTGGAGCATTCGGACTCAACGATTAAGTACAGGACATACCATGACTTGGCTACAGAACTTGTGGCGGGGTTTCCTGACGGTCTCAAGGTCAAGTCTACCAAACGGTTGCTTAGCGGCCCGCGATATGAAGTAGTGACGGAAGAGGAGAGGCAGTCTATTAAGGCGGCCATGGTTGGCGGTCCACGAGGCTTTAGCACGAACTCGGGATATTCGTATACTTGCGCCAATGGATATCCGGTTTATGTAAGTGCCCGTGTGGCTGCTAGTTATGCTACAGTCCACTGGTCCGTCCAGAACCATAGTGGCCCAGTGACTGACTTTGCTTTTAGACAAACCCATTATACATTTACTGTGTGGATTACTTGAGTTTCCTTCTTGACAGGTTTTCCCAATTCTATTCCAGCTTCTCGCACATCGAGGGACTTTTTGGCCTGCATACTGTTATGCCCATTCCCCCAAGCGCCATCGAGAAAGCTGGAAAGAACAATCCTGTTGGTCTTGACCGGGCGAGACCAGGCGAAAACCTGACAGGTACGTAATTCGTCAAAGCATCCAGTTGCAGTATGAGTACACTATCACTAACAAACTTGACGACTAGTATTCTACCTCGGGTTGCAGTTCTTGCAGTTCGACAACGAGAGTGACATTGACGAGGTATTCCCAGCATGGGACGTCTTCATTCGTACTCTTCAGGTGGAGGCTAAGAGTCGGGATGTTCTCTTCCCCCACATGTATGTGAAACTAGATTGTTTCCATGTCCCATTCCCATAATAGATACGCCCGCTCAGTCTTGGCCAGAGTTACTGACAAAGACGGCACAACAGCATGCTGCCTTATTCTGACGGCAGGCAAGCAGCTATTGCATGATGCATCCTACGGCAAAGAAAATGTGAGACGGCTGCACGAGATCCAAGAAAAATACAACCCTAGCTTGGTCTTCCAACGTCTTGTTACAGCATAATATGATTCGCATATTAAACGAACTTCTATAAGGATTCCCTTGGTAACTCGGCACAGCTGACAGAATATCTACAACAACGTTGGCCTACATAGAACTTTTAGAAAAATAATTAATTACAAAGCATATCGGCCTTTGTTTTCGCCTTCGGGGATATTGCCAGGGGATATGTTATAGGCTGTGGCTCTCGGCGTTCGGCGTTAGGCGACTACTACTTTGGCAGTAAAAAGGGGGGTTGAAAACAGGGGTCGAAAACGGGGGTGGGGTTGCTTCCCGGACGCCCGCAGCGCTACTCCGGTCCTCTGAACACCTCAACGACCCCGCACTCTGCATGCATCCTCAGCGCCGACTTTGACCAGTCTGGGCAGGAGGCACAACAGACACAAGTACCAGCGGCTGGGAGATCAATGAACTCAACCTACCCCCAAGAGTGAAATGGAGATGCTTTATTATCGTCTCAGATCTTCGGGTGTTCTTCGTCGGTGGTAAGTACCACAGGCCGTCCTCTGATCATGCGTAGCGGGAATAAAAATCAGAAGAAACGTTTGTCTATATAAACATCTAGTCCTGCTCGACAACAGTTGTGTCCGGTTTTATTCTTCCAGGGTGTAACATTAGTTAAGCTCAGCATCCCTGCATATCCAACAGTCAACCCCTTTCCTCGAATATCCTCGAATATTACCCAAAGCTCAAACCCAATCACCAATAATGGGTTCTGTCTCTGCCGCTGGCCAAAAGGTCTGGCTTATTACAGGCTGTTCGTCGGGCTTCGGTCAGGAAATTGCCCTCGCAGCCTTAGCCCGTGGGGATGTAGTCGTCGCAACCGCCAGGAATCCCTCCAAACTGGCTGATCTCGCTGCTAAAGGGGCTATAACTGAGCAACTCGATGTCACCGACAGCGACGAAAACCTTGCCCATATTGTGGCGAGAATCCTCCAGAGAACGGAACGCATCGACATCCTAGTCAACAACGCGGGGTACATCTTGGCTGGAGGCGTTGAGGAATGCGGCCGGGACGAGGTCCAATCGGTTTTCAGCACGAACGTCTTCGGCCAGCTGAACGTTATTCGCGCCGTGCTTCCTGTGCTGCGTAAGCAGAGGAGCGGTGTTGTGGCCAATCTTGGTAGCATTGGAGGCTGGTACGGCAGTGCCGCTGCAGGTCTCTACTGCGCCACTAAGGCCTGCGCTTCGATGCTCTCTGAGTCCCTTCGGGCCGAAGTCGCACACCTGGGTATCCAGGTCACTTGCATTGAACCTGGCTACTTCCGCACCAATTTCCTGGACCAGGGTCATAAGGTCCATGCTGCCAACACCATCGAGGAGCTTAGCGACGGTGTGAACCCGACTCTGGGAGCTTTCCAGGCCGTGAACCATAACCAACCGGGAGATCCAGCCAAGGGTGCCAAGCTGATCGTCGAGGCACTCACCGGTACTGGACGGGTGGAGGGTCGGGAGCTTCCGCCGAGATTTGTGCTCGGAAATGACGCGTACAGGATTGTCAAGGGGCACATTGAAAACAACACCAAGCATCTGGAGGCCTGGAAGGATCTGACCACGACTACCGATCATGACGATGTCCAATCTTAGTTAGATAGGGAGTCGAAAACAAAGGAAATTGATCATACTCCAAGACTTTCTTGTACCGTGCTTGTGTTGCCCAGGGATGTGCAAATGTCGTCAGCTGAATGTCGTGTCATGTCTCAATTCCAATCAATTACACGCAAGGGCACATCGAAAGTGGGGGAGATAAGGTGGGAAACGAAACAAGGAAAGAAACTTGAAAAGAGGAAAAATGAGTCTATTCAGTTCCCTAAACTCTCTTGGCTTTCACTGGAGGAAGCCCTGCTGTCGCCATCTCTTGATATACTCCACAACCAAATCCCTCGGCAGGCCGCCGCTCCCGCGCAAAGTGGCAGATATAGTGCGAGCCTTCGATGTGTCTAGAACCACAGCGCCGCTCGCCAGTGTTCTAAAATGGTTTTTAAAGAAGCTCTCAAGCGAGCGAGTAGCGCCAACCTCGTCCGCCCGCTGTAACCATTCATCAAAGGGCATGTGCTGTGCAGCGAGACCAAGTTCATTTGCCATAATGGTACAGACGTCTGCCATTGGTTGTCGAACGGGATTCTCAAGATGCAAAAACCGTTCCACGGTACCGGAATGGAGAAGCATCTCCCCGACCGACTTGGCTGCACGGTCAACGGGCAGCCATGATATTGACTGGGCGCGATACATTCTAGTTAGCGACTTCTTCTTATTGTTCTTCTTCTTTTTTTCGAGTGGGAATAAGAAACGACAGGTATGAATGTAGAAATAGCGAGAATTGTGGGAAACGCACCCCTTGAAGCGCAGGCAGCGCACCGACCAACTGACTCGCCCGGACAAGAGCCGGAAGATGCTCCTGGGTCTTCCACACGCCGTTGACCCACTCGGGCCCGCTCAATTGCCCAATTCGGACAATGACGGGCTCCACTTCGGCGCCGAAGTCCCGGCCGACTTGCACTAGCATGTGCTCGCATACCCACTTCGCCTCGGCGTAGCCCATAGGAGTCGTTACGTCGGGATCGTCCATCCCCACCTCGGGAACCTTAGCACCGCGGCTTGCTAGGCCACCCACGTCTGAAAAATGTCGGACCACTGCGATTGACGACGCGAAAAACAACCTCACCCTGGTTCCCGGCCTGGCGTGATGCGCAGCGCGGGCGATGCGAACTAGACCCTGTACTGCATGCAACTGAGGCCGAAAGCTTTTCAGAGTCCGATGGAAGTCCATGGGCCAGGCAAGGTGCAGGATATGAGTAATCTCGTCGGCGATATTGTTGAAGCACTCGTCGCCTTCGGGATCAGAACGGAACCACTGACCCGGGTCGCACTCCTCGACTTGGATCCTCGAGAAATCTGTCGAACTAACGGTCACACCAGCAGATGCAAGCGTTTTCGAGAGTCGAGCATCCTTTGGCTCTTTTCCTTTGCTCTCACGCAACAAACAAATGACCTTCTTGATTCGAGGATCACGCACAAGCTGCCCAACAACATGCGCACCCAAATTTCCAGTTGCACCCGTCACAAGCACCACGTCGCTTCCCTCTCGCTTCGTCTGGGTTGGCTTTCGAAGTTCGTCGATACAGTCGACAAGGAATCGTTGCATATTCGCCGCTCTGGTCTGGGATTCTCCATTATCTGTGTCCACTCCGCCTTGCTTCAACAACCGGTCGAGTGCCGCGGCGAGACTCTGGATCGAAGGATTCGCGTATACGAACTCTGCTGTAAGACTCCTGCGTGTTGTCGAGTTCGGAATCGCCTTTTTCAGGGCGTTGTTGATCGCCCTGGCGAGACGAACAGATTGTAGCGAGTCCATTCCTCGCTCAAAGAAGTCGTCTTCGGGTAAAAGAGAATGGACAACCTCGGAGAAGAGGCCACCCGCGACCTCTTCTACCATTCTTTGGACGCTAGCTGTTAAGTTGGAGGTGTCGATAGTGGCGCCATTCTCATCCATGCCGCCCTCCAGCTCGGAGTAGGCTGCCTCAATTTCCTGCTTGAATCGTTCCATCACTTCCCTCCTCATGACAGATCCCTTGTCAGATCTCGGAATATCCTTTCCAGGCGGTCTGACAATGATTGCTTCGATCGAGGAAATGCGTCCATGTTGGTCAAGAGATGGATTGATGGCTTTGATCAGATCCCAGGCATGCTCCCTGAATTTCTCAATGGTTGTCTCCGATGCCTGGGAAGATGGTTCCACAAGCACCAGGAGTTCAAAGAAACCGCTCCCAATGCATACAGCAGTCTTTATGGCTGGGTCTGTCATGAGAGCCGATTCGAGGAGTCGCGGCATGACTTTCTCGCCGGACTTTAGAACGATCACGTCGTCTGTCCGGCCAATGATTCGAACTTCGTCACGACTGGCGCCAGGTCTGCGTTCCATCTCGTCCTGGATTTCGAAATGCTCCTTCCAACCAATGGGGTGTCCGACGAGTTTGAATCTGTCGGTCGAGTCGGGGATGGGTTCCAGATGAAGGTTGAGATCTTTGCGCAGACGAAGGTAGTGCCAGTCGTAATCAGGCCCCGGACGAAAGATGGGTGCGATGGCTCCTATCTCCGTCACGCCGTAATGGTTGACCAGGTTCACTTTCTTCTCTGCAAGATATTCACCGGCATCAGTTCTTAGTGCGCCTCCGCCGATGGCAATCAACTTGAGCGTTTTCAATATTTCTAGGGCATCGTTCTTCTCGGACTCTTCCAGAGAAAGTATGTCGTCGATAATGCTGGGCACAGACATCAGAGTCTCGGCACCGAAAGCACGGAGGAGTTCAACAGTCGAGCGCCCCGCGGGAATAATGGACGCCGGGGGGAAGCAGCAGGTCATGCCGACCGACAGGCTCAGGCATGGGGCCAACAAACCAAAGCCGTGGTATAACGGAAGCGTGGAGAGGTTGGTCCAGCCCGTTTCTTGGGGAGTCAGCTCGTGACAGGCGGCATAACCAAGGACATATCGCTGTGTGAGGTGGATGGGCTTCGGCATTCCGGTCGTGCCAGATGAATGGAGGATGAGTGCGCCGATCCTGCTTGATTCATCCTCTGACAATGGGTGTTCGGGAATATCGCTTTGAATGTCTTTCCGGGCTGCGTCATCCAGGAGGCTATTCCAACGACGCGACTCAATGACGGCGGCGATATCGTCAGCAGCACCTCCCAACATCGGCTTTGTTCGCTTCGAAACTAGGACGGCGGACGCATTGGTTTTCTCCAGGAGATGGCGAACACTGGGAGGACTAAGTCGAGCCGATATCAGGAGAACCTGGGTTGATTCTCGGGATCAGAGATTGTAAGACATGGTCGGAACTTGGAAGGGTGAGCTTGAAGGTAAAGGCAACTACGCAAGTAAACTTACAGGAATCTTCAAGTCAAGCAGAGCGGCCAAATGGATGAAGAGACCGACATCGCTCTCCATATACAAGGCCACTGGCCTATCGTTTACCGTAGCTTGTTGTTGGATTTGAAGCGATTCACAGATCCCATTCCCACATGCTTTCACGGCTGCATGGAGTTCGTAATAGGAGATGCGACGGATCCCAAAGCGACCAGCGGCTTGCTCTGTTTGGTCGCCCAAACCGGTGCTGATTTCTGCCTGCTTGCAAAAGATTCCATCCTTGTTATGTCTTGCGTTGAAACGTATCAGGTCAGGGAGGGTCGTGATGGGATCATGAATCGAGGTTGATGGGCGCAGGCTTCCTTGCAAAGGTGGAATAGGGTCAAACTCGGGTCGCACAAAGGGATCGAGAATTTGTTCGCCCATGTTGAAGTCCAATTTCCGGTGTGGGTACTCGAGCTTGGAGAGACTCAATTTGATATCGTGACCTGTCTCATGACATCGACTTGCGAGTTTTAACTTGGCAACGTAAGTTGAATGCTTTGTGAACTTCCCATATCCTTTCCCACGATAAGGAGAATGACAGAGTGATTCTGTCACTTCAGCTTAGAGTATCAATTGCCGAAATGCTTTGGTCCCCAGCACGTAAGGTCCGTGGGGTAGGACTCAGGACACGGAGAGTGCCTCATGGCCTCGAAACTCGGCGCTTTTTCCCCCCCCTTTTCCACCCACAAACCTGTTACGAGGAATGATTGCCGCTAGGACCGGAGTCGTTTGATAAGCTTAAACTTGGAAGTTGGAAAGACTATGTAACATTTCTGTACGGGTCGCCAGATACGCAGGGTCACTGGACCGGAGTATCAAGTAGAACCGTGGACACTGCACCTGCAGGCCGCGAACAAGGCGTACTCTACACCCCAGCCCTACAGGGTAGCCTAACCGTTCTAACAAAGCTGAACATTCCAATCAGTGGATGTCATTGTATCGGATTTAGACTGCTGATATGGAGTCCAGAGGTGTGAAGCTTTCGGACATAACCTCGTCGAGTCTCGCACGATTATTCAATATTCCCCGACTGCAATCCATATGTGTTCTTAGACTCATTAGACTCAACTCAAGTCAATTTAGAGGACAAGCCACAAATTCAACATTTTACCTCTTTGAGACTAGTACCAAATCATGATTTCTAGAGATGTTCTCGTTTTCGCCGGCCAAGGTTCCGACAGTCACTTCTCCGACCGGGAGGGAGTTGAGAAACTTCTGACGGAACTCGGTGTTTCACAAACAAAATTTCAACAGTTTCTTAGCCAATGCCGGGATGCATTTGCAGACGAATTTCGGAGTCTTAGTCCGGAGGAGCGGCTCGTTTTCGACGCAGACACCCTTGACCAATTATCGGAGCCGAAAGCCATATTGTTCCCGCCACCATCCTTACAGTCACATCCGGTCTTTGAAACTACGACACTTTTTATCCGCCAGGTGCTGGATCTTATGGTATATTATCATAAGCATGGCGGAACTGGAATCACCGTGGAATCGTCTGGCGTTTGCACCGGTGTGCTCCCCGCCATTTTGGCCTCGGCTTTCTCTTCTTACTTGTCGGCCGAATTCATCAAGACTGCGGTAGAAATCTTTCGGGTTGCTTTTTGGATTGGCCTGCGCAACTCTCTATGGTGCCTTTCCGCTCTGGGTTCACAATGGAGAGAGCAATCCAGCGTTCTGGGCGTTTTCAACACCTCCCGTGCCAAAGTTGACGAGCAGTTAACATCGTACAAGTCGACACAAGAAGTATGTTCACAACGCAAATTCTCTTTCTTTCAATCTCTCTCCTCCAAATACCCTTTGCTAATAATTCGTATTTCAGCTGCCTGATGACAAACTAAGGGTATCGGCCGTTTTCGACGAAGATACTCTGTCGATTACTGGACTTGGCGAGAGCCTGGTTGCTTTCAAGTCTGTCCTCCAGGCGTCCTCAGATGCACCAACTTGCCGCTGGGCACATGTCCATGGATTTTACCATGGCGGCGACGCAATGTCTGTGCTTGTCAAAGAAGTACTGAGTGATGTTCAGCGACATGACATCAAATTCCCTGACTGGACGTCGCTCCATGCACCCGTGCGATCGGTGGCCACGAGCCGTCATTTCGAGCCCACTGACGACAACTCCTCCCTCCTTGAGCTGGCCTGTCAGACGATCTTTACCCATTCAGTCGACTGGAAGCAGACGCTGAATGGCATCATTGAGTCATGCTCCGAGAAACTCACCAACGATCCGGAGGCGGATATGCGGCTCATTGGACTAGGGCCTTCTTCAAGGTCGCTTATGCAGGTGTCAAAGATGAACGCCGGTCATCCTGGGCTCAGGGTCTTCAGACAACTTGCCGACATCTCCAAAGACGCTGACGACGATGCAATTGCCATTGTGGGGTTATCCGTGAACTTTCCCGCTGGAAAGGGGGTCGACCAGTTCTGGGAAACGATCCGAGAGGGCCGGACAACCGTAACAGAGGTGAGTTTTCGAATTCGTCGAAAAGAGATCAACAAAAGGAAACCTGTTCTGACATCCTCTGTCCCTTCCCCCCCCCCCCCCCCCCCCCCCCCCCCCCCCCCCCCCCCCCCCCCCCCCCCCCCCCCTGCCCCCCCAGATTCCGGACTCTCGTTTCAACCTCTCAACCTACTATGACACTGGGGCCGGACGTTCTCCAAAGCCAAGGAAGATGGGCTCGAAGCACGGAAACTTCCTCGATGACCCTTTCCGATTCGATGCAGAGTACTTCAATATTTCTCCTCGCGAGGCCAAGTCGATGGACCCCCAGCAGCGCCTGCTCTTGCACGCAGCTGTCGAAGCCCTGGACGATGCTGGTTATTCTCCAGGTGCCACGGCGACTTTCAACAGGGATACCTTCGGTGTCTACGTCGGTGTTGCAACGGGGGATTACGTTGACAACCTCAGAGATGAGATTGACGTATACTACAGCCCTGGTGAGTTGAAACTTCTGACTGATTCAACTTTCTAAAGAGTCTGACGCTTTATACTTACTCCATACAGGCACACTCCGAGCATTCCTGAGCGGTCGAATCTCCTACGCACTTGGATTCGAAGGACCTTCCATGGTCATCGATACTGCTTGCTCCTCTTCTATGGTCTCACTTTACCATGCCTGCAACGCTCTCCAGTCAGGAGACTGTACGGCGGCTCTTGCCGGCGGCGTGAACGTCATTTCAAGCCCTGATGTACGTTGTCTTAGTGGTTACTTCAATAACGAGAGGATGGGTCACGGGTTTACTAACACAATGCTTAGATGTACTTGGGGCTCTCCCGCGCCCATTTCCTCAGCCCAACCGGGCAATGCAAACCTTTCGACAAGTCTGCGGATGGATACTGCCGTGCGGAGGGTTGTGGCCTCGTTGTCCTGAAGAAGCTCTCCGACGCAAGGAAGGAAGGGGACCACATCTACGGCGTCATCCGCGGCATCGGCGTCAACCAGTGCGGCAACGCCAAGTCTATCACGCACCCTGACCACACAACTCAAGCTTCGCTGTTCACCAAAGTGCTCAATAACAGCGGACTTAGTCCTCACAGCATCGATGTCGTCGAAGCCCACGGCACTGGAACGCAGGCAGGCGACTTTGCCGAAGTGTCCAGTCTTTCGTCCGTTTTCAAGGGTCGGCCCGAGAGCACGCCACTTCACCTCTGCTCAGTCAAGGGGAATATCGGACACGCTGAGGCAGCGTCGGGTGTCGCGGGTCTGTCCAAGCTCCTTCTCATGATGGAGCACGGGACTATCCCTCCGATGGGATCCTTCAAAAGCCTCAATCCAAGGCTTTCTTCCGTGATGAATGAGTATAACATGGTCGTCTCCGATCGTGCGCAGAAGTGGGGAGGCTCCAGCATCCGTCCTCGGCGTGCTCTGTTGAACAACTTTGGCGCCGCCGGCTCGAACGCCGCCTTGATTCTGGAGGAACCCCCTGTCCGACGACAGTCGGACGCCGCAACATCATCGCACCCACGCAGTCAGCATCTGCTTACCATTTCGGCGAAAAGCGCAGCAGCACTGGAGCGTCTCAAGTCAAACTACGCTTCTTTCATCCGTGAAAATCCCGACGTGAAGATGGAGGACCTCTGCTACACTGCATGCGCAAGGAGGAGACACTACAAGGAGTTCCGGTGGACAGCCCGTGGTGCCAGCACCGAGGACTTGCTGAAGCAGCTGCACGGAGTGGACTTCACGGGCACGAGTCGATCTAAGACGAAGCCTAGCAAGACCGTTATGATCTTCTCAGGCCAGGGAGCAGCACATGCTGGCATGGGCGCTGAGCTCCTCCGCACTTCTCCAGTATTTCAAGCTGCGGTCGAGAGTTGCGACGCGATCCTTGCCCGCCATGGGCTGCCTGTTGTCTCTACCTTCTTGGCCTCCACGGGAAGTGATGCCGGAACCGAGTTGGACAAGGATATTGACATCGTCACACAGTGTGCAGTCTTTGTCCTTGAGTATTCCCTGTCTCGACTTTGGGCAAGCTTGGGAGCAACCCCTGACCTCGTGCTTGGCCACAGGTAGGCCCCCCCCCCCTTTTTTTTTGTTGACGAGCCACTTTTACGTTGCAGTAGCTAACATTTGGTGTCTCTTCTCTTCTTTTAGCATTGGCGAATACGCAGCTCTCGTGACAGCGAATGCGCTGAGCCTTGAGGACGCACTCCTCTTTGTCGCGAAGAGGGCACAGCTGATGCGCACTCATTGCGAAGCAAAGGCCTCTGGCATGCTGGCATGCCGTATGTCGGTGACTGACGCATCGAAGATCCTAGAGCAGGAGAAAGAGTTGAGCCTTGCGTGCCACAACAGCCCCGAAGACTGCGTTCTTGCCGGCCCAGTTTCGCGACTCCAAGAGGTTGCTGCCGAATGCAAGGCAAAGAACGTCAAGTGCAAGCTCCTGGATGTCACATATGGATTCCACTCATCGGCAATGGACCCCATTTTGCCCGGACTTGAAGAAGTCAGCTCGAAAATGACGATTCACCCCCTGACAGCTCAACTCGGTTCAAGCGTGTTTGGGAAGGTTCTAAACAAAGGCACGCTGCTTGCTCAAGACTACTTCGTCAAACAAACTCGACAGCCAGTCCAATTCGTGGATCTCCTTGCCGCAATCAGGTCCGCCAATTCTGAGACGACTTTGCAGGTCCTCGAACTCGGGCCGTCTCCGTCCAGTAAGTGCCGGAACTGACAATCCCGTGCTGGTGCCGTGTTTTCACGTGGATGAAATAAGTTTTGGTTGGCTGACCCTCCATTGTCTATGTAGCCGCCCCGATGTTGAAGTCTGCCTTTAAGGACATCGACTACACATTTTCGGCATCCCTTCGGACGACGGAAGCTGCTTGGATGACCATGACAGCTGCGCTCCAGAATCTCTACACCGGTGGTCTTGACCTCAAGTGGAATGAGCTGTACAAGGGAGAGGCACCCAAGTTCCTCAAGGGCTTCCCCAGCTATCCCCTGGCCGGCAATGACTACGTCGTTCCCTACCGAGAGCCCGAGTCGAAGCATCAAGACATCGACAACCAGAAAGCAGACCAGTGTCAGACCGCATTCGACTTCTTGGCTTCTTCCAAGATGTCTATTTCGGACGACGGCTCAAGGTCGTTCGAAGTCGAGGTCGAGAAATTCTCCGGACTCATCAAGGCACACGCAGTCGGGGGCGTCCCCCTTTGCCCAGCATCGGTGTACATCGAGCTGGCTCTCGAGGGACTCTCCGTGCAGAAGCCAGCCGCTGCGTCGCAAGACAACTGGTATCTCATGGAAAGCATGGCCTTCGAACATCCACTGGTTTACAGCGAAGGGAACCCCGGACGTGTGCAGGTGAAGATCCAACATGGAACCGACTCGGGGCCGCTGTCCAAGTTCTCCGTTCTTACGGCAGAAAACGGTCGCATGAATTGCTCGGGATCGGTCTCCAACCCTACCCTCGAGTCGGTAGCTGACCTTCTTACCCTTAAGACGGCATTTGTGAAGAGGCAGAAATCGACCGCTTTCCACCCGGCGGCTTACGGGACCCACGAGACCTTCACGTCCAGGACCGTCTACGACGTCATCTTCCCTCGCGTGGTTACCTATTCGGCACCTTTCCGGACGCTGAAGTTTTTGACGGTCAGCTCTCTGGGTCTTGAAGGCCACGGAGTCTTCCAGCTCTCTCAGGCTCATCCCGGACGGTTCGCATGCCCCCCGACGTTCGTTGATACGATGCTCCATGCGGCAGGCTTCATCGCCAACGCAAACGCCGACCTGGACACTGCCTGCATTTGCGTCGGCCTGGACCGCATCTTGCTGCCCGATGCGTCTGCGGCTTCCCTGAGCGGCGACATGGGAATTTACTGCAGTCTTCTGGAACTCGAAGACAGCGTACTGGCGGATGCTTTCGTCCTCGATAATACGAATCGTGTCATTGCCTTTGCCGAAGGCATGCGATTCAAGAAGGTCCGCCTCAACTCTTTCAAGATGGTCTTGTCTCGGGCAGCCGGCGGCGGCGGTCAGGCAGTGAAGGCGAACATGAAGCCAGTGGTGACGGTGGAGACCCCGAGTCGAAGGCAGTCCGAATTCTCGCCAGCGCCCAAGAAGGCAGTTCGACCCGCAGTTACTCACGTCTCCGAGGCGGTCCACGAAATGCTGCAGGCAATCTGTGGCATCTCGGGCGATCTCGCCCCCAGCACCACACTGGCAGCGCTTGGTGTCGACAGTCTTCTGTTCATTGAACTCAAGCACACCATCACCTCTCGGTTCCCCAACCTGACCGTCCCGGAGAATGAGCTCGACATGTGCGAGACGGTGGAAGACCTCGTCCAGTTCCTGGCCCGAGGCACCGGCCAAGACATTCACAATGCCTCTTCCGACTCGGAAGGACCGGGCCTGACTACGAGGACCACTCCCGCCTTCTCACCCGAAAGCTGTCCCGGAACACCCGTCGAAACTGAGCCCGTGGATGGCGTAGGTCTTGACGTTTCTTCCAAGATCAAGGGCGTTTTCGCCGACCTCTGTGGCCGACCCATTACGGACAACGACAGAGACGCAAGTCTTGCTTCTCTGGGAGTCGATTCCCTGCTGACCATCGAGTTGATCCACGAGCTCCGGCATCATTTCGGTTTGGACCTCGAGTCGCTTTCTCTCAGCACATCCGACTTGACTATTAGCAATATCGAGAGTCTCTGTATTGCTAAAGTCGCACCTTCCAGCAACGCCAAAAAGTCAAAGCAACAGGGAGGCGTCGTCACTATAGTCGGGGAGGATGATGACGACAATCTCGCCCAGAGAGACGACTCGATCCTTCAGCGGCTGATTCCACCAACATTCCCGCACGAACTGCAGAAGGGTACGCATGGGGATGCCAGGTCGCCTTTGTACATGTTCCACGACGGGAGCGGCTTGACCACGATGTACTCCCGAATCGATAACCTGGAACGGTCAGTCAATGGCATCTTCAGTCTCGATCTTGATGCAACGAACCCTAAAGTCCAGAGCTTGGAGGATCTGGCTTCACTCTACATCGATCGTGCTGGTCTCGCCAGTGCCCGAGAAGTCATTCTTTGCGGTAAGTCGAAAGTGTGACGCTTCCGGGTCTTCCGGGGTTTTCTTATGCTGACCTGCTTCGGTTTTGTCAAGGCTGGTCGTTCGGCGGAGTCGTCGCCTTTGAGGTTTCCAGGCAGCTGAGAAGACGCGGGAATTCTGCAGCGGGTATCATTCTGGTAGACTCGCCTTTCCCGCTCGGGCATCAAGCTCTTCCGGCCGAGGTCATCTCCCATGTCGTCGGTGGTTCGTATCAGGGGCAAGGGCGGGTCCAGTCTGCGGCTGCAAATCACGCTCGTTCTTGCATCGAGGCGCAGTTCAGACGACACGCCCGGTTCCTTGAGAAGTATGAACCGCGCCCGGAGACTGAGGACGTCCCCTGCGTTGCCATCCTGTGCAAGCAGACCATGGATACTCAGGCGCTCTGCGGAGTCCCATATCCCTGGCTCGCGGATTCGGAATCAAGGGAACAGTCCTTGAAGGACTGGGAAGGGCTGCTCGGACGGAATATTTCCGTCCTGAGAGTGAACAGCAACCACTTCAACTTGTTTGATGCGGCCAACGTAAGTAGCACAGCCCAAGTCCCGGGCGAGATGCTCCTGGATCCTTTTTCTTTCTTTTTTTTTCTTTTTTTTTCTTTTTTGCTAACGGTGAGCACACAGATTATGGAAACCTCATCCGCTATCAAACGGGCCTGCGACATGTTGGACGGGCAGGCCTAAGTAAAAGTCCATGAGTCCACAGCACCCTGACTTGACATGCGGAATAGAGGATGGTGTGTGCTTGGATGTTGTCTTTAGAGGTATTCAGATTGTATAAAGAGCCACATAGTATGTAGATTGTTATTCCAGCTCTCTTCTATCGGGGGAACCGAGACGAAGAGACTGGGTTTAGGAGGCCCATTTGCTACTTTCTAGCCAGTTAGTTTCAGTTTCAATAATCAAGCATAATCAGGTTCGATTATTTGCTTACTTTTTGTGGGAAGCGTCCAGATCCAGAAAGTTCAAAGTAGTTCGTGCATTATCATCTACCTAATAGTTCTTCCTCGGTCACGAAGAACTTGTCCTTCTCCTTGAGCATTTGCTCATGTAAAATCCGCAGAAAATCGCCGGGGATTTGCTGGCCAACAGCAATCTTGATCAGATCGCGCTTCCCCGTCCATAAATGCTTGATAAAGGTACCAAGACACTCCGAGCCATGCTCGGCAAAGCCGTTGGCTTCGGCGCAAGGTAGCTCCTTGATGTTGTCCTCGTAGTCGTAGCGCACGTAGTTGCCAAAGCCGCCTTGATCGGAGGGATGTCCATACGACTTGGTACGATACTCGGTGCAGTTGGGGTACTTGTCGCCATCGACACAAGAGGCCCAGTCGTGCATGATGCTGAAGGTGGTCGACTGATTTTGGGCGATAATAAATCCCGTGTTCAGGTAGAGCTTGCCCTTCTCGTCCTTATTATGCGGAAGGTCGGGGTCAATGGCGAGGGACACGGAGTCGGTATCCCGAATGTCCCAGTAGTTCAGGAGCCATTCGAAAGGCAAGTCTAGGTGGTTGAAGATGGCGTCAGAGTCCACGAAGACGCAGACGCGATGCTTCTGGAGCACGCGGTCGATAATGGTGGGCTTTTTCCATGAAGCCCGACGGTCCTCAAATTCGCCCGTCCGGACAAAGTAGTAGGCGTAGCCATGGATCTTGGCTGCGCTTTGGGTCAGTTGGTTCTGAAGAAGAAAGAAAAAAATTGAAAAGAAAAAGAAAAATAAATAATAAATAGAGTGAGCGCAACTTACCATACACCCAATGCTGGAGAATTCCCAGGGACGGACCATGGATAGACTCAGCATGGGTCCAATTGATCGGATTGGGGCCGAAAATGTGACCGTCGGAGTCCAGCGGCCGACTGTCCAGATCCAAGATGCAAAGCTTCTGCCCAAGCGGTTCAGTCCAATTCGGCTTGGAGGGAAGAGCCCACTCGAAGGCTCCGTAAGGTTGATATTTTGGGTCGTCGATTTTGATGGATGGATGGGACACTTTATGGAAAAAGAAATCGCGAAGCGCTGTCGAGTCTAGTGGCCGAAGCTGTTCACCATGTGATGAATCTGATGATGGCGGTGATGACGACGATGGTGGTGACTGGGGTGAGATTCCCGGGCTTGGGGTGCAGGTGAGCCGCTGGGTTTTCCGGGTTTAGTCTCAGGGGGGGATAACATGAAGAGGACTCACAATGAGAATCCATAGCCTTCCCCTTGATAATGCGCCCATCCCAGGAGGGCGAGTAACAGAAAAAAGCAAACCGCCAGGGTCGCAGCCAAGCGACCATTAACGAGGCTTGGCAGCATTCTGACAAGGACAGAGAGCAGCCAAGGCCATGGGGCGAGAGAGAAGAAGCGTATGAAATGAGCGAGGAAGAGTGAAACTATGGCATGATGACGGTTAACGGATTATGGAGTAGGGAGGAAGGATCGTGATGCACGACGAGTCGACCACAACTTGACTTTGGCTCTGGCCAGTGACGATCATTCCCGGAGCTAATTAGTGGCGCCTCAGCCGCGTCGCGTAATTACCGGCAGGTAGAGGGCAATGATAAGATATCGCAAGAGACGTAGTTACTTTTGTAGATGCGGAAAATATTTATTCCGCTTTAGGTTTCAAACTTCATTATGCCATCCAATGGATCAACATTGAACCGCCTCTTGATACGTACCGTCCTCCGTACTTCCTACCATAGGTACCTACCTTACCTTAGTAAGGTAAGTTAGGTACCTAGGTACCTTACTCCCTTCACTGTCCATGCTGACCGTGCGCTGTGGATGCTGCCCATGCATCCGCACACCAAGCACGAAGTCTCCGTGTCGCGCATTTTCTGTTTGCTATCATGCCTACACACCTTTAATATTCTTTCTTCTATGCCGGTCCTGCCCTGCCTTGCCACGTCCCGATCTTGCATCCTAACATCAACGTCCAGAAAGAAACGGAAAGACGGTGCTCTCGTCGCGAGATTCGCAACTTCTCCCCAGTCCGCTCGACTTGAATCGACGGGCCGTTCACGCAGGATGCGGGTCTCTCGACCAGGTTAGGAGAATCAGGGATTCGCCCAAGCTCCCTGCCTCGGTTAGGGGCGTAATCTTGATTCGGCGTAAGAAGAGCTCGAGAACTCGACTGGCACTCTTGTCCACGCAGGGCAGCAGGTCTGCCAGAGAGGAACTTCTTATTTGAATCCTCTCGTCGGCGGCTAGACCAGTGTCAATCTCGGGCAATCCCTGGGAGCGACAGATATACGGGGATGAATCAGCCTCTGTCTCTACCTCAAGACCCCCACATGTGGCCAAGGAGAGAGGACTGAAACGCTCGATCCGCTCGGAATGCCATCAAATGGGCGACCCAGACATAGCCTTGGCCCTTTTCAGTCCTGTCCGGCTGGGTATCATCGGCGCGTTTTGAATGCGAACACGAACACAGACGTATTTCCTCTGGCCGACATCAGGTCCTCTGGAGGCTGTAGCCCAGCCAGTCCGACTCGGCGTCAGGAGGCCCGCCGGTAGCGTTGCACGACGGCTCGCGACCGAGACCGACATCGTTGGTTTGACTCCCGACAGAAGCAGGCTCCGCGATCTTGGGGTAGTGGAAGAATTCGAACACGTCAAGAGCGTCGAGCTCGCCCAAAGATTTCGGTTGCGTGGAGGTCGGTTCAGCACCGGACTTGCGCGTCGAGGCCGTCAAGCTAACGAGATCGTGGGCGCTCCTGTAAAAGACACATGATATATATCGTCAGTCTCAGTGCTCCCTAGCCTCCCCTCCATCACGTTGGTGTAGGCTCACTTTCGCATGGCAGTAAATGACACGTCACCCTGCCGGCCACGGAGCACAACGCGTGCCAGGATGTCCGCATAGTTGTTCGCCACTTCCCAGTACCTGCCAACATGCTGCAAAGTGGCGATGAAAAAGTCGATCCGCGGGTCGACGGGGCACTCGACGGTGGCAGCATGGACGAGGAGAAGCCTGCCCGCCACCCACAGAGAAAAGGCAAAAGGCGGGCCGAGCAAGTCGATGGCGTTGGCGTCCAGGACATCCTGGGCGATGTCCCCCAGGCTTTTCACCGCCGACAGGCACCGCTGCATGGCGTAGTGGGACGGCACAAAGACGTCCGAACGGACGATGGGGTAGGCGGCGGTGGAATGCAGGCGAACCACGGCGGCGACGAAGGCGCTGTGCAGGATGAACCAGTTGGCGACGCGGCTGGCCGGGTCCGAGTGGCACAGGGCCGAGATCTTGCTGTATTCGCTGGGCAGGCTCTGCAGCCAGACGTCGAGGGCGCGGTCGAGGCTGCGGTACGTGTTCCGCCAACGGCTCATGGCGGCAGACGACGTGAGATCTACCGGGTCTCGGAGAAACGCGTGGACGCGGCTGGCGATGCGGAGGATCTCGCAGTGGTAGGAGAAGCTTCCGAGGTGGGCGGGGTGGTCGAGCTCGTACGTGGCGGCACCCAGCTCCTCGGACCAGCTCCACGACCGCGTCTCCACGGGGACGTTCCGGGAGAACAGGTCGTAGGAGCAAGGGAGGCAGCGCTTCATCTTGGCATCGTCGAGCAGGAAATCGAAGGCGGTGGTCGAGATGGTGGCGTACCGGTCGAGGAGATACACCATCCAGCAGAGACGTCGACGGCCTTCGTCCTCGATCCACGAGTCGGGAGGGGCGCTGACGACTCTCCTCAGGGAGCCGGCCTGCGGTATGTCGCCGGCTGACAGGAAGACGCTGCTCTCCTGGCAGAGATCGAGCTGGCGAACGTTCTGCGCGGCGATGGCCAACAGATTCCAGGCGCGGGGGCCGTTGGAGGTGCCGAGCTCGTCGAGGCACAAGATCACTAGAGGCCTGAGGGCCTCGACGCTGACGCGGTCCAAGGCATAGACCTGGACGGTCTGTTTCGAGATGGCGTGGTAGTGCGCCTTCAGGGCGGGCGACAAGCGGGGGTCTTGGGAAAACCGCAGGGTGGTGGCGACGATGGAGTGGAGGAGGACCCGGTCGGCTTCACCGAGCGAGGTCGAGCCGAAGAAGGTGCCGAAGGTGGTCTTGCGGTCGAGAATGGGACACCAGGTGTTGCAGTGTTTGAAGTAGAGGTCGACGAGGGCATAGACGATGTCGTGAGGCGGTAGGTCGCGGCTGGAAGATAACGAGTACGGAACCCTCTGCTGTCCAAGGGCGGCGTCGCTGGCAGACAGGTTCAGGAGGGACTGAACCGACGTTCGATCGCCGCCGGCAGACGACGAAGCAGGAGCTCCAAATGGGCTGTCCCTGTCTCCCGAGGGAACGAAGGATTCCGCATGGCCTCCAGCGGAACCCTGAGCTGGGACGGATCGAGGGGGGAGGCCATCAAGCTCAAGCTGAGAGGGCGGCTGCGGCTGCCTAGCCGACGCCGAAGGAGTGCCGCCATGGTCGCTGGCGATGTGATCCTCTACCCTGCGGCCCAGTGCCTGGAGGAGGGCGTCAATCTTGTTGACCTTGGCCTCGAGTTCGAGGCTGAAGCCGACACGACTACCGGGCTTCTGCCTCTCAAGGTAGACACACGTCCGATTATGGCGGGCGCACCAGGAGCAGGCCGGCTCGGCGCGATCGCACTTCACCTTCCTGGCTTTGCAGAGCTCGCATCTGAAACGAGCCTTCAGTTAGTCGAGAAAGGAGGACGCCTTTCGGGGTTGGGCACCGAGTACGGGCCTACGGGAAGGGGGAGGGGGGGGGCAACGGGAATGAAGGTATGTGTGAATGTTGACGCACGATGTCTTGTCGTATTTGACCCGCTTGCGCTTCCTCGGGGGTTGAGCCGAGCCGTTCGCAGGAGCGGAGGCAGAGGTGGGCTCTTCACTACTGAAACCGCCGCCCTCGCCCTCATCTTCGCCTTCGCCGTCGCCGTCGTCGTGACTGAGGGTCGACGCAATGTCATCTTCGGGAACTGGCGTCTGGATCTGGCTGGCTGTCATGGTGAGACAAAGGTGAGGGGATCACAAATACAGACAAGACCTAAGGGTCGCAGACTTAGGCTAGGCCAAATGGACCATGGCGTAAGAATAACTCCTGGCATTGACAAATTTTCTGCAAAGCCGAAAAAGAGTCAAGAAGGGAAGAGAGACGTTCAAGCCCACCACAGATGCTATTGCCGACGAGATGCGCTAGAGATGGAAGTCCCGGGCATGGCTCGGTGTTATAGGGCCCTTTTTAGGGGCGTTTTTGGGGCTTTGGGGGGGGTATGGGGGCCATTAGGGGTGGATCCTATAGGGTAGGCTCGGCATGGCTGACCGAGTCTGAGTAAGTACCCATAAGTACTCTTACTTGGACGTTTTATGTCCTATGCCGAGCACAGCCAGAAGACGGAACTCCGTGCTCCATAGATAGACGTCAATGACACACACATAAAACCCGCCGGAAGTAACCCTACACAAGAGTACTTTCTCGAATGTCGCGTCGCAGCCCCACGCATAGACTGGACTGGTACCTGTTCTCCACCCGAGCCCTTGTTGGAGACCTGCTCACCTTTGCCCCTATTCCCCCCCCTTTTTAACCCAGTTCGCATGTCAATGGCACACCAACATGTGAAGTCCGGTGTATCCGTACTTTGCAGAATGAAGTCGATGAGCCAGTATCTCCAAAATACAGAGCATGCGGTATTATACGGCCCATACGTCGAGTCGCCGTGGTCCACTCTGCCTCTTCCGCTCTTTCATCCCTCTCTTCCTTTACCAGAAGCGGCCATTGTCTCCGAACAGCTCAGCCGAAAACATCCACAAACAGAACAAATAGACTGGCACTTTTACGTTTGAGCCCTTCCTCCATCGTGAGGAGGAACCTGGGTAGGCCCAAGAGAGCAACCTTGACAAAAATACAAATAAATAAAAATAAAACCCCCCATGGTATATTACAAGGCCAAGAAAAAAAAAAGATGAAAGGAAAAAGACCAGAAACACAACTAGAGACAGATATGCTTCTTCAACTATTCCAACCACAAATACATTTACTCCAGAGGAGCCCTCAATTCAGCCATCCCGCACTCATGCGTACGGCCTTCTCCCACGTGGCGAACCGCTTCGACGCCTCCTCCGGGCTGATCTGCGGCTTGAAGATGGTGCGACCTTTGGTGTTGGTCTCCTTCAGGTCCTCGAACGACTGCCACAGGCCCGAAGCCAACCCGGCGGCGATGGCGGCGCCAAAAGCCGTGGTCTCGCGCATGGCGGGGCGGTTCACGGGAATGCCGATGAAATCGGATTGCGTCTAAAAGAAGAAAAAAAGAAAGAAAAAGAAAAAAAGAGTAAGCCGTCACTTCAATGTTTGGTTGTTTCATCTCTCACGGATTTTACGTACCTGCATGATGAGATCGGAATTGCACATGCCGCCGTCGACGGCCAACTCGGTCAGACCATGACCGCTATCCTTCTCCATGGCGTCGAGGATGGCCTTGGTCTGGAAACAAGTAGCCTCGAGCGTGGCGCGGGCGATGTGGCCGCGCTGGGTGTAGGCCGTGATGCCGAAGATGGTGCCGCGGGCGTCGTCGACCCAGTAGGGCGCGAAGAGGCCGCTAAAGGCGGTGACGAAGGTGCATCCGCCGTTGTCCTCGACCGTCTCGGCAAGGGCGCTCAGGTCGGAGGACGACTCGATGAAACCCAGGTTATCCACAAGAAACTTGACGCTCGAGCCGGCGACGGCGATGCTGCCCTCGAGGGCGTACATGGTCTTGCCCTCGCCAAAGTCAAAGGCCACGGTGGTCATGAGGCCGTGCGACGAGATGACGGGTTTGGGGCCGACGTTGCACAGGAGGAAGCAGCCGGTGCCGTAGGTGTTCTTGGCAAGACCAGGGGAAAAGCCCTTCTGGCCCACGAGCGCGGCGGACTGGTCTCCGAGGACGCCCATGATGGGCCAGCCCTTGAGCGCGGTGCCGGCCAGCGAGCCGTAGGCCTCCGGGTCGGCGGACCGGACGATCTCGGGCAGCAGGACCTTGGTCCGGTCGATGCGGAACCAGTCGATGAGCTCGTCGTCATAGCGCAGGGTCTCGATATTCATGAACATGGTGCGGGACGCGTTGGAGGCGTCCGAGACGTACACGTTGCGGTCGAGGCCGCCGTTGAGCCGGAAGACGAGCCAGGTGTCGACGGTGCCAAAGGCAAGGACGCCACGGTCGTAGGCGTCCTTGACCCCGTGGACGTTCTCGAGGAGCCAGAGCAGCTTGCTGACGGACGGGTAGGTAGACAGGGGTAGGCCGCAGCGCTTGGTGAGCTCGCCTGAGCCCAGCCGCTGCCTGAGGCGACGGACGAGCTCCTGGGAACGGGTGTCGGTCCAGACGATGGCATTGTAGAGGGGCTTTCCGGTGGTGCGGTCCCAGACCACAGTCGTCTCGCGCTGGTTTGTGATGCCGACGGCCTTGATCTGCTTCTTGGAGTGTCCGTGCGATTCGAAGTGCTTCACTGCCCCGTCGATGCAAGTCTCGACTGAGGTGATGAGCTCTTCGGGGTCATGCTCATGCCACCTACGAGTGTTATCATATTAGCCCGAGCCATGACCAGTTCTTTTCTTCATGTGCGAATGAAGAGGGATTCACGCACCCTGGCTGAGGGTAATATTGTTTAAACTCGATTTGGTGGGCAGCGACAACCTCGCCATGAGGGTTGAAGATGAGGAAGCGTGTGCTCGTTGTGCCCTGGTCGATGGCACCGACGAGCTCGACATCCGAATGACCGCCCATGGTGGAAGTAGTAGACCCTTTGTCTTTGTTCTCTTTTCTTGTAATTCCCTTATTCTTTCGTTTTCTCCCTTCCCTTACTGACGACAGTGACGAGGAAAGCTGTGACGGTGGATGATGACAGGGCAAGGAGTACCGGTGTCCGTACTGCGTACTTTGTGGCGGGGGAATCGCGGGGTAAATGATGGGGCAGGGGACAAGGCACGAAAGAGAAGAGAATGTACGGGATGTCGGTAAGAGAAATTGTCGAGTCAAATGAGAAAACATTAAGGCCCCATAATCGACAATGTCGAGTTCAATGGCATCGTTCTGGTTCTTATTTGTTTTCCTTGTCCGAACTCGTAATTACATGCGGACATGTGCTGTACCCGTGCATGTGGCGCGTCCTTGAGCTAGCTACGCCTTAAGTAAAGCGTACCTTAAGGTACTTTGTACCTAGCCTTGAACCCTCTTTTCTCTCTAAGGTAACTTTGCCCTTGTCATCGCTCTCGCGGGGAAACAGCTTTGCTCCAATACCATTGCGCAAAGCATGTCAGAGAAAACCCCCCCACCCCCCGTATTTTCTCTTCCCCAAGACCCCTGAACAATTCCCCCTCATGTGCCCCAAGTTTCCCAGTTGGAAGCTGCCGTAGTAGGCAGAAGTACCTCTGTACATCCGAGCGGGGTTGGCTGCCCCTCATTCTCATCCCCTCCCAACTCGCCGAGTTTGTCATAGCGCATCTGCTTGCGGGGGTTCACTCATGGCAGATCGAAGTACCTACCCTGGTATCTTCCGATTGTACATGTGAAGAAAGGTAGGGGTACGGCGAAGCATTGAATTGTAGAACTCCCACCCGTCCCAGACGGGCGGGCCGGAACAAGGACAAGCGAGATCGGAGGAGCTGGAATGGCGGCCTGACCAACCGGCTTCTTCTCGGGTAGACTTCCCTTAGACTGAATGTTCCGATGATCGCTCTCTTTCCCACTCCTCCTATATGTGAACGCAAGGCAGAGCTTTGTGCAGAAATTGTGACGCTTCTGAGGGAGTGGGGGCAGTAAGCGGAATGGGGGGGGTGGTTCCTCGGGTTTCACCCCCGATATCGTGGTGCCGAAAAGTGCGAAGTGTGGGGTAGATGGTCTATCCGACCCACTTCCCGCGGCACTGATGTCATCGTTCGCATTGTGTGGGGGGTCGCTAATACGTACAGAGCGAAGGGCTCGGGGGTCTCTCGGTGAAGAAGCCCCCATCTTACGGAGTACGTCGTACGAAGCAATATGCCCCTTGCCTCAACAAGGCAAACAAAGTACCCAGACAAGACAATCACTGGCTCCGGCCAAATCCTCGGTCTCTGCTATCCCCTAAACTCCCGTAAGCGCTATGATAATCCAGCTTTCGAACAATGGATGCTACCTTCGTCTTCCTTTTACACTAGGTACGTCAGAACTGACAAGGGACATGACAATTACCACAGGTCTGTGTGGCTGCCTATGTCGGTAGTCTCGGTACTTCGTAGGTGGCTTCCTCTTCTCAACTCCGTGCAATCGCCACTAAATCCCGCTGCAAGGTCCAGATGTTGACCCACGTCATGGTCCCGCGATGTCGCGGATAGGGTACACTGCTTGTAAACCCCAGATCGAAATCCCTTGCCCAGGCTTTGACATCGGAAACAGGCATGGGTGCCATGGCCCATTGTCACATTTGTGTCCGTAAAACTTGAGACTACGTGTATTTCCGATCCGGACTATGCAGTCATCGAAGACCCAGTAAGTCACACTAAAGAGACCCGGTCAAAAGAAAAGAAATATAGAGAAAAACCATCGGTAGCTTCGCATCATCTGTACGCTTGCCGGAGGAGTCCAGACTGGGCCCGCCACCACCCGGATGAGGAAGGTCTTGGCTTGATTTTGACCAAACCAACAAGCACATCACGTCTTCCCGGATATAGGTAGCCTTCGTATACTTATAATGTAGTGTAAGTCAATCGCTCTGCAACAAGCATCTCGGTAACTGACTAGTTGGGTGGTATTCTTTTTTTTTTTTTCTCCCGTGCCGTCTTTTCCTTCGAACTCCGCTAGACCGCATCTAATACGTATAACTAACCAAACATACCAACGCACGACTCGCGACGAACCTGGACGGGGCGGAGTGAACTGGGTTCAATTTTGAAAATACTTGACGCTTTCATCCGCCGATCTACCCGATCGTCCTGTGCTCATTGCTCGGTACTCAGTAGTAGTACGCCAGTACTCCTCAGCGTGCAAAGGCACAAGGCACTACGTATATAACGTGCGCAGAATACTACGAAATACATTATACCACCGCTACCCTGAGGGCACTGAAGTTCGCCGGCGTGGACTGTGGCGGGGACGCGGACAAGCCGAACCAAAGGTCCAAACGTGAACCATGCGACAACCCGGTTGGTGAATTGCTCAACTGCCTTCATTCATCGCAACTTACGGATGCGCCCGAGCGAAATCGGGCTGAGCCAACCGAGCTGCATCTCTCCTCTGCCTTCTTTCCGCTTGAACCGGCATCACGAGACAGCACAGGTAGAGGAATTCCACAATCGAATCCCTTCTTCCTGTACGGACTACGAAGTAACACTAACACCTCGGCAGACGTTCTAGCCATATCCTTATCCGAGTCTCTTCCCTCATCGATATCATTCTCGTCTTTCCCTCACATTTATACCATCTTATACCTGCCGCCCCCCACGTCCCCGCCTCCTTCCCTGGGCCCCTCTTTAACTCGCTTCTCCCTCGCCATCCTCCTACCGACTTCGGTCTTGCAGACCCGGCACGAAGACACCAGTCCTCGCGACCATCTCGGGAGTGCCCTAGCCGCGTCAGTCAATCTGCTCCGTAGCCTCCGAGAACAAGAATAGTACGAGATGGGTAAGACAGCCGCCCACTTTGCTTCCTCCCGAATCCCGCCCCTCCCTGCTCCTAAGCCCCTTTAGTTCCTAGCATATCGACTCCACGAAATACCACTGTGTATCAGGGGGCCAGGGGCCTCATCTGCCTGTCCCGGCACCCTGGGGTTGCCGGTGTCCCGTGGGGAGGGGGGGGGGGGGAACATACCCTTCTGGTCCCTCCCCATCTACTCCGTGGAGATGGCATGGCCCAGGAGAGTGAGACCATCATCATTAATATCCCGCCCCTTATCCCCCTCCCGTCCCATCTTTCTGCCATCCTCTTTGCCCGGTTGCTGCATCCTTACCGGACAGACCAGTCCCTCATTCGTCCGAACTAAATGTCCATCGTTATTCATCAAGGTCCCCACTCCGAGGCGTCTTTCGTCGACAAGACTTCTGCGGGTTCGTCGACTTCCTTGAACAAAAAGGAAATGGCCAACGGAACGGGAACAGGAACACACAAGGAAGACGTCGAATCCAGCAACTCGGCGTTGGCGTTGGCGTCGGCGTCGGCGTCGGCGCAGGTCGCGGACCATGGAACCGAGGACAGGCTCTTATGGACCCGCATTCGGGGGGACTGCCGTGATGCCTTCTCCGAATTCTTGGGCACCATGATCCTCGTCTTGTTTGGCGATGGCGTCGTTGCTCAGGTCGTCCTCAGCAATGAGACCAAGGGCAATTATCAAAGCATATCGTGGGGCTGGGGGTAAGTAATTTTTTCTTCTTCTTTTTCTTTTCTTCTTTTTCTGAACCGGGACTAACCACCCAATCTTTCACACACCTCACAGCATCGGAGTCATGCTCGGAGTCTACGTCGCCGGCAAGTCAGGCGGCCACATCAACCCCGCCGTGACGCTGACCAACTGCATCTTCCGCAAGCACCCCTGGCGCAAGTTCCCCATCTACGCCGTGGCCCAGACCCTGGGCGCCATGGCCGCCGCTTTCGTCGTCTACGGCAACTACCGGCCCGCCATCGACCACTTCGAGGGCGGCAGCGGCATCCGGACCGTGACCGGCCCCACCGCCACCGCCGGCATCTTCTGCACCTACCCGGCCGAGTTCATGGACCGGACGTCCATGTTCTGGTCCGAGTTCATCTCCAGCACCATCCTCCAGTTCGTCATCTTTGCCCTGTTGGACAAGGACAACATTTGCCCGCCCCAGTTCGTGCCCCTCGGCCTGTTCTTCCTCATCTTCGGCATCGGCGCCTGCTGGGGTTGGCAGACTGGCTATGCCATCAACCTGGCTCGTGACTTTGGGCCCAGGCTGGTCTCGTACATTCTCGGATACCCGGCTGAAGTGTGGACGGCCGGTAACTATTACTTCTGGGTGGGTCTTGCCGTCTATCTCTTCCCAGTTCAGTTTGCCGGCTTTTTATTATGTCCTGTAGATGGTCATACAGGATGGCAGACAGTAGACTCGTATCAGTGGCTACATGAACTTGTGCTAACTTGGACATTATACCGCAGATTCCCATGGTGGCTCCCTTTTTCGGCTGTGCCTTTGGAGGCTTCCTGTACGATGTGTTCATCTACACGGGAGAGAGCCCCATCAACACACCTTGGATGGGTTTCCGGCGGCTGTTCCAACCACGTCGCAGTGTATGGTCCAATACGTACGAGCAGTCCTTAGACTCCAAGGTGTAGTGTTGAGAAGCCGTCGAGTTGAAAACTTGAACGCCGATGAGATTGGGACAGTCCACGGGTGGGGAAAAAAGAAGAAAAAGATCTGACTAGGGCTCGGCTTGGCGTTGTTCGGGGTTCCGGCGGGTTTCATGTTTCCTCTAGCAAAAGTATTCATTCCCGTATAGTTATCCTTCCTCTTGCTTTGGGTCTTTGTTATGTAGCATTTGATGCATGCGTTGTGCCAAGTAGTTTATTAGATCTTTAGTAGGATGAAACCATCGAGATTATTTGGCTGTCCGTCGGAGGATTCACCCGTCGGGACATAAAGCGTCTTGATGGAAGTCATTTCGTCGGGTTCTTGCAGACCTTGGCTCTGAACGAGACAAGAGAGGTTTCGGTCCTTTTATAGAGTGGTAGAATAATGAATGAGGTCGAGAATATGTTTTCAACCCGAGAATACAGCTGCGGTCAGAGCAAGCAAACTCGGACGAGACAATAGCCTACCGGTTGCTGTACAAATATTAGTGTTTGTTTATGAGATGGAGGACAAGACAGATCGGGAGACATTATGCCGACGCTGGGGTACTCGAGGGGGTACTCGGGGTCCTCGGAGGGAGGGGTCCGTTAATCGTACGAATTCGTACGACTATTCGATCAAATGCTCTTGACGGTGCCAACGCACGTGATGGATCATAGAAGATGAGTCTGGGCGAGGGCGGAAAGTCATCCGTTTGATCCGTCTTGATACAGATTGCTGTACCTACACTACAGACACGACGTTGTTGGCCGACTGGGTCCATCCGTGAGTGGGCAATCGCAATCCCGGTCATGTGTGACGGGCTTTTTCCAAGGGGTCCAAGGCCAAGGCCAATGCCAAGGCCAGTAGTGAACCAGCAAAGGCAGATATTCGGGTGGGAACACCGATGGAACCCGAGTTTTAGCGCCTTGGCTTCGGCCCAGAACCCCGAAACTAACACGAAACCCTCTAATTGTGAGACGTCGTCGACACCCCATAGCAAAGACCCTCCCTATCGTCTATCTCGCTTTTCCCTTTATTTACACTACAGTTCGATTGCTACAGAGTCCAACGAGCCGACCCACGTGGGGGCCCAGGACGTCTCCCTATGGGAAAACGGGGAACAGCCAAGCTGCGGACTTATTTCCCAAGCCTTTTCCTGTAATGAATATGTATAAGCTCCCCATGAAATTGAAATTCCACGAATGACGGAGCCCCTACCTTGCGTTGCAACTGCTCGGTGTTGATACCTACCTACACTCCCCACGCCATCTTAGAAACGGCCCGCCATTGCGTCTTCTCTTCTTTTAAAGGTTACTCATATCCCCCCCCCCCCCAACGACGAACTAGTCATCTCTTGATTTCCGTGGTAAATCATCATCACATCACTTCGACTTCCAACCATGGCGTCAACATTCGCCAGACTAAGGAAACCCCTCGCGACCCTCGCCGTCATCACCACAACCACTGCCGGCGGTGCCCTCCTATACACCACCCTCACCCGCAAACCCATCCCCGACTCTCCCCTCGTGGCGCTACAGCGCGATGCAAACGGCCGCGTCATCCCTCCCGAATTCCCTTCCCTCAAGTCCCGGGCCCATCAGCTCGCCGAGCTCCGCCGCCACGATTCGGACGAAGACGCCTACGACCTCCTGGTGATCGGCGGCGGCGCCACCGGCACGGGCATCGCCCTCGACGCGGCCACGCGGGGTTTCAAAGTAGCCCTCGTCGAGCGCGACGACTTCAGCAGCGGCACCAGCAGCAAGAGCACCAAGCTCGTCCACGGCGGCGTGCGCTACCTCGAGAAGGCCGTCATGAACCTGGACTATCCGCAGCTCCAACTCGTCATGGAGGCCCTCCGCGAGCGCAAGACCTTCCTCGAGGTGGCCCCCCATCTGTCGTCCTCGCTCCCCATCCTGCTTCCCCTGCACCACTGGTGGCAGGCTCCGTACTTCTGGGCCGGTACGAAGGCCTACGACTTGCTGGCCGGCTCGCAAGGGCTGGAGAGCTCCTATTATCTGACCAGGAGGAAAGCCCTCGACGCGTTCCCCCTCTTGAAGAAGGAGAATCTGAAAGGCGCCCTCGTGTACTATGACGGCCAGCACAACGACTCCAGGATGAACGTCTCCCTTGCGCTCACCGCCGCCATATACGGTGTAAGCGTGGTCAACCACGCCGAAGTCACGGCGCTGGAGAAGGACGCCTCGGGAAAGATCCGCGGCGCACGCGTGCGCGATGTCATGGCCTCCCGGGAAGAAGATGGCCATGCCTCGACCTCATTCTCCGTCCGGGCCAAGGGCGTGATCAACGCTACCGGCCCCTTCGCCGACGCCATCGAGAAGATGGACGACCCTTCGAGGATGTCCATGGTCGCACCGAGCGCCGGCGTCCACATCATGCTGCCCTCCCACATGAGTCCCGAGGGGATGGGCATCCTCGACGCCGCCACGTCCGACGGCCGCGTCGTCTTCGTCCTCCCTTGGCAAGGTGCCACGCTCGCCGGCACTACGGATGCCCCCTGTGAGGTGGAGCGGGAACCGGTAGCGACCGAGACCGAGATTGATTTCATTCTCAAAGAGGTTCGGAAACTGCTTGCCCCGGAGACTACCTTGTCGCGATCTGATATCCTGGCAGCCTGGTCTGGTGAGTTAGACCGGTCCCTATGATTGAGGGGCCAACATCCTTTCGCTTTCTTTTCCCTTTCCTTTTTTCGTGCTTTTTGAACTAACGTGACGACTCCACAAAGGTATCCGTCCCCTTGTCAAGGACCCCAAGGCAAAGAACACCGAATCTCTCGTCCGAAACCACCTCATCACAGTCTCCGATTCCGGCCTGTTGACCTGCGCCGGTGGCAAATGGACCACGTACCGGCAAATGGCAGAAGACGCCGTCGACGAGGCCATCGAGGCGTTCCACCTCCAGCCCAAGGCCGTTCCCATGCCCGACATTAGCGGGGCACCGTCGAACGAAAACAATGATAACGCCTGGATCGCCAACGGCAAGTGCGTCACCAGACATGTTCCGCTCGTCGGCGCCCACGGCTTCTCCCGCCAGCTCCACGTCGCCTTGATGGAGAGATATGACCTAGACCCCGACGTCGCCCAGCATCTCGCGTCCAACTACGGCGACAGGGCCTGGGAAGTGGCTGCAGCCGAATTTGGAGCGTCGGAGACTGAGACGGCCGCTCGTCCCGCGTCGCGCATCGTTCCGGGCCTGCCTTTTATCGACGGGGAGATCCGACACGGTATTCACCGCGAGTTCGCCCAGACGGCCACGGATATCATGGCCCGACGTACCCGACTCGCTTTCATCGACGTCAACGCCGCTCTCCGGGCCCTGCCCAGGGTGATCGACGTGATGGCTGAGGAGCTCCAGTGGTCGGAGACGAGGAAGCAAAGGGAGTGGACCGAGTCGGTGCATTTTCTCAAATCGATGGGTCTCTCCCCGGACAAGCTGGGTGTCACCCGCGAGGAGGTCGTGAATTCCCAGCTCCCGGCCGCCGCGTCTCCGGCATCTGGTCATGAGCGCTTGAGACCCAGCGGTGGTGGCTTGCCAGACCTGGGCGGCCTGGGTGGCCTGGGTGGCCTGGGAGTTGGGGGCGTGTTAGCGAGAGATGCGACGGACTTGTCGACCAAGTCGTCGACCTCGGGGGTTTGAAGCGAAACGCGAGCGCTGCATTGAAAGGTGTTTCTTGGGTAAGACATGGCATTTATCGGGTGGTACGGGTGATACCTCGGGGCGTTTTGGGTTTTGGTTTTGGTTTTGGCAGGTCGTCAAGTTCCCGATCGAACGATGAGGCAAAGCTTGACAATTATTTAGGAAGGAAGAATAATAAGAATCTTTATTCCATACTTTTATTGAAAAGCAGTCAAGGTCATGGACCATCGGTCGGTCGGGTCCTGTTGGGGTATCTACGGCTCGCAGCTCGCATTAGCTCCTGTCCATGTCAACGAGTATGGGAAGCACATCGAAGGGCTTGGCGAACCGTCGTCATCAATGCGCCGATGATGCACCCACCAGTGGTACACGAGATTCGCGGTTCGTCCGGATCGACTCTGTGGGACCAACTCGGTTTGCCTTTGGTTTCACAGATCACCAGATTGTGGGAAGCTCATGCCCCAAGCCGTGCTCTGGATGGGACTCGGAACTTCGGAAAGGCTGGTATTCGGGCTTCGTCCGCCCTAACCGGTTCTCGGTGCCCTCACGCTTCAGTACACCCCCGGGACAACGGTCCACTTCTTCCGAATCTTCTCCTCGCCAAAGCGGTTGATATACCACTGTCTTCCCCTGATCGTCCTCGGCAGCATAGCCGTAATCTCGTTGACGAGGAACGCCCTGGCCGGGACGCTCCAACCTGAGGCGACCCAGAAACCGAACCACTCGACCCACTCGCAGAAGTAATGAGGGTAGAGGACGTAGCGGAAGAGCATGGCCTCGGGAACGCTGTAGTGTTTGTCCACGCTGACTCTTGTCTTTCCCTTCTGCTGCTGTCCTCGAACCACCTTCTCTTGCCGGCGCTGCTCGGTGCGGCGGATCTCCCGAAGCTCCTCGTCGTGCAGGTAGTTCCCCACGAGACCGGCGGCGAAGATGGCGACGCCAACGATGAACTGTGCGGTCGAAAACGGCGCGCGCGCGGCGGACCACTCGGCATCGGTGACGGGACCATAGGCGGCAAGGTATGCGCCGATGCAGGTAGCGTTGACGACCTGGAAGGTTGCGGCGAGGAGGAAGACTGCGGCGTGGATGGGTGACATGGACGGTTGGATGAACGGGAAGAGGACAGCGCGGTAGAGGTAGTGAATGACCTTGGGGAGTGGTGAAGGTAATAAGTCAGCTCGCTGGGCCTGCCCACAGGAGATCAAAGGTAGGAGGGATGGCAGGTTGTGAAGTTGCGCAAATCAATATGGCTCGCTCGACACACGTACAAAAAGGCCAGCAAGAATCTTGTTCTGCCACGGCAAGTGCGTTATGCCAACCTGCTTCGGTAGTGTGTTCATGATGTAGAGGAGCAGGGTAAAGCCAGGACATTCCATGAAGAACCAGGCCACGCGTCCGGGGATATTGAGGCGACTCTCGACCGAGGTTTTGCCCATGCCGTACCACGAAGTGGCAAGCTGCGCCAAAGAAAGCTGGTTGGATTGCGCCCAAGTTCGTCAGTACTTAGGTAGACAGAGGAATCCGGGACTCTATAACTAAAACGTACAGCTGGGTAACCGATCTGCCAGTAGTAGAGAATCAACTCCCAGTTTCCCCGGGTCGGGGGGACCCAGTCCTGGATAAGCGCCATGTCGAAGAGCCAAGAGCGGACAGCTAGGTTGCAGGTGAAGTGCAGTGTTTGTAGTTGTAAGAGATGCTGAAGAGATTCTTCTGAGGAAGGTAGTTGCAGAGTACAGGTAGGTCAGAGAAACGTTTTTGGAAGACGATGGCTCAGGGAACCAACTCGGCCCCCAGGGCTCTATAAGGCTCCAAGTAAGGTTTGGAGACGCGAGTGGCCGATTAAGGTAAGGGAGCTGGCTTATTCAGTTACCTGAGGTAACTGAGCAGGATGACGTTGACCACCGCTAGCACCTTCCGAGCTACCCACCTTACAGTATGCTGCTTGGTACCTTTGTATCCTACTAGGTACCTTAGGTACCTTAAGGTAAGGTAATTACCTACCATACCTTGTTGGGCGGTGCCTGCCAACACATCTACACTTTTCCCACACATCACTGTTCGACCTTCGATATACCTTACCTTACCTACCTAGGTAGGTACCTTATGAAGCATGGTACGCAGGTACCTAAGGTAAGGACCTATTTTGGTTAGCCCGTGTCGCAAAAGCCACACCGTTAGTTATAGCGTGAGCCACGTCATCGCCACACCGGTCCTCCGGTCCGTGCTACTGCCGCGTGAACTTCGCGATGCACTGTCCCCCACTACTCTAACCTGAGTTCGTGTGTCGCTGCCCGAGAGGCCAGAATTAGTATCCAGTAGCGATAGGTTTCAGCCCCCTAAGACATATCCGGTAAGTATATTCCCCCTAGATTATATATACTCCTTAAGCTATATAAAGGTACTAATCTTACTTTATGGATATCGCTGTTGCCGCTAATAAAAGCTACTAAACTAATATATAGAAAATAGTAAATAGAAAAAAAGATAAAGCACTTAAGACTACTCCGCGCTATCGTATTATATTACCTAAGCGGTATCTTATTACCACCGATTTTTTTCAAGTTTTTTATTACTATCCACTTAATAAATCTTTTTAAGGTATACGACTAGAACTAGAACCGAGGGTATACTAATTAATAGTGTGAATTAGTTAAAACTAGGTAATATTAAGGAATATCTGGATTCGTGTTAAAGGCTCACGGAAAAGGTGGAAAATTCGCACTGTGGATAGATAGCAGGTGTTGTCTGCAATTGATAAGGATATTGGTTCGCGAGCTTACATCGCTCATTCGAGCGAAGACTGCGCGGCGCGAAGAGGCCATGGTACGGCAATTCCGCGAGCATCACTTCTATAAGGTAACAAGCCGACTTAGGATATTGAAAGGCAAGCCCGCGGCGAAGTGGGGGAAGAGGAGGAATATGCCGACCCAGAAATCAAGCTTGACATCCCCGAGCGCGCCCGGCTCGCAGAGATTTGGTGCTATCAGCCAGACAACTTATCACACGAGAGGCTCTTTCAGTTCCGGGTGGAGAGTATTAATCTAATAGTAGCTCTCTGCGATAAGCGAGAGACAGTTCGGCGCGACCGTATCCGAAAACGCGCGCAGATTAAGCCAGTCGTTAAACAGGAATGCCCCGAGCCCGAGCCCTTTCCTCTTCTGCTGGATCCTACGTAGTGTCCCGAAACATCGGTGACGAACGTCTATCACACGAGGAACGCGTGTTCAAGTACTGCCGTCCGACCGTCCGTAACGATCACTTTAATGATTAGCACCTGGAGGAGCGGGAGCGTGCTATGCGCCGTGGGGACGGGATAAGATGTCTGCATCCCAGGTACAAGGATATTAAGTTTCATGACTTAGACCACTTTCGCAACCACGTTAAGGTGGCTCACCAAGTCACGCTCAGGTCGGCAAATCAGGTCGAGACGCGGCGACGTAAGAAGGTCAAGCACCGGCAGATGGCTCGGACAAAGCAGAAGTAGCTCAACTTGTATTGATAGATACTAGCACATATGATATATTTCATCGGGGCTTTATTAAATACATATGATATGACCTTGCCGGTGGCTAGCGAATAGTGACCAAATTACACCCGAGTATGTCCCTGGAGAAGGCTCTTGTTATAATAGTTGACAAAAGTGTTGACGAAATCGTCAGCAGACGCAATTCGGCAGTAGCGATCATGCCGTGTGGCCTTCCACCTTCTCGAGGGACCGTACGTTTGGCGGGCCAGTAATACACGACGAAGCCTTTTCCACGGCAGACCTGAGCTCTTTCATAAAATCATCCGTCTCTACCTTCTGTGAGATCCCACGTTTCCTCTTCCGGTTCGGGCTGTTTGGGCTGACTTGACTGAGAGGCTGCCGACCGCGAAACTCCGCACGTTCGAGATCCACAACCATGAAATTGCCGTTTCCATCGTACAAAATGTTGCGTGGCTCCGCATCAAGATGGATGACATTGAGATTGTGCATGGCCGTGAATATTGCGGTAACCCCTTTAGCGACGGTTACTTTGTCAACCTGGTCACTGAAGTCGAACAAGGGCTGACCAGCCCAACTGAGGAGCAGAAAATGCATGTTGACTCTGTCGTTGTAATGCCATGGCCGGCGTAGGTCTATCGTACCGAGACAGACTGGAATATGCTTCCCTTGGATTGCCCGGAGTCGGCTGTATATAACACTCTCGTGCTTCAGGTAGTCACGGTGGCGACTATCCATCCCTTTGGCAACAAATGTGTAACCATGCGTCGACAGTCGCGCTTTGAAGAGTGATCCACGCGCCCCGTACCGATCCAATGGCGCACAATCTGCATCGCGGTCGCGGTCCCTGGCAAGCTGTTCTTGGAGGAGATGAAGGAACCTGAGCCGGTCTACGTGCCGCTTGCCGTGATCAGCTGAATTTGGGCACGTCTCGTCCATGGGCCCGCCAAATGCTAATCCAAGAAGGCACTTTTGAGTGCAGAATGACCGATTTCGTACGTTCGGGTTTGTCGCTTGACCATCCTGTCTTCCGCCTCTGCGTTGGCGTTTCCCGCCATTCGTCCCACCTGTCGCTGCCCGCGATACCACTTTGCCACCACCTGGATTCGGAGAAGGGGACGGAGGGTCTTCGTCATCGTCTGAAGGTCCAGGTTTTGAGTCCGGCGGCACGCAGCGAGAGCGTGTTCGAATCGGCGACCGTTCAAAGCCCTTCCAACGCTGAGGTTTATAAGGAGAGGCACGAGGTTCTTTCGGTTTACGATCCGTCACAGGTATATCTCTCAGAATGTCTTCGTACTCGACAGCCCAGGTATCCAGTTTCTCGGCCTCGTCATGCCATGACTGGGGCGGGGGGTCTGCGCAGAGAGCCTGGAGAATGAACGCGAAGACTTGCGCGACTGCCGTGCGATGAAGCCTGGTTTCGTCGTCATCCAACACGTCCAGGTGCGGTACGCATACCGAGTAATAGACAGTAGAAGGATCATCCGGGATATACAGGAAAACAAAGGCCTGCCCAGTGCACACGTACCCGTATTGGATGCTTTTACCAATCATGTAAGAGAAGAGTTGGGTGACGACGGCGGTGGCGAGCCGTCTGGCCGAAAAAGCAAAACCATCGCCATTCTTATTGATCACATCATGTTCTGGCATGATTTGCGACTCCAGGCCCGTGACGACCTCGTCAATGCTCAGCTTATGCGGCGCCTTGTATTCGATAGCAATGGCCGGGACGTTCTGGCTATCCGAGGTCCTGTAGATACAGAACTGGTCCGCCCGATTACCCTTCCCTTTCGCCTTGCGACGGGCCTTGGTAGACGGCCTCGGCGCTGACGTCGAAGCCGTCGCACGGGCATCATCACTGCCGAGCGACATATGTTCCATGGAGTTGGATATGGTGTCGTCGTTGCCGAGGTTTGTATGGCTCTCGAAGGTCACGGCCCCCTGGAGGCCGAGAGCGCGTCGGAGGAGGGGATCTCTATATGCTCCATCAACCAACTTTTGGACCGCATTTTCCACAGCATCGCGTTCAAAGTCTCGGAGCCCAAGCTCGCTGCTAATGGGCTTGAGTAACGACTTCACGTATTCCAGCTGGTGTTGGGAGGGGAATGCGGGATTAGAGGAGAATGATTTGCTGAGCGAGAGGGCGTCCCAGACCTCCTCTTGTTTCGCGGGAAAGTCGTCCCACGGAATGACGCGTCGAGGAAAGATTCGGCCGGTCGGATTGGTAGTGTCGCCTTGTGTAGTCAAAGAGCGTTCGGTGACTACCTGAACAGCGAGATAGAGCGAGTGGCAATCCTCGAGATATTGTAGAAGGGTTTGTGGCTGCGACGATCTCGCAAGTTCTTCGGCATCTTCGCGTCGGCGTTGCTCTTCTTCGCGTCGGCGTTCGTTCTCCGCAGCACGATCCTCAGCTTCTCTTAGTAATCGTTGCAACTCTTTAATATCCTGAACCCCCTCCATTGTCTCGCTCAAGCCTTGAAAGGTGGTTCTTAACGGCCAGAATGAACAAGATCCGGGGATGTGTATGGCGGACGAAGAAAGAATGATTGTGAAGTCCAAACATACAATACATAGGATGCGTTTGCTGTCAACGGAGTTTCCCAGCCTGGCGCGGAGATAACTACCGGGTTGGCGAAGTGGGGCGGTTCGGATGAACGTTTTGGTCGCGTCGTACTATCTTCGCTCGCTGACTTGTGTTCATCAAAACACAACACTTCTTGTCAGATACAGCGTAGTCCAAAATCAACAAAAGTGGTCTCAAATTGAGTGAATTGATTGACTGTGTTCCTCCCCCAAAAAGGGACTGGAAAAGGACTGCTGCCACAGTAAACTCTATAGCGAAAGTTCTGCAGGCGTCCTCCTGACCTAGGGGGCTGGGCGTGTGGGTTCTCTTACGTAAGATGCCTCGAGCCCCTCGGTCTGTTCAACACTTCTCGCCCTCACTGTTCCCAATGAGCTCGCAAGACAAGACGGCGTCTTGTGGTGGCCGTGGGACTCTTGCAGCTTTACGGATAAGTCAAACCCTTGAAAGCCATAACATACCTTGCTATATCTATGGAGTTAGTGCTCTTATTTACTATGGAGCCAGACGGGTTAGGCGTGTAAGTCTACATATATCAGCTTGAGAAGTTTGGCTCTAAAGGGTCCAGACCTGGGAGATATATACCTAATAAATTTCCTTAAAACGGACAGAGAATCTGTTAAAGTCCTAAGAATACGCTAGCGTCTACACCAGTATATCTCCGCCCTTACTATAGCCTGCCTCCTTAATACACACGTACACGTATTTCCAGTATATAGGACTTCGAGCTTACTGTATCCTTATCCCTCCGATAATATCCAATTCGATTACTAACCGTCCCACTTTTAACCAAGGACTATCATTGGGCCGAAAAGCTACTTTGACAAACTGTTTAAGGCAAACTAGGGTATCCCAAAGATTATCCTCAACGACCGTGATCCTATGTCGATGAAGCGCTATTACGATCGCCACCACACAGCCAAGTTCTTTACGGTCGGTTCCAGGGTGTATTTACGCCTCAACAAGGGATACTTCATCCCTACATCCCATATCATGACAACCAAACAGGGATAACAATTCGCGGGACCCTTCTAAGATCGTGGAACGAATTGGTCGCCTCGCATACCGCCTCGAACTGCCACCCGCTTGGAAGATTCACGATGTTGTCTCAGTCGACCACTTAGAACCCGCTTCTCTCGATCCCTATGGTCAAGCACTCCCTCCCTCCAACCAGTGCTGTCGGCAGAGCTCCCTATTGAAAAGGTCGTTGCGTTCAAACACCGTGGCGACAAGCGTAACTACCTGGTTCGATTCCGTGGTCTTCTAGCAGATTACGACCAGTGGGTCACGTAAGCCATTATTCAGAAGCAACCTAACGCATATGAGTTGCTTCCACAGGGAGGCCAATAAACCCCTAAAATAAATCTAAGGGCAAGCGATTTACCGCTTGCCTCTGGAAGCAATACCCACCAGGCGTTCCTTCCAACTTATGCAACTGCCTTCCAGTGCAACCATCGCTGCGGGCTCCAGGAGGCCGTCCTGCCAAAGCTGCTATTCGAGCCCGGGGGGTGAGGTTTGCGCCGTACGGATTGGGTGATTCATTTCGAAGAGGACAAGGAGCACTTGGGCTTCCGCGCCGAGATCTGGCACGACTACAGTGAACAGTCTACATGTACGGTATGGACTTGAGGACTTCTCTCGCCCTGGTGAGTAGGATCGGGCCCTCGTGGACCTTCGCCTTGCTGAAGAAGTTCCAACTTCCTCTGGGGCGAGTCGCAATCCATTCGTTGGTCAGAACTCGAAACAAAACTTGACGGACTCGTATCAGAGCGAGACTTTGTTGCCGTGCTCCACGGTACCTGCCTCGACCTGCGAATCCTCGACCATCTCAACGTATCCTGTTTGTTTCGGGCGGTTTATCTTCTTGACTCGAACAAGGTCGCTCAGTGGCGATTGCAGCTGCACTACCATCTCAGCCTCAGGACATTATGCGAAACCCAGGGGTTCCTTTCACCTCGGGACACGCAGCTGAGAACGATGCACATTTCGCTCTCAGAGCGCTGCTTCTGCTCGCCGTAAGGGATGCGCAACGATTGAGCCATGTCCACGGATACACGAGCATCGCCGAGGAGGTCGTGTTGCAGAGATTACAGGACATCGCGCTGGGACCTCGGCCCGTATCGGAAGAAGATCTCTTGGCAGCTCGGATCAAGGCGAACCGCGAGCGGACCGTGACAGATTTGGAGAAGAAGTGGCTGACAAGGGCCATGAAACAAGCAAGGAAGAGCAAAGGCGCGCATTGGCGGGACCAAGAGATAATCCCTATGATGGGGAAGAGGCTCTTCTTGGAGCTCTTGATGAGGAGGCTATACGAGCGAGCTGAAGTATCGAGGGCCGTTTTATATTTTCTGGCCCTCGACAAAACTGGAAAGAGGGAATTCCGAAGAGATCAGCTTACACAAAATAAGGAAAGGCAACGACAGGCCATCGAGCAACGTGCGCGGGCAGAGCCGGTGGCAGAGGACACCGAGACACCGGTAGTCTAGGAGAGATTCGTGAGTCACGCTGTTGTTTTCATTGTTGTTGTCCTTGTCGTCATCGTCCTCATCGTTGTCGTTACTTAATATTACTATTAAGGAATTTAACTAATATATCATATGCCTATCTAGCCGGTTGTCTGCCCCTTCAATCTTCTTCGACCCGGCCCTGGCCCTGACCACTGTCGGACCTGCTACTGTCCCTGTGCGACGAGGAGGATTTATGCTTTTTGCTCTCGTTGGTCGCGGAACCCTCAGAGGGCGGTTGTCGAGACTTCGCCGCCTCGAAGGCCTTCTTCCTGCCCTCCTCCAGGAGGGTGTTCAACGACTCCCGAATCTCGTTCAGCCGCTTGTCCTGCCCCCAGTCGATGATGTTCCGCACGTACTTGCGGAACCTCAAGTAATGCTCGGGGTCCTGAAGCAAAAAGCTCTTGACATTGGCCATGTAGTAACTAAGCTCGTCGTGCTTCCAGGAGATGTGGAGCCGTGCTTCCGAAGCGGTCATCGCCACGCTGAACGCCGCCGAGTTCACGGGCCGGATCTTGTCGCTCTTACAATCCCTTAGATGCTGATTAAGCCGTTCGGCGACTTTGACGCAGGATGCCGATCCACCAAGGCATTGATTCGTCGCCACCCACAAACTCCCAGCTCCGCTTGGACCATCTCCCTTGAATTCGATAACGAAGAAGGGGTACATCAGGCCCTGACTGTTCGCTACCCCATTTGTTTCCCCCATGGAGATAAGCTGTGCTGCCTGGTCGGGAAATGCTCTAGGACGGTTATATCCATAAAGCATATCTGGCACTGGATTTCTGACCCTGGGGTTGGTCCCGGTGCGGTGGCCGTCTGAGCTGGTACGCAGTGTCTGTGCATTGGATGCCTGTCGCTCCGCTTTAGGGTCTCTGTCGACTTGGGATAGGGGTAAAGCTTAGTACGAAAGAATTCTTCCACATCGGTCTCTGCGGCGCCCGCAGCGAGAGCATATAGTTCTGGGTCCCCTCTAATCTCATCCAGCGACGGTCCTGGAGAATCTCGGTCTCGTCCGACATGATCCACAAGGTCGGCAACGTGTTCCGGAATCGGGTCGTGCACAGCGCGCAAGTAAATGCCATTGGCAACCAAGTTATCATCTCGATACGACCCGCCTTCAACGAGACTCTTTGAAGACGATCGAGAGGAATTGGAAGTGGCGCGAGTAAGGTCCGACGACACGGCGGATCCGGCATCTGCATTGTGTCGGCGCGAGCGGGACCCGGTAGAAACAGGTGTGGGCGGCACCGTAAACCCGTCGACATCCCGATTGTAAGCCATCTCCGGCGCGGATCTTGTGAGTTGTCTTGAAACGGGGTTGTGGTCGTACGAGACGTCAAGATAACTGTCCGACCGGCAGCGTTTCTCTCCGTCTGATCCGACAGACTCCAGCCACTGAGAGACGAACGTGTTGAGGCTGTCGGGGGGAGGACTGAGGTCGACCGGATCGACGCAATGTTTGAGAAACGAGGCGGCGTAGGGACGTCTGGGGGGCCGGGGCTTTGGTTGCTGCAGGATCGCCTGCTGCACGAGCTTCTCCATTAGCGAAATGGATGATTCATCTGAGTGAGGAAACGATTAATGCTACATACATTGGGCGCCTGCTCCGATTCCTCGTCGTCGACTCCAGGCTGTAGTGCCTCTGTATTCTCTAGTCGTGCTCGTTTCGCGGCAGGCAACGGATGGGTCTCAGGAGCGGTGTCGCGTCGTCTTTTCTCGGAGGGTTCGTGTCGGGCGAGATGTCGACTCGTTGGGGACTTCGAAACTCCGTCGTCCATGACTTTTTTATATTTCGGCGAGCCCAGGGCTGGCCAAGAACATGATCGGATAAGAGCTGCAGGATGCTTCGTCGTTGGCAAGAGCGGAAACGAGTTGCGAGATTGTTGGATTGTAGGACAGGCTGCCTGCTTTCTGCTCGGCGCTTCGTACGGCGTAAGTGGTAGTTGAGGTAGTTGGTACCTGATGTGGCACGTCGGTACCTTCTTCGATAAGCTAAAGGTACAAGAACAATGCAACTTCGCAAGTATTAAGATGTGGGGCGGCTAAAAACAATTGGCTGTCGTCCTCTGCTTGCCACACTTTTCCCTGCTTCCAAGGCGTGATTAGGCAACTCATAATACTTCGAAGCTGGCTGTTCCGAGGTCAGGGCCGGGCCTGTTGGGGGCTGTGAGGCTGTGATGTATCGGATGCCAACGGATAGGAGTGAATGATTCGCTGCCGTGTGGTGAGTTGGATTAGGCAGTCGAAGAAGGATGAAGGGCAGGGCGGGGGACTTTGACCGATGATGCAGAGAAAAGAGGGATGAGGGTGGGTGGAGATGTTGGTGTAATTTTGACCAGCGGCACGACGAAGCTTACCCAGGTGCCTTAGCTTCAGATACGGTCGCCCAGTGTCACCTGACCGACCCGCTCGTTCACACTTAATACCTAAAGTCTCAAGCTGTAGGGTTAAGCGAGCGCTTGTGAAATGCCCCACCACGGGCGCCAGAGCCTAGCGCTAGCAGCATTCAGGGGCGGACTTCTGAAGTTTGGCAGCTTAGCCTCAACTTGTCTTGTCTTCACACCAACCGCCAGGAACCCCGTCTTCTTCTTTTTGCTATAATTACAGACTCGAGATAACTGAGAAAACAAGAGACAATACTTGGGAATTGGCAGGCACAAAAGATGAACAATTTGCCGCGTTCACTTCCAAGGCGATTGATCCTAACCAATATATAGCCATTCAGCTCCTTGTCATCCTCCCTTTGTCTCAATGTGCGTGAAACACCCAAGTCCTCCCATTCCCGGAATGCCGTCTCCTGATCACGACTAACAATGTTATGCCCACCCCCGTTTCAGAGAACTCCAGTTCGCGGGCTACCCTTCTCCGGATGCTAGCCTCGGTGCGCGGGTTGTGTGCGATACGGTTGTTGCAAAGGTCTCCGGGTGCGCAGTCATGAATTTCTTGCAAAGCGTACATTTGCCGACACCAGACCCGAGGACTTGAAATACACAGCAAAAGAGGGCGGGAGGTTCTTGGACCTTCGATAGAGACTAGGTTGGTCTGGACGTTGATGAAAGTGGCCAACATAGTTTGAAACCTGCCTAGGAATTACTTCTAGTGTAATACTGGACAATAAGACGACGAGTTAACAGGCAGGTTATATATGACCTTCCCTAGGCAGTACTGTCATTCTGCGGGTGGAGCTATAGATAGCTTCTCCAAATCAACGACATCTTTACCACGGATCGGCAGTGTTGTGTTAAGTTCAATGTAGTGATAGAAAATCCGGCTTCGAGATTTCGAGCCCAGAGCGACATTTCAAAGCATTTCAAGCCACATCCGACGTCGTCATATCCAAGGCTCCCCGCTATTTGACAAGACCATGTAACACCAACATCACCCAATTCGATCCAACTAACTCCCAGCTCCCCCACCCCCCGGCCCCGCCCTAGTGTTTCCAATGCACCCTGCCCTCAGCACCCTTACTGAACCAAAAAGGCAGACGACAGTGTCTCCTGCTCCTTGACATTCCCGCCTCACATGAGAATGCAATCCCTATCCTTCCCTCCACTGGCATGGGCGGTGCCGCCCGTTGGCACCGGTCTACTCTGGCCAGGTCGCTGTAGCAGCCGAGGGGGCATCGCTGGTGCCACGCTTGGTGGAATATTGCCGGTGTTTTGATTGAGGCTCTGAGCCGCCCCCGGAAGGCTGGACGGGTGGCTGGGATGACCAACGGGCGGCACGTACGGAGTGGAACTTTGCGCCTGCTCGTACGAAGGCGGCGCATCGTCTTCATCCTCCGTTGCCCGGTTCACCGGCTGCCCTCGCGGCGGAATGACCGGCGGAACCAAGGGCCGAACCTGTTGTGTCGGGGCCTGCGCGCTTTGTCGCCGCCCCGTTGGAGACGCCACCGCTGTGACCGGTTGCGTGGCGACCGTGCTGGACGACGTCCTCGGAGAGACGAGGGACGAATTGCCATCGTTGCGCCCGCCGCGACGTCTCCCGTCGTTCCCTGTCTCATGACGAACTGCAGGCCTTCCCTGTTGCTCGATGTACTGTTCGCTGAGGAGCATTTCGCGCTGTCGGCGCGCCTCCTCGGTGCGGTGCCGTTCATCTTCCTCTTCCTGTAGCTGAAGTGCCAGTGCCAGGTCGTGGTCCTCCTGTGTCGCGTCGGGTAGCCCCGGCTGGCTCGAGGACGGGTGAGCTGGTTTTCCTCGTGGCCCCACCGTTGTCCACCCGCCTTGGTCTTCGGTAGACGAAGAAGGCTGTCCTTCGTACCAAGGAGTTGAATGGCCTGCCGCGTCAGAAAACTGGCTGGCACCGCCGACAACCCGGAAATCCCCCGATAAATACTCCGTGTTGAGCCCGTTGATGTCGGTCAGAGACTCCCACACAACCTCCGCATGAGAGGTATAGCCGGCGTCGGTGACAAGAGCGAGCAGTTGATGGCTATGCGGATGGAGATAGAGCGTGGAGAAATGGTCGTTGCGGAACAAGATGGCGACCATACCAGGTTTCATGGCTTTCGCAATGACTTCAAGTCCCCAGGGCGTCAGTTGCGTGGCAGAGTTTTGGAAGAATGCCTTCATTGCGATGATGTCTTGATATAACTGCTGCTCCGGTTCTGTCAAGCCGTCCCCGGACGGTTGGCTCAACTTCAGCTCCAGCTCCTCCTCGCGAAAGAGAAGGTTTTGCGCATCTTCATAGGATGCAGCCTGTCGCTCGAAGGCGCCGTACGCAGGGTCGGATTTGGTGGGCAGCCAGCCGTGAATGAGCGGAATGGAAAATGCCGCGTAGAAGCTCATCTCGGCGGTATCCTCGAACGTGCCGGGGATCAAGTCACCCCGCTTGGATGGATCGAGCTGTGTCATGGCTGTCCGCTCGAACGCTTGGACGACCTCACTGCTCGGAATGAATCGCGGATTGACGTTCATTCCTGTGTGCAGACCCTTGAGAAACTCGTAGAGTTCGCCGACATCTGGCAGCGAAGCGTCTTCCCTGGTTCGTCTGGGAGACATGAGCTCGTCCAGTACGGCGTCTAGCAACAGTCCGAGGCTAATCTGTTCCCGGGAGCGAAGGACCTGGACAAGCGTAGTGTCGTTTAGCTCGGCCGGTGTAGTCAATGTCAAGGCGTTCACCAAGGCGACGAGGGGACAGGGGCCATTGGCACTCTGAACAAGGATGGGAGATATCCGAGGGTTCTCCTTGGCAGTATAATCGCACCAGTTGATTTTCTTGATTTGGTACGTCTCCGATTTGCTGTCCACCGGACGGGGCGAGTGCCGAGAGACTGGTCGATCTGTCGTAGGTCTCGGGGGCAGTGCCGGTGCGAGGGAGGACCGCTCTCCTTCGGCTGTCTGGGGTGCTGCCTGCTCGGGTAAATTCCCCGGCGGCGCGCTGCTTCCGAGAGACGCCCCCGGACGGTTATCGCCTAGTGAGTTCCAACCTCCCTCTGCTGTCTCAGCGACTCTGGCGACAGGAGGAGTCCATGACGCTGCCTCCTTCCCCTTGCCCCGGTCTTGTCTGAAGTCGTCGTCCCAAATATTCCCAGCTTGTCCCGTCAGATCACTGGCATCTCCTCGAGGAAATGCAGACGATTTGGCGGGCCGAAGGGCATCGTCATCCCAAGCCGGAAGGGAAAGTTCGGGGGACAAAGAGGGCAGTGCCAGTCCTAAGGGGCCTGCGGACGCGGCCTGCTGCTGCTGTCTGGTTTGTTCGGACTGCCACGGGTCCACGTCTGGTTCTGGTCCTAGGTCGGCAGGGAATGGCGGAGGTGTAGGAGGCCTAGCCTGCGTTTCGCTCTCGATCGGCTGCCACGGGTTACTGCTGGACTCTGGTGTAATGTCAACATCCGAGAACGAGAACGCCTGCGTCGGGTGTGCTGGTGCCAGATTGGATGTGCCGGCAGATGTGCTTGGGGATTTTTCATGTGGAAGATCTTTTCTCTCTTTTCTCTTAAACGGGTTGGTCTCGGTCCGTCCCAGCGTTGCCGCCGGCGTCGTGACAATTGAATCTGTTGGCATCGGAGGACCCGGAGGCCCAGAGGATTGTTCATTAAAGCCAGGCGCAGAGAGGGCGGGGTTCGCCGCATTGTCCCATGCGACCACGTCGCTATCTTCACCCTCGCCTCTCGGGATCCCCGGAACAACTGAGGAAGTGCTCGGCAAGTTCGGAGGGCCAGGCCTGAGGACGTCGGGGACGTCAGGAGGATAGGAAGGCTGCGATGTTGAGACAAGTCCAGAGTCGCCGTGGCCGCCCCGAAAGACGTTCGCATCGGCGTTGGAGTCGCTGTTCAGCCGTGAATCGGACGGTTGGTTCTGGCTCGGGGAACCACCGGTTATGGTAGGGTTCGCATCGTCGGGAAGCGGTTTGCGCGTGACCATGGTGCAAGCAAGCCGTCGACGAAATAACTCCCCAAAGACCTGACAGCGGACTGGGGTAATCTAGGCGCAAAGGCGGTGAATTGTGAACGCTGTGTCCGGCTTGACAGCATTAATAGCAGGCAAGCTCGGTCGTCTGAAGAAAAATTGGCAAGAGATCGGCATCCGCATCGGCATCGGTATCGAGCGTCACGACAAAATTGAGGTGTAGGCATCAGATGCGAGTCGAGAGATGCATCGGGGCGGCGATCTTGGACGATTAGGAGGAATTAGTCAATAAGAGCCTCTATCGTCTCTAGGATCGTGAAGTAAGAGAGAAAGGTGAAGCCAGTGAAACTTTCTGGCAGAGAACCCTGATACTATATATCTGTTTCATAGGAGGTTGGGTGAGTTACATACGTGGAACGCCAGACGTGCACAGCACTACCTACTTCGTACGTATAGCTACTTCACGTTGAACGTTGGGGTGTTGGGACTGGGGGCAGCGCTGGCGAATGACGCAAAGATGGGCAAGTGTACATGTACGAACTATCTCGTACTTCGTACTTACCGGTAGGTAAGGTACCTAGGTAACGACAATGTGGTCATAACCTAATTGATTATAGGCTCCACATATGACGGGTTATGTAATGAACTTCGGATTGGGGAGCAGAGATGATGAAAAAGGTAATCGGCTTGGAGAAGCCACTGGTTACACCGAAGAACAGCTTCTTGTGGGAACGGCCCAGAAGCACAAGGTGAATGCCAAGGCCAAGGATCGACGTCGTCGTCAACGAGGGAGGACAGGGTGGTTTACCTACTCCCAATAAGAAGGTGAAAAGGGGGTATATTTATTACTAAGTACAACACGGAACAAATTCAGTGGCACCAGAGATCCGTGCTGAAATTCGTACAGGTTCATATAAACCGTTCCTGGCCTCGGGGTCTCTCTCTCTATATGACCAACTCCCCTTGTTTTCTGTTACAGTATTGGTACACACGGGCTTTGTCCCGAGCCCCTTATGATTCCTCCGAGGTGAAATGCACGGCATAGCTAGCCTAGTTTCCCCATCGGCCCCGCTCCTGCCTCTCCAGCTCGTCTCTCTTCCGATCGCCGGTCGTGTACGCGAAGCCTCCCGCAACGCTGTTGGCAAGCCCCAGCGTGATGGCGCCAGCTCGGACACCCCCTCGTACCGTGAACTTGTTGCGCAGGCGCTGCTTTCGCCGGAGAGCGAGGAGGGTGTAGATGCCCGACCAGGCGCAGGTAATGCCTGCCGCATCGGTGGGGAAGCCGGCGAGCGACACGTACGAGCCGAAGAGGAGGGCCGGGGCCATGAGAAGAGGGAGCGGTTGGAGAGGACGGGCGTGGAGGGCGGTGATGAGGATACCGTGAATCGCTGGAGGAAGAGATGACGCTGTTTGGGGTTGGGCAAGGTTAGCAGAGGAGCCAGTTTTAAGTCTTTAGAGGGGACTCAATCAATCAATATAAAAGACGTAGGATAGAAGATGAACATACTGCCCCAGTTTCTTATCTTTTCCGTCAGTGAAGTTTGATCTTCATGGCCGTCCGTGGCCCCTCGGGACGATGCCATGGCGCTGGCTCCGGCTGCTGTAAAGCAGGATATTACGAGGCAGTAGCAGAGGCAGCCTACCTACGAAGTACTGTCGTCATGGCATGAATGGAGAAGACTGTGAAGAAACGTAAGGTTGATGCACCTTCCCGGCTGCTGACTAAGCTACGAGATGTACCCGTCCTTCTGGTGGTACCAAAGTACGTCGTAATTACAGGGTAAGATTTCTTGCATCCTGTCCTTCCCGCACTTCATAACACTAAACCTATTCAAGCCTCTCTCCTTTGTCGCCGCCGGCCGAGAGCGTTTCCTTTGAAGCCACGAGGTTTCTTCAGGGTCCTTGACCACTGTCCCGCTCACCCTTCTCGGCGGCTCAGTGTCGTCTCGGTACTCCGCCACGAATTCTCAAATTCCCAAGCCGTCAATCTTATTTCGCGTTTTCTCCGGAAGAGGCCACCACTAGTTTTCTTCCCCCCCCCTTCGACGACGCCAGGATATCCCGATATCTGTTTCGCACCACCCATCTTCGCTATACGGTCTTCTTGAGGCTGTTGACGTATATCATCGACACAACAAACAACGCATCCAACCCTCCCCCACCAACGCCCTCACCGCCCCCTCAAGGCGCAGCGACAGCCATGTCCAGCGCTACAGCTTCGGGTGCCAGCGCAGGCGACGGCGCTGCTCGAAACCGTGACCACAAGCAGGGCAACCAGGGGAGGACATACACGCCCGAGCAGCAAGCCACCGTCCTGCGCATCCGAAAATGCTCACCCACCGCCTTCTACGACATCCTGGGTCTCGAGGAAGTCAGGACGACGGTGACGGACAGCGAGATCAAAAAGGCCTACCGGAAGCTGTCCCTCCTGACGCACCCGGACAAGAACGGTCACGAATACGCCGACGAGGCTTTCAAGATGGTCAGCCGCGCGTTCGGCGTCCTGAGTGATAAGGACAAGAGGGCGAGATATGATCAGTTCGGGACGGACCCCGATTCGCGGTTTGGCCAGGCGCAGGCCCAGAGTCCGTTCAGCGGCTTCGCTAGGAGAGGAGGCGGCGCTCCGGCGGGCGCGGGCGCGGGCGGTGCGGGTGGAGGGCCGGGCATGTGGGGAGCGGAGGACATGACGCCTGAAGAGATGTTCCAGAGATTCTTTGGAGGCGGGTTCGGTGGTCCCTTTGCAGGTAAGGCGCGATAATATCCCCACCCAAACATCAAACCCCCCACCTCGGACTTGGATGACGAGGATGAGGGCGAGGACGAAGACCAAGACGAAGACATACTAAATCCATTTACTTTCCAGGCTTCGACACCGGTCCACAGTTTGTCTTCAACTTCAACGGCGGACCTGGGTTCAGGGTGCACCAGTTCGGCGGTGGGCGTCCGCGCGGGCGCCCGAGGCAGCCAGCGCAAAACCAACAGGCAAGCACCATGTCCACCCTCATCGGGCTCTTGCCTCTCCTCCTCTTCTTCCTCTTCCCCCTGCTCAGCGGCCTCTTCACCGGCGAGTCCCGACCTTCCACCCCGAGGATGTACTTCGACCAGCCCAACCCGCCGTACACGATGGAGCGCCACACCGCGAGGCTCAAGGTGCCCTACTACGTCAACCCCAACGACGTCAAGTCGTATTCCGAGTACAAGCTGAGGCAGCTGGACGGGACGGCCGAGTCGTCTCTAATACGTAACCTGCGGTTCGAATGCGACACGGAGATGGCCATGAAACGGAGGCTGTACGACTCGGCGAATGGATGGTTCTTCCAGGACCCGGAAAAGATGCAAAAAGCCAATGACTATCAGATGCCCTCTTGCAGGCGACTCGACCAGCTTGGAGTACATCGGTGACATACATGACCTAGACGGGACAGTGGGGGTTTATTTTATGACGAAGAAGATAAAGAAGACAGGCGCGAGTGAATTCGCATTTCAAGAATCTTCTCTTTCCCTTTACTCTAGAGTTTGGCGGCTTATATGGCGTCTTGGCGGGTAACTGTAGCATAATGCATCGTCCTTCCCATGTAAATGAAGAAGTCGTTCGCCCTGTACGTTTACGGGTCATCTGTGACCAGCTGAGCAGATGCCGGTCACATCGTGGGACGTCCTGTTATCTTTTGTACTCAGGAAACAACAGGGTCGCCGCGAGGGCAATCTCCATTGGGGCTCTCATTGCGTACCTCTTAACATTGTCGGCGTCAGTCACTATCTTGTGATGCGAAGCTTTGGAGTTAGGTGGCGATTCCGCCTGCTCGCCCCTTGAGTCCTGATTGCAGAGGTAAAACAGCACCGGGGAAGACGGGACGCTAACGTGTAGGTTGTGGAGCTGTGCCATCTTTTAGTCCTGTTCCTGGAAGAATAGCATGGTCTCAGGGCAGTTGGTTATTGCATACCGAGAAGACTGCTATATACCTTATACGGGATATACATAGAAGGTTGCACAGGTTCACGTTCCATACCAGAGGAATGTCTGTCAAAGACGCATCCCTCCTCGTCAACCCGGTATCATCTTGGTTTCTCCCCGTCTCTTCTGTTTCCTACTCTTCTATGAATGCTCAAAGCACCAATACTATCAGGACAAGACGGCCATCCATTTGACGCCCGGAAACGGCTCCTGCGCCCGTCAGCCCATACCTTAGACATCGGTCCGTCTGCCATCAGTACGTTGTTTGTTGTGGAAAGCGAGATGGAACGTCTAAGCGAGCTAGTGTGTCGGTGCTTATATATAAGACGAAGGTCTTGACTGGGCGAGTCGTCCTAGAGTCGGCGACCTCCGACTCCATGGGTGGGGATTCGCAAGCAATAATTGCGGTAACTGGCTTTAGTCTACTCGTAGTGGCATCAACGCTAATTGCATACTAGAATGCTACGGAAGAACAACGTCTTCACAATGTCTTTCTCCTGGTTTTCGTTTTCTGGTGTGACCGTCTCCCTTTCCCCTTTCGCCTTGCCCCCTTTTCCAGTCCTCTTCTGGGCCGAAACGTGTCTCACCTTATCGCCGTCTAATAGTGTAGCACTTTCCAATATGTCAAGATCGATGTGTCTCGGCCCGTCTCGGTATTATTGGCCCATCTGTACAATGCCTTTAGGACAAGTCATGGATAGACGAAAACCAAGACCCTTTTGTCCTGGGGGCCCGTCGTTCGGAGCATTCGGGACCTCAACAGCTCCGTATGGGTCGGTTCGCGAGGCACACGTAATACGATCGTCGTGCAAGTACAAAGTAAGACTTACACAGTACCTTATATCTCTGTAGAAAAGGAGGTACAGTACAGTGGATAATGGGACGGTTTCGTCGCTTCTCCGCGTCGGAGGATAGGCCTAATAAGGACGTAGGGGGAATAAGGAGAAGACGAGTCACGAGGGACTCGATTCTTATGCCCGGTTTCAGCATTTTCAGCATGCTGTCTTTTACCTATTAACGACGACCAAGACTGCAGGGACAATCATTATGGCCGTAAAAATTCGCGCTCCGCATGGGTACATGGAAAGCCATGAAGAATGCACCTAACGAAACCTTTCCATCGAGGGAAGAAAGATGAAGTTTTGAAATGAGGGGTGCTGGGTTGAGGTACTCCAATACATACCTTATGTATACGTAGCCCCAACGAGGCTTAATGACCAGGAATAAAACAGAAGGGAAAAAAGCCATGCCCGTCGATATCAATACGGATACGATGTAATTACCAATTTACCTTTATGGCTCAGGGCCCTGAGGCTTGGGCAACAGATTTGTCACTATTCATTCTAGACAGCCATGGCGAAGATATATGTTCGTTCCCCTTCAAATAAATACGAACACATCTACCCATCTCCAAAGCTAAGCAAAACAAAGAAGGAACATCCAAAGGTAAAGGCAAAGGGACAACAAAGATGCAGATAAGGTATATAAAGGCTTGACTACCTCTATCTATACAAGGTAAGGTAGTCTCAATCACAAAATAATGTGGTTTGTAATTCAGGTACTTTATAGACAGTATTACTTTATACCTCGGATCAAGGGTGAGAACAGACCAGGTAGAATAACGATGCAGCTGCAAACTACCCTAACCAGCTTATATAGATCTAGGTATCGAGAACTCGGTAAATACTCTATATCTTTCCGGAAATAAATAAAAGCAAGTAATACAGAACAGATAACAAAGATTCTTAGCTACTACTGGATTCCGATGATCCGAGTAGCTATATGCTACGTCAAGTGCTGCCCGGAAGGAGTACTTCGTATAATAGGTACCTTACAAAGCACAAAGTTCCATCGTAAAAGTAGCTAAAAACGCCCTCAAGGACCCACTATTCCACACACCTATGTACAGAGGTACCCGTGGTACGGCCTGGTACATACGAAGTACTTGTACAATTCTCGTATAACCTGACACTGGGATGGCGCCAGCACGCTTCGTCATGAACTGGCTGGGCAGACGAAGTACAATTTTGTGACACTGTACCAAAAAAGAAAGGACCCCCCACCCTTTCAACCTTCGTGAACTCAACCCTTGGTCCCAGGCCGCCACGCCGCACTGACAGTCTGCAGCTTCTTGCAGGGTTGTGGGTTGTTGCGTGAACGATCTTCTGGGGTATCGAACCAACATCCCGCTGCATCCCGCCTTTTCCTCTCCCCCCAAGCTTTTTCATTACCTACGGTATTATTACCTACCTACCTACATAAACCTATCCGCTATCCCCAATTCACCGACCTATTGCTTTCGCTTTCGCATCCAACTCCCATCTTGAATCCTCATTAGCCGAGGACTTGGCCAGCGCATCAACCCGTTTCGACGGTTCATTTGTTGCCCACCCATTTTTCTCCTTCTCCCCGCCTCACCTTTTGACTTGCTGCGGGTTTGGGGGGAAGTGATCTACTACCTAGTGGGATACCTACCCCCTGGGGACGCGAAGAGTTGAATCCCATCTTTACCTACCCGACAGATTACTCGAGATGGCATTCAATTCCCAACCTGCCCAGCGCAATCTCTGCGCTGCCTTCTTGTAGTCACTGTGGACGTGAAGAAGACACACCCACCTCCTGGATCGGTTTCAGGTCCCCTCTCCAGCTCACACGACCATCGCACACGCAAGCTCTTTTCCCCACGATCCGATATCCGAACCCTCTAGACATCATCAACGACTTTTCCACTCAAGACCTCATCAAGACCTTCATCTCTGCGTTTTGGGCAGAGGTCACAGCCGGCCTTAGCCGCAGCCTCAGCCTCTTTCTTCTACCTCTCCTACCGATCCAATCCCACCCTCCTATCTCTCGACATGGCTTCGAAACGCAGCACGAGAACGTTTCTCGACGACTGCCACCACGCCGACGTCGAGGTCTCTGGCACTCCGTCCTGCTGTGCCAGGCGAGAAGAGAATCCATCCAGCCTATTTAGCGAGACACAAAGTAGCAACTCCGCCCGACGGGAATCCAGGGAAGCCAGTCTCACCGTTGAGACGCCTCCTCCTTTGCCTCCGATCCGCAAACAAGGCATTGCTCCGTCAAAAGTCGACCATCCGCCATCCGCATCGGGACGACCCGATCGAGGCCGAGACTTGCGGCCACTCGGCCTCAACCTCCCAAGTCTGCCCACGACCCCCTCGTCCATGCAACGGACCATTCCAATGGAGGGCCGCCCTCCCAATTTTGGCGTCGTCGTTCCTGGGGTCTATAGGAGCAGCTACCCCGGGCCTGAAGATTTTCCGTTTATTCAGCAGCTTGGTCTCAATACTATGGTGTATGTTCCATCTCAATCCCATCTTTTCCCGTCGCTGCTTGAGCCGATGCTGACGCGCCATTCAGAACCCTCGGCCAGAAAGATGAGCTTGACGAAGTATACAGCAACTTCCTCACTGTCAATGCCATCCGGCATCACATCATCCCCATGAAGGGCACAAAAAAGGAGAGAATTCCCATCCAAACCATGAGAGACATCCTTCGAGTCGTCCTCGACCAACAACACTACCCGCTTATGATCCACTGCAACCATGGAAAAGTATGCATTGCCCACCTCTTTCCCTTTTCCTTCGGAGGGCCTCCTTTTCCCCACGCTCTCTGCTCCCAGTCGCATTGCTGACATGTACCTTAGCACCGCACTGGCTGTGTCGTGGCCGTCATCCGCAAGGTTTCCGGCTGGGAACTCGACACCATCCTCGACGAGTACAAGGCCTACGCCGCGCCCAAGATCCGCGACTGTGATGTGCAATACATTACCGAGTTCGAGCTGTCGGAATTGTCAAATCTCTTTGTGCACGAAGCCAACATGCGTCTTCGCGTCCGGAGGTTTTTCCGGACGACCGTCTTCGCTTTTGCCGTCTTGTTCATTTGGGCTGTGTCTAGCAACAGGATTTCCTACTCGGCTGAAATTGCTGGGACTCTGGAGTAACGGAGTTTTCGGAAGGGAGCCGCGATCGGACTGTTATAAATTTGTCGGGATGGTGTTGGTTTGGTGTGTACACGAATGGTTTTGCGACCTAATTCTGGGTTTATTGGGACTGGGACTGCGCTGAAGAGGAACCAGTCCTCGAAGCAGGGCGCACAGGTTAGAGGCAGAGATCCAGGTGTTAAGATAAGAGTTTCTTGTGCCGTGCTCTGGCTTTGCTCTTTGCTCTTCTTTTATATCTCCTCTCTCTCTATTTCTTTTGTTCTGAGATTAGACGGGGGACTGAATCAAGAGCTGAGACCGTCTCTCAATGGGGGCGTTAGACTGGAATACAGTTGGAAGGGTAGGCAGCTTCTTCTCTGTACTATGTCTTATTCCATAGAGCCGAGAAAAGGCCTTCAAATCCTTGGACGACTGTTCGCTTTTGTCTAGTGTGAGTACGATACGAGATGCTTGCCCTGGTTCCCTCGCCATACGGCTGGACTTGAGAAAACATGACCACCAAGGTCCACGCTGTATTTCTATCGTATGGCCTATATCCGCCAGCGACCAACATTGGAATCGCAAAACCACGGCCGCTAATACCGGTATAATGTGTGCCCCAAAACGCCGATCTATGCTCTCCTTCTCACGGTTATCCCAAAAATGCTAAAGATACATGATGCTACTCCATATCCCGTGAACGAGCATCACGCCCATGACCCCCAGGCCACGGAACGCCATGTCCGCGTCGTATCTTACATCCCCCCTTGTCCAGATCTGCACGGCCACGTGGCAAGCAAAGCCGAGCTCCGCAATCCCCACCGCCGTGCTCGCAACAGGCACGGCCAACGGGCCAGAGCGAGCCCCGAGGCCGGCCAGGGCGTCGCCGGTCAGACGGATACCAACGGCGATGCTCAGACATATCGAGCCAAGCATGGCGTCCCGACTATACGAGTAGTAATCCGACGTCGCGTGAAGCCATACGCCCAGTAGGACAACGAGCGTGAACGTGTCCATGAGACGATCCCTCGCCGTTCCCCTCTTCGCTGGTAGATGTATTTTCAGCTCGATATCGCGATCATCCCGACGACCCGCCTTTTCGGATTCATCACTCGACTCGTCATCCGCGCCGAGAGTGAAGCTAGAAGTCAACATGTCCGCCAGCGAGGTCCGCGGATCGTTCGGGTTGTGATCGGAAGTGGCGAAGAAAGATGGCTGGGAGAATGTGACCTTCTGGCCTTGGTCGTCGTTTTGTTGTTGTGGGGAGACGCTGGATTGGAGGGGCCGGTTGTTGGCGGGGAAAAAGACGGCCTCCTTCTCAACTGGTTTCCTCCTTAGAACAGTCGCGGGGGCTTTTCGCAGTCTCGCCCCGGGGGCAGTCGGTGCTGGCGGCACTTTGTACCAAAAGGGGCTCGCACCGGGGTCGGTGGGTGAGTCGCCGAATGCCTTGCGCTCGTTACTGGGAGAACCGAAGTCGTTGAAGGCCCGGTATTTCGAGTGCGTCGGGGTCCACTCCATCTCTTCCGGGTAGTGGACGGGTGGCGGCGGTTCGCGAATTCCGAGTGAGCCCAGGTTTACTTCGCTAGCAGGGTTGGTGGCACGTTGGGCAATGGCTGAACGGGCGAGCACTGCGGGCGAGGTGGTCTCCTGTGGGGATCGTCGCGCGGGACTCTTGTCCTCGTTTAGAATTTCGTCCAATAGGTTGGACATGTTTGGTGTGCCAGCCTCCCTTTTCGGGGCGGGACTCCTCGAGGGTGTCGTCGTCGTCGAGGGGCTAGCTGACTGAAACAGAGGCTTGGTGTCGACGCGGACGGATTTGCGGGCAAGAGTGTAGAACTAGGCGGCAGGATTAGTATTCGCCGACGGTCTTGCAATGAGACTTCGACATCAACACGGATTGTGTGACTTACGACGACCATGACAAGCGCTAGGAGGAAATGGAGACCAAGGCGAGCGCTCGGTTGAACTTCCTGCCCGCCGGCAATGTCGGTAATTCTGACCCCGATGAACCGAACCAAGATGACGAGGCCCTGAAAGATATACCATTGCGATAGTCCCAAAATGTGCCTAGAAAAGCCTCGGAACACTTGGACAAATCGAGGATTCCACCATGCGCTAGCGATACTGGCCCATATACTGACCGTCGCGAGGAAAGGTGCGCTGGGGAGTATGTCCGTCAGATGCCTAAGAAGCAACAGAGGCCGTGAAAAGTCCTCGTCCGGGTCACGCAACGGTCCAGGTGTGCTGGTAGTGACCAGGGTTGACACAGATACCAGGTGCCACAGCAACTGAGACGCGAGACCCGTCAGCCATAGCCACCGACCCAAGCTGTCGAAACCGTCTAGTGGGGTCCATCGCTTGGGAGCCGAGAGTCTCTGCCTGCTCCTATCGATCATACGTCGAAGGTGATCCGTCCGCGCCTTGTAGCCGGCCTCTTCGACCTTGGCGGCGACCTTGGGCTCACACTCGGCGCATATCTGCGGATAACGTTCCTCTAGGCGCCGCCTGAACTTGTAGTAGGATTTTTCGAGTTGCGCGGAGTCCGGGTGATCGGGGTCATCTGGCAAGTATTGAGCCAGCGAGGATGTGAAGAGGTGTTGGTTCTTTAAGCAAGTCGCGCAAAAGACGCTCTGCGACTCGGTCGCCGGTTCGGGAGATTGTGTTCGGGGGATGGCGTATTGTGGTACTTGGGCGCGCGAAGTCTGCATCGCAGGAGGATCGGTTATGTCGCCGTTCTCCACAGATCGCGTGTTAGCTTTGCGACTCTTGGGTTGCTGGGAATTCTATTTTGTGTCGATCCGACGTAATGTAACTGACTCACCTCGTCTAGATAGTTCATCGCATCGCAATGAAGACAGAGGAAATCGCGGGTTTGGCGGTCGAATTTGATGGATGACCGCTGGCCGCAGTAGAAACAGGCAAGATTGCCTTTCGGCCGTAACCTCGCCATAATATATGCGTGTCTCCAGGGCGGGGCATCAGGCACAATAGAATGAATGCATTTGTTCTCGACGGATCTGTCGTCTTCCAGATGTCACCAGCCCAAGGTGTTGTATGGTTGAATATTCTGGAAGTTTTGCCGAGCGGTCAGGCATCGTGACGTTGAAGAATAGGTAGGTACCTAGTACGGTACGGGGTAATACACCTCAGGGAGCCCAGAGGGTCCTGTCCAATCACAAGCTCTTATTCAGGGCGTACCTGACCGGTAAGTACAGCAGTACGTACTCGGTATGTACAGACACGTCTCCTCTGTCACTTGTGCCCGCATCGCCAACCTCAGCGAGAGCTTCACTGCACCTACAATACCTTCCCTACCTCTACCTTACATATACACTTCCAACAGCCGATTTCGCCAACATCTTAGGTATCGACTTTGATATTACCTGCGGGTCAAACCTGCCAGCGAGAATATCTACAGACCCAGGCTTCAGCTCAGCAACTTGGTTCCCATATTTGGTCCCAACGGCGCATACAAGTACATGGTTTCCTCTCACTCTGCTTCTTTCGCATCGCCAGTGGAAGGGCTATATGGCCCGTGGGACATGTGCTCTGTGAGTACCTAGTCTTCACGACTCACTCTGCGACTGGGTTTGCGGACAGTTCAGTTACCCTATGGAAGAAACCTGATAACTGTGTTGCCTTGAGGTTGTCATACTTTCCTCAGACTTCTTATCATGGAAGGCAAGGCAGGACGGGCTACCCCTGCTCTCGTCAACATCTTTGCATTTCCATGTGCTCTTGGTGTTGGACTTCTGGTGTATTCTTCTTGGGCGGCCGCGCTTGTCCTCTTAGGCTCTGTTTTTTGGATCCTCGCTGCCTTTATCTTTGTAAGACCCTAAGCTCCCCATCCTGAAGTTCGTGATGTACATGTCGTACTAATGTGATCAAGGTGAGACATGTTACCATACTGCGCGCACGGCAAAGACATCCCATCAAACTTCATAACCTTGCTGTCCAGAATGGCTTCCAATCGCGATGCCTACGGGATGGTTATTTCGTGATTGTACTAGGATCGGGAGGCCACACGAAGGAGATGCTGGCCATGATGGAGACGAAATTCCCCCAGGGGGCTGGCCTTCATCGCAGGTACATCGTATCCAGCGGCGACACCATGTCCATCAAGCACTTGAACGCCTTCGAGGACAGGATGCAATCTGCACATGGGAATGGGCAGGCAGGGACTTTCGATGTCCACATCGTCACACGCGCCCGCAGAATCCATCAGCCCCTCTGGACGACGCCCGTGACAGCACTACGCTCCGTCATCGAAATCTTCCCCCTCATGCTGGAATCGCCCTTCGATGGTTCCAGGAGGAGACAGCGGTACCCCGACATCATCGTTACGAACGGCCCTGCAACAGGTTTCATCGTGGCTTTGGTCGCACACCTTCTCAAGATTTTCCATGTCGTCCCCGAAGATGCAATGCAAATATTATTCGTCGAGTCTTGGGCGCGCATCAAGACGCTGAGCTTGACTGGGAGGCTCTTCCACCACACCAGCATCGCCGACATGTTCTTGGTGCAGCACAGGGAAGTAGCGCAGAAGTATGGTGTGGATAATGCGGGGTGTATGGTGATCGGGCATGTGGCGAGATGATCGATACACGGCGCTACCTTGTTCGTGGTGTCTAGACGCCTCTGGGAGTATATAACACAGAAATTGTACAGGGAAACGCAAAGTGTTTCCAAGATGATGATCAGCGCGAGAACTCGGCCATCTCCGCGTCTTCCACCTCCACCCCCGCGTCTGCCGGATCGTCCTCCTCGCCAAAGTGTGCGTATTGGGTATTGCGATTGCGCTCCAGAGCGGCCACCTCCTGCGCTGCCCACTTCTTCCAGGTTTCGAATTCCTTGCCTTCGAGAACCTGTGATATATCCAGCCTGTTCTTCCCAAAGTATGCGCCGACATATCTCGCTTCTTCCCTCGCTACCCTCTTTTCGATCTCCTCTTCCTGGCGTAGGGCGTAGAATTCCCGCCTTGCCACGTCGTATGCTCGGTCCTTGGACATGCCCTCGTTATGCATCAGCCAGAGCTGCCTCTGAACGGCACTGCGATAATGTTAGTCCATTTGAGTCGAGTACCCAAAAGGTGCCAAAATGTCTCACCATTCGCCGCTCAGAGCTATGCCTGGTTGCCGTACGCCCTTGCTCCAGTCACATCGCATCGCATCCTTCCCGTCAAGCTCCAGAATTATCCTCGGCCGTGCCAGCTCCCAGGGGTGGTCTCTGTAAAACCTGGACCGGAGCTCGTCTTCTTCGTAAACGATCTTCTGCGGTTTGTAGATGTTCTTTGGCTTTCTCGCGCGTGTGTTGGGCGGCGCGTGCTGGACAGGGATCGGTCTCGTGAAAAGCTCGGAGGGAGAGACCGCACCAAGCACCTTGTACCAGGGCGGTTCTTGGACGCGATAGGCCGGCATAACTTTGTTGGCCATTTCTTGCGTGAGAGTCTGGTAGACCCTTTGGGCCCGTAATTGTTTCCCCATTGTCTTCCAGGCCGAAGAGCAGCGGTATCAGCGCTGCCCCGTAGTGGAATGGTCGAATTATCCCCAATTATCTGCAATGGTTGTCTGTTGTCACGTTTCTCTTCGACCTTGGGCAATCGACGAGCTTCCTTCGTATGTACGAAGTGCTGAGTAAATCGAAACTAGACTACGAAGCACGAATAATGCCGAGTTCGCGAAGAATTTTGGGCTTAGGTACCTACAATACTGAGCTGACCGAGTTGATCGGCCAATCCTAGACCCGGGCCGACAGACTGTGGCTGAGAACATCACGTAATACGTAACAGACGTGGCGGGCTGTGGCTGAAATGTGTACGGCCTTCCGTAGACCCACTTCGAGGTATTGGGGGGGACCTGGAAAATTCCCAACGACTTACAGCTGTGCTTCTAAATTAATGCTCCTGCTCGGCACGTCTCCAAAGAACCCAAAGAGACCTTTTTTTCTCGCTCACTTTTTGCCCAATTGGTGCTTCAGGGGATTTAATATCACTCTATACGAGATGCCGGGCAACTCATGAAATCCTTCAGAGGGTTAGACGGGTCGATATGCGGCGCGATCCTCTCGAATCGACCGTCTAGTCTACCAGTCGTCGCGTCTTGTCCAAGGTCGTCTTCTTCCGGGCATCGACCAAAGCCTCGCCGAATACCACCAGTCGCCGTTGCCGTTCCGCCTGGTCAGAACACGATCTCCCATCGTTACACATGCTCTTCGTCTACTACCAGGTCCCGTTGCCCTCGAACCACATCATGGCTTCGGTCAACCTTTTTCGCCGACTCTATTCACCACGACATGGCCTACCCTTCTTCTGCCTCCGCCTCGAGCCGCCACCCACAGTCACAGTCACAAACGCAATCACGACGGTACAGCCACCAGGCTGTTGCCACGTCCCCGCAACAACACAACCCCATATTCGATCGGCCCAAGAAAGACGAGCTTCTGGCCATCATTGACCACGAGCGTGCCGGGACGGTGGACGATCATTTGCAGTTCGTTCGTGACCCGTACCTTCGGCGCTATGCACAACCCGACGGTCCGAACCTTACTATATCCGACAGGAAGGAGGACATCCACTACCCTTCACGAGACGAGGCCTTGAGGGGTGACCCGCAAGTGGCGGAAACCGTCAAGAAGCTCCGTAAAATGCTCAACATGCGTCTCAAACACCCCGGCCTCATCGGCTTGAGAGCGATCTATGCGATGTACTGCACCTTGCCCACCCCTCGGATGCTGCACCTACCCGCGACACTGCGCCATCGTCTGCTGAAAGTACTGGGGACGCCGAAGCGCCGGAACTCGAAGTCCATGCTTCGGTTCTTTGCGGTTATTGGTGAGGTACAGCACTGCGGGCTGACCTTGCGCCGGCGTGAGTGGAATGCGGCCCTGGCACTGGCGAGCCAGTATGTGAGCCACACTACGGATACGGAAGCTGAAGCAACCCTTCGGCTATGGAACGAGATGGAACGAAATGGCGGGGAGAAGGGGAATGGCGTGACGTTCAATATTTTGTTCGACGCAGCCTCCAAGTCGGGCAACTTTGCACTGGCCGAAAAAATCTACGGCGAGATGGTGTCGAGGGGTATACAGTTCAACCGTTACCATCACGTCAGCCTGATCCACTTCTTCGGTTTGAAAAAGGACGAGGACGGCATTCGAGCCGCCTACAAGGAGATGGTGGACGCCGGGGAAATGATCGACACCGTGGTGCTCAATTGCTTGATAGCGAGCTTCCTCCGTGCCGGGGACGAAGCGGCTGCCCTCCGCGTTTACGACTATATGAAGAGCAACAACCCGAGGGCAGCCGCGTTGCCGGCAACCGACTACCGCATGAGTCGGGTTGCGGTGCAGGTCCTCATGATGTTCGGCAAGGTGGGACGGAACCATCCCTCCATGCGACCTACTTTGCAGGAGGCGGTCGTCAACACCCCCGACTTACAGACCTACCGCATCCTCCTGAACCACTACGGCGTCACCGCGGGCAATCTCAACCGGGTCGTGCAGTTCCTCGACGAGATGAAGTGGTTTGATGTCCCCGTACATGGCGCCATCTTCCTTATTCTCTTCAAGGCCTTTACCCAACACGGCGGCCGCCCTTACCTAGGTTGGACGGAGGATCGGCTTCGCAGCGTCTTCTCGTCTCTGCTTCACATCCTTGACAACGAAAACGGCCAACATCTGTACATTGACACATGGCTTGCCGGGTGGGCGCTGCGTGCTTTTCTCCGGTGTTCGAATAAGGACGCCGTCTTGGACGCCTATGATGAGCTGAAGTCGCGGTGGGAGTTGCCGGAGGATCGGGTCGAATATATGGAGGCATTCCTGCACAGACTGCTCAGCAACGAGCCGGAGTCCGGGAGACACGACTCCTCCACCAGTCTTGGGGTGCACAGGAGAGGTAAAGCTGGATTGTGAGATCAAGATTGAACATTGTACCATATTTAGAGCCAATTATGCCACATATAGACCGGAGATGCCATGCCAGGATCACAGTGCATCCAATAAAGATACCTATGCCATGAGTTCTTTCTGGAATGAAGCTAGCAAGCAAGTGAGGAAACTTCAAGTCACAAATGAAACGGATAGATTCGAGGAAAGAATGCCACGGGCGCCGGGTAATGCACCCTACCTGTATTTCATGTTGTGTACAGATCCTCCACCGTCCCACCGTACCTGGGTGCCTCCACTTGTACAACCATCGTTTTATCAACGCCAGTATAGAACCTTTTAGCAAGGTGCTTTACTCCTCCACATACTTGCTCTGCTTCCAGGCTGTATCACATAAAAAGGGTCAGTCAGCCTTCGTCATCTGGGGAGGACGGACAAGGACAAGGACATAAACCACGCACCGGCGATGCCGAACGGAAGTCCGAAGCCCACGGCCATGAAGGTCCAGTAGCCGGTGCCGAACCACTTGGCCTTAGGGTTGAAAGGGATGTTGGAGAGAGGGCCCTCGGGGTAGTGGTAGGGAGAAGACATCTGTGCCCGTGTCGTTTGGAAGCCTCGGCGGGCAATGGCCGAAGGGTTCTTGGGGGTCGCGCGGATGACGGCTCGGGAAAGCATCTGTGGAACTGAAATTAGCTTCGTGTGAGGCGGTCGAGAGATGGATCGTGGCGTTTGCATGCCTTGAAAGGTGTCTACACTGACAATTGCAGTTCAATGGCAGGGTTTGAGGTCGGTTAGGTAGGTGGTCGATCTATGAAGCTGTGCTGGCAATCGATCTCGGAAAATCGTCTGAGCTGTCGTTCCATTCGCCCTCGGTTCCAAGATCACGTGTATATATATGGCTTAGTAATAGTTTTTGTTCTGCGATGCATGCAAAAGGGACTATGTATGTATATAGACGTCACCGCCTGCCTTTTTCCCTTGCAGTTACTCCATCCAGAAGGTCGAGGAACTTTTTTTTTCTGCCGCCCTGGGCAACACCCTCCATCCCGTGTGCGCGACGGTCTTCTGGCCACCCACTCCTCAACCACCTTATTCTTTAGCCTCAAGAGGTAGTCTCCGCCTCTTTTTTGTGAACACCAGAATCTTTCTCGTCTTAAGATCCGATATTCTCTCTTTGAGTGCTACTGTCAAGGATCCCTCATTGTACTCACAAGCGCCAGGATACCATACTCTGGGCGCAAGACGTCGAGATGGATGACCTTTTCGACGTCTTCGAGGGCAGCGGCCAGCCCGACACCGCAGAGGCCAGCGAAGCAGAGGCTGCCCCCCAACAGTCCCGTACCAAGTCCAAGAAGTCCGACAAAGATAAGAGCAAAAAGCGAAAAGCCGACGGCCGCGTGAAGAATCAAGTCGTTAACCAAGATGCCGACGTTGATATGACCAACGGTGGAGAGGTTTCGAAGGACGAAGCTCAACCGGAATCTCGTCAGCCCTCGTCCGATGCTCAAAAGGAGGAAGAGAGCAACAAACGGCGCAAGAAGGAAGATGAAGCGGAACCAGTTCTCACCGACACGTTCCAGACGGCCGAGTCTAGACAAGTCGAGGGCGCGCAAACTTTCACCCCTGGCGAGGGCGAGGCGATTGTGTTGTCTCATAACATCCAGCATCAAGTCGCCTTGCCCCCCGATCTAGATTACGAATACGTTCCCCTTTCCGAACACAAGCCGCCCGCCGAACCCGCCCGTACATGGCCCTTCAAACTCGACCCCTTCCAGAGCCTCTCGGTCGCCTCCATAGAGCGTGACGAGAGTGTCCTAGTCTCCGCTCACACAAGTGCCGGTAAAACAGTCGTCGCAGAGTACGCCATAGCGCAGTGCCTCAAGCGGGACCAGAGGGTCATCTACACCAGTCCGATCAAGGCCCTTAGCAACCAGAAGTACCGAGATTTCGAGGCCATGTTCGGTGACGTGGGCTTGATGACAGGTGATGTTACTATCAACCCCACGGCCAGCTGCCTCGTCATGACGACGGAGATTCTGCGTTCCATGTTGTACCGCGGTTCCGAGATCATGCGCGAAGTTGCCTGGGTTGTTTTCGACGAGATTCACTACATGCGCGACAAGACGCGTGGTGTTGTCTGGGAGGAGACCATCATCCTTCTTCCTGACAAGGTCCGCTACGTCTTCCTGTCGGCCACCATCCCCAACGCCTTCCAGTTCGCCGAGTGGATTGCCAAGATCCACCATCAGGCTTGTCACGTCGTCTACACCGATTTCCGACCGACTCCTCTGCAAAATTACTTCTTCCCCGCCGGTGGAAACGGGATCTTCCTGGTGGTCGATGAGAAGGGAGTGTTCCGCGAGCAGAACTTCCAGAAGACCATGGCGGCGGTCGAGGCATCCCGCGGACAAGACTCGAACGACCCCAACGCAACGTGGAAGGGCAAAGGTGCCAAGAAGAAGACACAGAAGGGCGGCGCGAGCGAGTCGCAATCCGACATCACCAAGATCATTCGCATGGCCATGTCGAAGAACTTCCACCCCGTCATCGTCTTCAACTTCAGCAAGCGAGAGTGTGAGAACATTGCGCTCGAGATCTCCAAGTTCCAGTTCAACACCGCGTCGGAGCAGGCCATGGTCCGCAAGGTCTTCACCAGCGCCATCGAGAGCCTCTCCGAGATCGACCGCCAGCTGCCTCAAATCCAGCACCTTCTCCCCCTCCTGGAACGAGGCATCGGAGTCCATCACTCTGGATTGTTGCCCATCCTGAAAGAGACCATTGAGATTCTGTTCCAGGAGCAGCTTATCAAGGTTCTGGTTGCCACAGAAACCTTCTCCATCGGCCTCAACATGCCGGCGAAGACGGTCGTGTTCACCCAGGTCACGAAATGGGATGGCATCAAGACCCGACCCCTCACGCCCTCCGAGTACATCCAGATGTCCGGCCGTGCCGGTCGTCGTGGTCTCGATTCCCGCGGTATCGTCATCATGATGATCGACGAGAAGATGGAGCCCGATACGGCCCGCGGCATCGTGGTCGGACAGCAAGACCGGCTCAATTCTGCCTTTTACCTTGGTTACAACATGATCCTGAACCTGCTTCGAATCGAGGCCGTCTCGCCCGAATTCATGCTTGAGCGGTGTTTCCATCAGTTCCAGAACGCCGCCAGCGTCCCTGCCCTGGAACGCGACCTCATGAATCTTCAACAGGAGCGCGACAACATGGTCATCGCCGACGAGTCGACGGTCAAGGACTATTACAACATCCGGACGCAGCTCGAACAGTACACCAGGGACATGCGCTCGGTCATTCAGCACCCGAACTATTGCCTCGACTTTCTGCAGCCGGGCCGACTCGTGCGTATCTACAACCCCAAGCATCAAGATGACAGTCTGGACGGCGCGGATTTCGGCTGGGGTGTTGTGGTCAAGTTTGTGAAACGCCGCGAACCCAAGAAGGGCGAGCCGACGTATCCCCCGCAAGAAGCTTACCTCGTTGATGTCTTGCTCCCCGTTTCGGCCGAGAGCAGCGAAGTGAATCCGGGACCTAACCAGACGACGGAAATGCCCAAAGGCTTGTATCCGGAGACGTCGTCCGAATCGGGCCGCTTCGAGGTGATTCCCTGCTTCCTGTCGTGCATCAAGAGCATCAGCCAGATCCGCGTCTTCATGCCCAAGGATCTCAACCAAAAGTCCAGCAGGGACGAAGTGCGCGGGGCGCTCCTCGAAGTCAAGAAACGGTTCCCCGACGGAATGCCCCTCCTGGATCCGATCGAGACCATGGCCATCACGGATGATTCGTTCAAGAAGTTGCTTCGGAAGATCGAAGTGCTCGAGTCGCGCCTCCTGACGAACCCTCTTCACGGGTCTCCACTGCTGCCGGAACTGTATCTGAGGTACAGGGCCAAGGTCAAGCTGTCGGAGCAGATCAAGGAGAAGAAGAAGGAGATCGCCAAGGCCCATACCATCTCGCAGATGGATGAGCTCAAGGCTCGGAAGCGGGTGCTCCGGCGCCTGGGGTTCCTGAACGACGCGGAAGTCGTCCAGCTCAAAGCCCGTGTCGCGTGCGAGCTGTCATCGACCGAAGGCCACGAGCTGATCCTCGCCGAGCTGCTGTTTGATCGGTTCTTCAACGAGCTAGCGCCCGAGACGATCGCGGCGGTCCTGAGCTGCTTCGTGCTCGACGAGAAGCTGGAGGCGCAGCCGCTCAAGGAGGAGCTCGACAAGCCGTATCGCGCCGTTGTGGCCAAGGCGCGGCAGGTGGCCAAAGTGAGCATTGAGAACAAGCTCGACGTGAACGAGGAGGAATTCGTGGCCAAGTTCAAGTGGCAGCTGATGGAGACGGTGTACGCATGGGCCAACAACAAGCCTTTTGCAGAGATCTGGTAGGTCTTGTGGTCTGAACACGATGGGCATTTGTGCCTGGCGAAACTCCCATATGCTGACAGGATGTTTTGCAGTAAAATGACCAACGCCTACGAAGGGTCGCTGATCCGGCTCTTCCGTCGTCTCGAGGAGTTGCTCCGCCAAATGGCGCAAGGCGCCAAGGTCATGGGCAGTGAGGAGCTAACGTCCAAGTTTGAGGCGAGTTTGAACAAGATCCGCCGTGACATTGTTGCAGCGCAAAGCTTGTACTTGTGAAGGGTGAGTGAGGGTGGGAGGTAAGTTGCTTCATCTCCTGGGGAAAAGGTCGGGGCCAACCGTTGCCCTTGGGTTACGAGGAGTCGACCGACAATACGAGAATGCAGGAATGCGACACGGCGACGGTGCTTGGCCTCGTGCCCAGCGTTTCTCTCATCGGCGCGCGTGTTTATATGAACTTTCGGCATGATAAAAGGAGTTGAGGTTTGGACATGGATTATACCATTGTAGCTTTCTTGGATTTTCTGCTTGTCGAGACATGGAGGCATAAGGGGGCTTTGCATACCTCCCTCCTCCAGGCCGCCAATTCACTAGCATAATGGCCCTCTCTGCGCCGCAATCAGTGGTGACTGCATGGTTTCGTGATGTCTCAAGGCGTGACCACCCCGTATCATTCCATTACCTCTCTCTCGCGCGCGCGCGCGATATATTTGCTGCAGACCAAGGAGCGCCCAAATTGTCAAAACCCAATCATCCCGAAATGCTATCCTACAAGCTTCCTTACAAGATGTACACATATAGAACAACCGCCTTGTGCATCATCGGTTACTCGGTACCAAAAAGCGCCCGCATGATGCCAATAAAGATGCTAAAGGAAACGCCGAAGCCAATCCACACCCTCCACCTGTACGACACTATCCCCTCCTCCCGCGTGAGCCACACCAGGCCACCAAGCGGCCAGAAGAACCCCATCACCATCCCCTTGATCAAGCCGTCGAGCCCGTCGTGCATGGGGCTGAAGCCGTCGTCCGCCGCCCCGGCCGCGCCCTCCCCCGCAGCAGACCCCACGGCGGCCCCCGTCCCGCCGCCAGGCACGGCGTCGCCGGCGTTGGCGTCCACCCACGAGTCTTCCATGCTCTGCAGCGTATCGGGGGAGGGCATGGTGTCGGGCGTGTGGCGCTGGGCCTGGATATCGCGGAACTGGAGGTGGAGCTGGGAGACTTCGGCCGGGGTGAAGCCGGCGGCGAGGAAGCGGTCGAAGCCGCGCGGGGTGGGACGGGTGGTGGTGGTGGTGGTGGTGGTGGTGGTGGCGTTGGCTGGGGCGTTTTGCCTTGCGGAGGCTGCGGTGGAGGAGGGGAAGGAGGAGGCATCTTGTCGGGGGGTTGTGGAGGAACGGTCGGGCAGAGCGGGCGGTTTCTGGGCGGCTACGGCCTCGTCGGCGAGTTCGGAAGGGGTAAGGGTGTCGCCGATGCTGCAGATCACGTATACGCGATTCTGTTCGCGATCGAGTTGGCGTTCGACGGCCTTGCCTTTGCCTTTGCCTTTGCCTTTGAAGTCGTGCTCGTCTGCTTGAGATGGTCGTGGTGGAGTGAAGACAGGCGAGGGGAGTGCGGTGCTCAGGGCGGCGCCATCCTGGAGAATCCTTCCCTGGTAGATGAAGCGGAGACGGCGGGTGTTGTGTTTCGGGTCTAGGCGATCACGTATGAGGTGCTTGAGAGCAGCTACGGTGGTGTTTGCAGGGTTGGGGATGTCGAGGTCGAGATCGGGGAGAGAGGTGCTGAATCGAATCCTCAGCAGGAGAGGGTGTGGGAGCGGCGGTCGAGTCGCGGGAACGGGCTTGGCAGCCTCTGCCATCGTTAGCTAGAAGATGGCTTTAGATGGAACTCCCCAAGTCATGATGGCAGAGGTGACGGGCCTGGTAAGTTCAGCATACGGCCAGGCCAGTCTTGTTCTTTCGAGAGGTCACTGCAAGGTCCACCCGTTGTGTGACGTTGAAAGGGCAGAAGTACGTTCTGATGCGCGATAAGCACGGGAACAAGCCGCGCCGCGCCAAGATGTTCTACCTAGGGGGGTCTACTTCGTAATTTTTTGGAGCCGTTCTAGCCTTCTCACGCTGTGTACACGGTGTATTCTGAGTCGCCCCCCCCTCCTAAGCAGTTACATCTGAAATCTCTCTCCCCAAATGAAGCGAAGCTGAAACCAGGGGTGTCAAAAGCTTACCCAAAGTACTCCGTCTGTTTCCTCGTATAAGGTACACTGTAGCCCTTCGAAAGTACATAGTAGAAAACCCCCGCGGCCTCGGCAATCCGCGGGACGTACATACCTACTCTGCACGTACCCCTCCTTCCCAGGAACGGTACGTATCCGCACCCTTGCTTGCACCGATAATCGGGGGGTCAGCCAAATGGCGTAATTGGCGATTGCGTGACTCTGACTGGGACAACGTCAAACGGCGACTACGGGAGTATGAGAAGTTAATAAGGGACGTGGGAAGTTTTTGAGACCAACTTCTGGGAGACTTTGAGAACTGATAACGACGGAGCTACTTCCATCTCGGCCTGACAGATTCTCATTCCCCTCATGACTATCCTAGCGTCTCCTCTAGTCCGAATACCCTCACATATTTTCAGGTCCAGCCCCCGCAAACTCACACTCAGTACGCGAGTCGGCAGCAGAAGCTTCCATTACAGCGCGATGAGCCTCAGCGGCAAGTTGAAGCCAGCTGCGAGGGTGTCTGGCCGGCGGCAGGATGTCTGGTAAGTGAATGATGAGGGCGGGCCGGTGCGATTCGAGGGTGGAAGGGAGGGAGACGAACAAGGCATGGTGATGCTTCACTCCAGCTTCACTCTGGCCTTTGTCTATCCTCCCAGCCACGCGGAAAATTCTCACCATCATCCATTGACTGACTTTGCCCAGGTCCATTGTCAACGAGGCCGCTGCCGCCTCGCCAAAACAACCCATCGTCAACATGGGCCAGGGCTTCTTCGGCTACAACCCCCCCAACTTCATCCTAGACGCCGCCAAACAGGCCCTAGACCGTGTCGAGTGCAACCAGTACAGCCCGACCAAGGGACGTCCCCGCCTGAAGAAGGCCATCGCCGACGCCTATTCTCCCTTCTGGGGCCGTCAGCTCGACCCGGAGACTGAGGTCACTATCACCACAGGCGCCAATGAGGGTACGGATTGATTACCTCTACATTGCTCTCAAGTGCTGTACTGTCCCCTGTTGGGCTACCAAGGTTGACGCGGCTCTAGGCATGTTGAGCGCCTTCATGGCCTTTATCGAACCCGGTGATGAGGTCATCATCTTTGAGCCTTTCTTCGACCAGTACGCGCCTTTTCTTGTTTAGCCAGAACGCCCCTCTCCTTTACGTCGAGAGGGACTCACTGACACTTCGAGTTCCCAGGTACATCAGCAACATCGAAATGCCCGGCGGCAAGATCGTTTACGTGCCCCTTCATCCTCCGGCCGACGGCGGCGACAAGACCTCATCCGCCGCGGAGTGGAAGATTGACTTTGACGAGCTCGAGCGTGCCATTACGCCCAAGACCAAGATGATCGTCATCAACACACCCCGTGCGTTTGCATCCGATGTCATGTCTCCTTTTTGGTCGTGTCGTGTCGTGTCGTGTCGTGTCACCTTCGCTAACAGCCACCCAGACAACCCCGTCGGCAAAGTATTTTCCAAGGACGAACTTTTGAGGATCGGCGACCTGTGTGTTAAGAACGAGATCATTATTCTCTCCGATGAAGTGTACGACCGGCTCTATTATGTGCCGTTCACCCGCATCGCCACCCTGTCCCCGGAGATTGAGCGGTTGACGATCACGGTGGGATCGGCTGGCAAGAACTTTTATGCCACGGGCTGGCGTGTCGGTTGGCTCATGGGTCCCGCTGAGCTTATCCAGTATGTTGCCGCCGCACATACGCGCATCTGTTACTCCTCCGTGTCGCCCTTGCAGGAAGCCTGCGCCGTTGGTATGTGACCCGCCTGTCGTTCCCTTTCCCCTTTTTTATCTACCCTTTCAAAAAAGACGTTCTCTAACACGGCCCTCAGGCTTTGAGCAAGCCGACAAGTTCGGTTTCTGGGACGAGTCGGTGAAAGAGATGAAAGGCAAGATTGATCGGTTCAACGAAATATGGCACGAGCTCGGCCTCCCTTACTCCGAACCCCAGGGCGGCTACTTCGTGCTCGTCAACATGAAGAAGGTCAAGCTACCCGAGGACTACCCTTACCCTCCGCACGTCGCCAGCCGGCCGCGCGACTTCAAGCTCACTTGGTTCCTGATCCAGGAGGTAGGCGTGGCGGTCGTCCCGCCTACCGAGTTCTACACCGACCAGAATGCGCATATCGCGGAGGACTATATTCGGTTTGCCGTCTGCAAGCCGGACGATGTTCTCGAGACAGCCAAAGAGCGGCTGCGGGGGTTGAAGCAATATATCCAGGAGGAGGGGAGGAGAGAGTAGACGGTGTACACATATCATAACACGTTAGACCAAGACATTCTACTTGCGATGGAGGCACCTGCATCGGACAACTTCTTTTGACATGTGGTAAGTACTGATGTCTAGTCCTCGCCTTGGGTCAAACACCTGGAAACAACACATGGCTTCAAGAAGCAGGCAAGGTTCCCCTTGATCCCTTTTTCTCTTATTAGTGAACCAGGGTGAGCCATTGCTGGATTCCGAGTCAACTGCATTTTCATATCAACAAAATCCCTGCTTTGTTTCATCGTTTCCTTCTTCGAGTTGATCACTCTTTGCCCATTTTTCAGTGCGACTCGTCTCAGATTTCCTTTCATATATTATAAGGACACCGTGAACCCAGGCATCCGTGAGCCCTATTCGGCATAAACCGCATCACAGGAAGTAGGCACCACGCTATAGAAGCTGATGGCCCACGCAAGAGCGGAATCTTGGCTCCTTCACGTCTCCTAACCCCTATCGGCTTCGACTTTCCTTCCTTCCCACTGCCTAAGGTAGTCGCTCTTGCATATTACTTCTTTCCTCACCCTCGCCAACACAGCACCAAAAATTTCCCCCATCTTCACCCTTCTTATCCTGAAAATTCTTGACAACCATTGCAGACTCTACACACTTTACAATCCGTTTTGCCCCTTACACAATCGCAGAAACCCTGCTGAAGCTCAAGTCGTCTATCAAAATGGCTGAAAACGAAGTGCCCAAGGAAGCTCAGCCTGCTCAGAAGATTACTCTCACCGAGCGCGAGCAGGAGTTTCTCGCCCAGGCCTGGACCTGCATGAAAACTACGCCAGAGGTATGTTAAGAATACTATATTCAGTTTTTCGCGGCACACTCAGACTTATGCATCCTAAACTATCTGTCTTGACTCCAGATTGACTACAATCGCCTCGCCGAAACCCTGGGCATGACGAACCCCCGCTCTGCCGCCAACGCATGGTCGGCCATCAAGAAGAAGCTGTTCACCGGAACTCCCCCTCCCACTCCCTCCAAGGGTGGCGACTCCGAGAAGAAGCGGAAGCGGGCCACTCCCAAGAAAGCTGCCGCCGGTGCCGCTGCTGCTGCTGCTGGAGGCGATGGTGCCGACGACGGTCAGAGCGTTGCGACTCCCACCAAGAAGCAGCGTTCGCCTCGCAAGAAGGCCACGCCGGCCACTTCGGCTCCCGTCAAGGATCAGGCGGAGGGCGAGAACCAGGCTGCCAAGTCGGAGGAGACTAACACCGAGCCCGAGTTTTAGGGACTTGTCGTCGGCAAAGAGGAGCAGTGGGATACAGTGTCTCTCTCGTATAGATGGATGGACTTGTGATTACTGCTCTCTTCCTACACCTATTTGCTTTTTTTCTCTCTTCCTCTGGCTTGTGAACAGTGAAACGGCCTCTAGGATCGGCAGGATCATCTCAGAAATAGTGGCTTGAGCCCCAACCGAATAGGCGAATACAGTCAGTCATCAACACACTTCGCGTCCTATGTTGTCTAGTAGTCTAGTCACTCTAGTGAGGTTTGAATCGTGATATCACATGAGTCTCCATGATTCCATGGATTAAGAGATAACGGACAAACGCCTTCTCTTTTGTTTAACCTTTTGTGTTCAACGGGGTTAAGGTGAACAAATACCGAGTACGGCTCGGAGCCTCGGACCCGGCAGTGACCGGATGGATTGGTATAAGGTCGGTGAATTCCCGAGAGCAGCACGCCTGTCCCCAAGTCACGTTGATGCTCCGCCGTTCTCTTTCTTTCCCTTCTAAAACTTAACAACTTAGCCCTGTATCCGTACCTTGACCTGAAGTACGGGTGGTGGAAGAGGCCGGCCGGTACTTGTTGGGCGGGGGGTCGGAGCCGGCCGAGCTCGATGGAGATAAGAACCCGCTAACAGCAAGGGACAACGCTGTACTCCGTGCCGGCACTGTACTTTTAGCTTGTGTACCTATGCTCGGCAATTAGTGCAAATGATGGAGCTATTGTGGGCCACCGTCTGTTGGCGAGGTACCTGAATTTACCCCGCAGAAGTTGGAGTTGCAGGCGGGAGAAGATACTGTAAAATACAAGAAACCTGGCCATCACTGCATGTACCACAGTAACAGTAGCAGCTAGCGACCAGTGTCCTAGTCCCTGGTTGCTAAGGTAAGCATGTTTTAGGGGGATCGTGATTCGCCCCCCTCAGCTTATCGGCCCCCTCTCTCGTCCCAGGGGCAACGGCGCTCGAGTAGCACTTTCCAACTTCGCCTCCCTGTTCAACGTCCCTTTTCACCTCCGTCTTTACCCTTTTTTTTTTTTTTGGTTTTCTTCCTTTCTTCTACCAAACCTCACGAAACTCGGGAGTCACAACTTGACCTTTTTCGTTTTATCTCCTGTTTCAAGACGCGGTTCGCCAAACCGAGGCAGTGTGATTGCGGTCTACAACTGATTAAGCTACCTTACCTTGGGTAGGGAGCTTATCTATAATCTGCCCCGCCATCTGACAAGATACGAATACCTACACGCAGTAGACGGTCGGCCCGACTCCTCTCGATATTTTCTTCTTTCTGTCCGTTTGAACTTCTGCGTTTCTGAGACTCTTGTCTTCCTTTCTATTTTCTTCCCATTACTTGTACCTTTCTTGGTCTCTCTGTGTCTCGGTGACTGCTGGGTGTATTATGGCGCCGGCTGCGGTCTCTCTTGAGAGGGAGAGGGAGAGGGATGTTGGGGCGCTCTCTGCCCTTACCGCCACTTTCGACGACACAATCCGCTTCTATTTGAACGGCTCGAGGGTAGTTCTGGAGGACATTGATCCGGAGGTCACTCTTCTGGAATACCTTAGGGGTATTGGCCTCACCGGCACCAAGCTGTACGTTCAAGTCGCCCATCCTTCGGCCTGTCGTCCTCCCTTCCCCTTACCCCCCGTTTCATGCAAACAAACAATATTTCCTACCCCCAAACAGCATCTCCCGAGACATATGACTGACGTATTTGTCGCAGAGGCTGTGGCGAAGGAGGTTGTGGAGCATGTACCGTCGTCGTTTCTCAGTTCAACCCGACAACCAAGAAGATCTACCATGCGAGCGTGAATGCCTGTCTGGCGCCTTTAGTCAGTATCGACGGCAAACATGTTATCACCGTCGAGGGCATCGGGAACACCGATAGCCCGCACCCGGCCCAGGAACGTATCGCCAAGGGAAATGGTAGCCAGTGCGGTTTCTGCACCCCAGGAATCGTCATGAGCCTGTACGCCCTGCTAAGAAACAACCCATCGCCCAACGAAAGCGACGTAGAAGAAGCTTTCGACGGCAATCTTTGCAGATGCACCGGCTATCGATCCATCCTCGACGCCGCCCAGACTTTCACCTCAAAAGATAAGGGGTGCGGCCAGGCCACGGCCAACGGCGGTTCAGGTTGTTGTATGGAGAAAGCGGATGGTTCGGACGGCGAGAAGAACAGTGGCGGATGCTGCATGGACAAAGCGTCACTCGATGACCAGCCCATTAAGCGGTTCAACCCCCCGGGCTTCATCGCATACAACCCCGACACCGAACTCATCTTCCCGCCGCAGCTCAAGAAGCACGAACTGCGGCCCCTCGCCTTCGGCAATAAGCGGAAGAAGTGGTACCGCCCCGTCACCCTCGACCAGCTTCTGGCCATCAAGAGCGTCTACCCCGACGCCAAGATCATCGGAGGGAGCACCGAGACTCAGATCGAGATCAAGTTCAAGGCCCTTCAGTACCCCGTGTCGGTCTTTGTGGGCGACATTGCCGAACTTCGCCAGTACACTTTCCATGACGATCACCTCGACATTGGCGGGAACGTGGTCCTGACCGATCTCGAGTATATCTGCGAGGAGGCCGTCCAGCGTTACGGCCACGCCAAGGGTCAAATATTCGAAGCCATCCACAAGCAGCTCAAATACTTCGCCGGCAGGCAAATCCGCAACGTCGGCACGCCCGCCGGCAACTTGGTGACCGCCTCCCCCATTTCGGACCTGAACCCTGTGCTCTGGGCAGCCAATGCTGTTCTGGTTGCCCGGTCAGAGAGCAAGGAGACGGAAATCCCCACGTCTCAATTCTTCACCGGCTACCGTCGGACGGCATTACCACAGGACGCCATTATCGCGTCCATCCGGATCCCGATTACGCAGTCCAAGAGCGAGTTCTTCCGCGCCTACAAGCAGGCGAAGCGGAAGGATGACGATATTGCCATCGTCACCGCTGCGCTGCGCGTCAAGCTCGACGACGGTGGCGTCGTCACCGAGGCCAACATCGTGTACGGCGGTATGGCCGCTATGACGGTGGCGGCCCAGACGGCCATGGGGTTCCTTGTCGGCAGGCGTTTCGCCGAGCTGGAGACCCTGGAAGGCACCATGGGCGCGCTGGGTGCCGACTTTGACCTGCAGTTCAGCGTCCCCGGCGGCATGGCGTCGTACCGCAAGGCCCTTGCCTTCAGCTTCTTTTACCGATTCTACCACGACGTGCTCACCAACATCGACGGCCAGAGTGACATTGTCGACAAGGAAGCCATCGACGAGATTGAGCGGTCGCTGTCGGGCGGCTATGAGGACAAGGACACTGCTGCGGCGTACGAGCAGGACGTCGTCGGCAAGTCCAACAACCACGCCGCCGCGTTGAAGCAGGTGACGGGAGAGGCCCAGTACACCGACGACATCCCCCCGTTGAAGAACGAGCTGCATGGGTGTTTCGTCTTGTCCACGAAGGCGCATGCCATCATTAAATCCATCGACTACTCCGAGGCCCTCGAGGTCCCGGGGGTTGTCGACTGCATCGACAAGAACGACGTTCCTTCGCCGGAGCAGAATCGATGGGGCGCGCCCAACTTTGACGAGGTATTCTTCGCCGAGGACAAGGTGTACACGGCTGGGCAGCCCATCGCCATGATCCTGGCGACGTCGCAGCTCCGGGCAGCCGAGGCGGCGCGCAAGGTCAAGATCGAGTACGAAGAACTGCCGCCCATCCTATCCATCGAGGAAGCCATCGAAAAGGAGAGTTTCCACACGTATTTCCGCGAGCTGAAGAACGGCGACACCGAGGAGGCGTTCCGTACTTGCGATCACATCTTCAGCGGCACCGCCAGGATAGGCGGACAGGAGCACTTCTACCTCGAGACGCAGGCGGCCCTTGTGGTACCCAAGCCCGAGGACGGGGAGATGGAGATCTTCTCGAGCACGCAGAACGCCAACGAGACGCAGGTGTTCGCGGCCCGGATGTGCGGCGTGCAGGCGAACAAGGTGGTCGTCCGCGTGAAGCGGCTCGGCGGCGGCTTCGGCGGGAAGGAGACGCGGTCGATCCAGCTCAGCACGGCGCTCGCCCTGGCGGCCAAGAAAACGAAGCGGCCGGTGCGTTACATGCTGACGCGGGAGGAGGACATGGTCACGTCGGGCCAGCGGCATCCCTTCCTGGGGCGGTGGAAGGTCGGGGTGAACAAGGACGGGAAGATCCAGGCGCTGGACCTCGACGTGTTCAACAACGCAGGCTGGTCGTTCGATCTCAGCGCCGCCGTGTGCGAGCGGGCCATGTCGCATTCGGACGGCTGCTACAAGATCCCCAACGTGCACATCCGCGGACGGCTGTGCAAGACCAACACCATGTCCAACACGGCGTTCCGGGGCTTCGGAGGCCCGCAGGGCATGTTCATGGCGGAGACGTACATGGAGGAGGTGGCCGACCGGCTCGGCATGCCGGTGGAGAAGTTGCGCGAGATCAACTTCTACAAGCCCAAGGAGAAGACGCACTTCAACCAGGTCATGAACGACTGGCACGTGCCGCTGATGTACCAGCAGGTCCTGGACGAGTCGGACTACGAGATGCGGCGGGCGCTGGTCGACCAGTTCAACGCGGCGCACAAGTGGCGCAAGCGCGGGCTGGCGCTCATCCCGACCAAGTTCGGCATCTCGTTCACGGCGCTGTTCCTGAACCAGGCGGGCGCGCTGGTGCACATCTACCACGACGGGTCGGTGCTGGTGGCGCACGGGGGCACGGAGATGGGGCAGGGCCTGCACACCAAGATGACGCAGATCGCGGCGCAGGCGCTGCAGGTGCCGCTGGACAACGTGTTCATCTCGGAGACGGCCACCAACACGGTGGCCAACGCGTCGTCGACGGCGGCGTCGGCGTCGTCGGACCTCAACGGGTACGCCATCTACAACGCGTGCCAGCAGATCAACGAGCGGCTCGCGCCCTACCGGGAGAAGCTGGGACCGGGGGCGACGATGAAGGAGCTGGCGCACGCGGCGTACTTTGACCGGGTGAACCTGTCGGCGCAGGGGTTCTACAAGACGCCGGAGATCGGGTACGTGTGGGGCGAGAACCGGGGCAAGATGTTCTTCTACTTCACGCAGGGGGTGGCGGCGGCGGAGGTGGAGGTGGACACGCTGACGGGGTCGTGGACGTGCGTGCGGGCCGACATCAAGATGGACGTGGGGCGGTCGATCAACCCCGCCATCGACTACGGGCAGATCCAGGGCGCGTTCGTGCAAGGGATGGGCCTGTTCACGATGGAGGAGTCGCTGTGGCTGCGCAACGGGCCCATGGCGGGCACGCTGTTCACGAGGGGCCCGGGGGCGTACAAGATCCCCGGGTTCCGGGACATTCCGCAGGCGTTCAACGTGACGCTGCTCAAGGGCGTCGAGTGGGAGGAGCTCCGGACGATTCAGCGGAGCCGGGGCATCGGGGAGCCGCCGCTGTTCCTGGGCAGCTCGGTCTTCTTCGCGATCCGGGACGCGCTTAAGGCGTCGCGGAAGCAGCACGGGGTGGAGGCGACGGTGGGGCGGGACGAGGCGGGCGACGGGTTGCTGAGGCTGGAGAGCCCGGCGACGCCGGAACGGATCAGGCTGAGCTGCGAGGATCCCATTATGAGGGCGGCGCGCGTGGTGCCGAAGGAGGGGGAGAAGAGTTTCTTTGTGGCGATATGATGATGCTGGGTGTTTCCGTTATGGTTCGCGTTGGGCATCTCATCTGTGTATGGGTTTGAACCAGGGCGCTTTTATGATTTGACGATACTTGAATTAAGGTAGGTATATGATTGTTCGAACCGAGCCTCCGTTGATGTGATGAGTACAGGTAAGGTACTTCGTAGAGCGGAGGTAATTATGTCTTATGGCTCGTTGCATGGGCGACGGGTCGAGGCATGATATTATATGTACTCTGCAGGTAGCTCCGCTAAAATATTCGGATGGCCTTCTTAGTACGTACCTTGGGTACTTCGTTGAGTTAGCTGCAGGTACTCACTAACATAGGTACCTCATATGCCGACCTGCAAGCTAAGGTACCTGTACACTTTAAGATTGCAAATGTGAATTCAGGCTGGCAACAATGTTCCACAGGCTTGGAGGCCGTCCCTGGGGTCCGAAGTGCACACATTCCCTCGACGCATATCTGTTGTTCTCTCCTTCAGATACGACGACGACGATATCCTAGAGTAGACATTCTGAAATACGTTCCGTGTAGATCCAACCCATCAAGTCTGCTAGAGGCGTTGGCCTGTTGCTGTCGTGTCGCGTGGCTTTACCAGTCGCCTGGCGAACATGCCGAAACCAGAGCCGCTTCGAGACGAAGAGAGTGGGGCCTATACTATAACCTGCGGTGGCTGGACGGACTGCTCATTTTAATCTAAAGTAGCCACGAGGGTCGCGGAATTATCGTCAATGTAAGGAGTTTTAAGGGTCCTATGGTTGTTTTGTTCGTGATGCGAGACGACGTTTCCAAGAAAATGAAAATGAAAATGAAAAGGGACGAATGCAACAATGAGCTCCGACATCCCGCACCCAGGGTCCTCCTTGACGAAGACATGTATCTGCGAAGTATTTTATTGTGAAAAAAGCAACCTCGGGTCAGTGCAGTTCGCAGCTCGTAATACTTACAAAGTACACCGCCACAAGGGCCGAGGGACCGATTCTAATTGGTGGATTGGGCCGACTCTGCGGGGAGGATCGGCCCATTCAGATACGTACACGTCTATCAGGGTAAGGTATCCAATAATTCGTACCTCTACTTCGACCCCTCCAGCTTCGCCAGCCCAGAACTTCAGTCAAACCCCCCAAAAAACCACCACTCAATAACGAGCAACCCGGTATACTTCGTACACGACACGCGACCACCGTCTATTCGCCCACGATAAGCCATTGTCCTCCAGACTCGAACACTGCTGCACGCCGCACGTCATCATTGGACACGAGGCCACGAGAACCCAGAACCCAGAACCCAGAACCCAGAACCCAGAAACCGAGAAACCGAGAAACCGCGACCTCTCTTCCCTCCTCGCCCCGTTCCGTCGTCACTATCGATCGACCCGTCCGACCTCAGTGGCCCAGCAACCTTCCATGGTCGTGCCATTGACGCAGCCGCTCCTGCATTAAGCCGCAAAAGTCGCCCACACACACCTCCCTCCTCTTCGCCCACTCTACTCCGTATGCCGATCCGCGCGCGCACTTGACCTTTTTTGCTTTTTGCCCTGCGTAACCACGATTATCGAAGATCCAATGGGACCGAGCCCCGATGGGCAACCCGAACGAGCCATGGACAGAACTCCCAAGGGCAAGGCCAGGTCGAAATCTGCCGGCCAACAAGACGTGAAGCGCATCAAGACCGAAACCGATAAATCTGCCACCAAGAAGCGCCGCAAGGTCAGCCATGGTACGTTTTGTTGAAGGCCTTCCTCGTCCATGTCTCTCTGCACGCCAGCGCATCAACGCAAGGGGGGGGGGGGGGCTGGACCTCTTGTCCTCCCCCTCGTTCCTGCTCCTGCCTGTGCCTTGCCGAGACATGTCATGTCCGGTTGGCTAACATAGTTTTGGGCGGCACGTCCGCCTCTCGGAGCTTGCAGCTTGCGTCTATTGTCGGCGATCTGTAAGTCAGAAAGAGGGGCTTGCTTGCTCCCCCCGTTTTTTTGCTCCATAAAACAATTCTGGCTTTTGGGTTTCAAGCTCTCCGGCCGGAACTTGAGCCCCTGGTGACAGGGGGAGGGGCGTCCCCGGCCAATGCACACGACTCCAGTCTACGGTCGCCTGACGATCTGCGCCGATGATGTTGGGCTTCGATTGAAAGCTGTTACTGTTGTTGTCTCGTTGGGGCTCCTGCCATTACCTCCCTTTTCTCCCGATAAGCCCCTTCTCTTCACCTCGCTGTTTCGTCGAGGATCTGCCGTTGAACCACAGCTGACCAGTTGGCCGCCGTCTGCCCGTTGATGACCAGCACATGACATGCGACTACGTATGTGATTCCCCCCCCCCTCCCCTCCCCTCCCCTTCATCCTGGTCTCCCTGTCTTGGCTCTTGGCCATCTCGTCTTCTTCAGACGAAAGCGAGTGCATCTCTCTCAGCTGACCACGAACCCGCCTCAATTTCGTCCACCCCGTCTAGGAACGTCCCTGTAACCGGTGCATCAAGCGTAATATTGGTCACCTCTGTCACGATGAGATCCGAGACTCGGACCCAAAGAAGCCCAAGAACGGGACCGGCCAACACCCGTCGTCAACCGCGGACGCCTCCGAATCCCGATCCGAGAACGGCCGCTCCTCCATCGACCGGACTCCCGGCTCCATGGGGCCCCCGCCGCCCGTGGACACACGGCTAGACCCGAGCCCAGGAACAGAAACAGGAACAGGAACAGGAACAGGAACAGGAACAGGAACAGGAACGGGAACGGGAACGGGAACGGGCGCGAAGCCTGTGTCTTTCGGTGGAGGCGGCCTGCTGGGCCAGGGGAGCCCGCTGCAGCTTGTGTCACCCACGCCCGTGTCCGGCATGCAAGGAGACGGCATGCGAAGCGGCGTTAACATGAACCAATGTAGGCTCCTGGGCTTTGTCCTTTGTCCAACCCCACTCTCCTCGCGTCGTTTGTGCTGGTGTTTGAAGTCTACTCTGTATTTCGCGTCTGCATGTGGAAAAGCCGACAGCAACCAAGAAAGAGCGGCGCTCCCTTTCTTCCCTATTACTTTTCTTCCCGAGTGGCCTATTCAAACGTTACAGTCCATCGCTAACAGATTTTACCTTTGTTTCCCCCCTCAGTTGCCGGATTCTCTGATGCCTGGTTGACGGCCCAGAATCACTTCCAAGACATGCAAAACTTCAATCCAAGCTACATGATAGCACCCGAGGTTACGAACGAGTTCAACCTACTCCACGATTTCCTTCGAACGAGCCTTCTCGATGATAGCAATATCCTCGGCGAAGAACCCCAGACGAGCGCCGCATTCAACACATCTGGCCAGGGCCACAACACCATGTTGTCAGGATTCCCGGCGGGCAATCTGCTCCAACTTCATCAGGCGCAGCAGCAGCAGCAACAACAACAACAGCAGCAGCAGCAGCATCATCATCATCATCATCATCATCAGCAACAGCAACAGCAACAGGGCCAGCAACAGCAGCAGCAACAACAGAAACAGCACGAGCAGCGGCAATCACGTGAACAACACCAGCAATCGCAACCCGGCCAACCTGGGGCTATGCTCCCGCCACCCAACATCGAGCAAGGGAAGGCCATCCCGCGACCGGCCAGCGTCGTCCAGTCCGACAAGGACAAGGCGCGCGAATACTACCTCCAAGCCGCCGACCCGTCGGGCAACGACACGCCCGAAGAGCGCATGCAGCGCGTCCTCAAGGCGAAGTACGAGGCCGGGCTGCTGAAGCCGTTCAACTACGTCAAGGGGTACGTGCGGCTGGGCAAGTACCTGGACTCGCACGTCGCCGCCGAATCGAAGCACAAGATCCTGAGGACCATTGACCGGTTCCGGCCCAAGTTTCGCGAGAAGGCCCAGACGCTGACGGATATGGAGCTGCTCTATGTGGAGATGTGGTTCGAGAAGCAGCTGATGGAGTACGACCGCGTGTTTGCCAGTATGGCGGTCCCGGCCTGCTGCTGGAGGAGGACGGGGGAGATTTTCAGGGGCAACAAGGAGATGGCCGAGTTGATCCATGTCCCGGTGGAAAACTTGCGAGACGTATGATTGTTCCTGGGAATGCTTTTTTTTTTTTTTTTTTTTTTTTTCTGACACAAGATGATCAGGGCCGAATTTCGCTCCATGATATCCTCACGGAAGAATCCCTCGTCAGATACTGGGAGGAGTTTGGAACCATTGCCTTCGACCCGACCCACGACACCCTCCTGACGGCTTGTACGCTGAAGAAGCCAGACGACAAGGCTACGGATCCGGGCGTGCGTTGCTGTTTTTCCTTTATGATCCGGAGAGACGATCACAAACTGTACGTTTTCCAGCTGCCCTTCCATTCCGTGTGTACTGCTAACGGTTAGGGACCCGACACCTTAGTCCAACATTGATTGTGGGCAACTTCTTACCGAATGATCCGGTCAAGAGTTGAAGAGAATCCTCTTGAGCGTGTCAGCTTCCATTGACATCAGGCGTTAGTTTGGAACGGGTAAGAGTTGAATAGAACAAGGGGCATTATGGGAAAACAAAAATCGAAAGGACCTTTGGGATGCCTTGGGGACCATCTATCTACCTTATCGGTACGGTCTCCGGGGATTGGAGTATGAAAAGATACCGTAGTCATTCTACGACTTCTAAGGTATTACTCGGGGAAGGGTTGAACAGTCATGTTGTGCGGAGTATACCCCTATCTACCTACCTTGTCTACCTTACCTTAGTAGGTAGGTATGTACTTTCAAGTTAACGGTAGGTAACTTGTCCTAACACAAAACCTCTTATTCTATAACCTTCTCCGCTTCACCATCCAGCGAGAGCTCACCGAGAGCTCACCGAGAGGTCACTGTGAGGTCACGATCCTCAAGAAAAACTGGGAAAGTGCGAAGGAGCATCCCCGCTCCTCCCCTCCTGTGACTCTTTGTTTGAAAGGTACCTGAGTTGAGTACCTTACCTGACCACCAGCTGCTCCGACTGAAAAACACATCCCCGGCTTCATTCTTTCGCGTCTTCGTGCATTCACCTCCTGGTCCCGGACGTTCAACTCCAACCATGTTCTCGAAGCCTCCCCTGCCGGCGGGCAGGGGCAGAACGATGAAGCAGAACCAGCCGCAAGGGGAATCGGGGGAATCTGGCAAGGTCAAGGCCTTTCTAGGTGCGACGAAGAGCGAGCATTCCCTCTCGTCCTACACCCTATCCTCTTACACCCTGCTTTCCCTCCGGCTGGGGCCCTGACCTGGTGATCTCCCAGATTTCTGCGAAAGTCTGAAGCTTCGACTCGCCTCCTCCCGTGATCGTCCCTCCGTCGAACCCCTTCTAGCCGAGCTTGTCGACGAGATCCGGCAGCTTAACCGCCTATCCATCAAGCTGGCCACGAAGAAACGGTTGAGCAGAGACCTGGACAACCATGCTCGCGAACTTTACAACGCTTGCGTCAACACCCAGCGGGCTGTCGTCCCCGAGGCGGTTATCTCGACTAGGACGAAACTCCTTTTGCAGAGCCGCCACTTTGCCTTCCTGCTCATGGCACTTGCCCACCCTCCGGCGTTCATGAATTCTCGGGAACTGCGCTTTGGAGACATTGTGCAGTTGTTTTCTGTCGGGTTCAAAGTTTCCAGACTGGCTCTTGGTGCGTCATGTACCTTTCACACGAACACACTGGACTTCCCTTTCATTAAAAACAACGGCACATGGCATACGTCTCCATGGTCGTACCTTCACCTCTCTAACCTCTCCTCAGACGACGGCGACACAGGGACAGCGGTGAACGCTCTACAGAAAGTGGCCGAGTACATCAGCCACTTGCCAACGCTTAAGAGAGATCTCAGCTCAGACCAGGTAGCGCAGTGTCAGCAGTTGGAAGCCGAGTACCTCATTTTGCGGACGGCATTGGTTAGCTGGCCTTGCATTGCTCCCATCCCCCCTCTCTCTGTATCGTACGGGAGAGCTGACAAGGTCCAGGCGTGGAAAGAAGACCGTCTAGATGTCGCGGAGCATATGTACAACAAAACAGAAGGACTTCGCCGGGTCCTTGACCGCGCGTCGGCTGAACATCTTGCCGAGGTGCTTTTCGAGATGGGCAAAGACTTCTCCATAAAAAAGGACTACACGATGGGTGCGAAGTGGTTGGACCGCGCCTACGAAGTCATCAACGTACCAGAACTCGATCAATTAACCAGGGATGGCATCGAGTTGCGACTGGTTATCGCGCGTACCCTGGTCAATGCCCTACTCCACACAGACATCCCGGAGGATTCAAAAGTGGCTTCGAACGTGATTGAACACATGGCGGTCGAAATTGGGGAAAAGCCGGTCGTGCTGGTGCTTCGCCTCGAGGTTCTGCAACAGGCCCCGGCCGAACTGTTCGACGAAGCCGCCTATGCCGATATTCTCATGCGCATGATCCGGACATTCAACTTCTCGGACGCCTTCTTCAGGCTCATTGACCATCATATCGGGAAGCTCTACCGAAGGTCACCCACCCTCGGGTGCAGCGCCATGGATGAGTGGTTAAAAAGCCAACTCATCAAGTCCCAACGACACGAGTGGATCCAACGAGCCCTTCTACGCCGAGTCTCCATGGCCGCGAACCAAGAGGACACGGGGCAAGCCATTCGTTCTCTGGGCACTCTCATGGAGAGCCTTTACGGAAGCCTGGGGAAACCCGTAGACAGTGCCACTGCTGTGGCCGCTGTGACAGTAAGTCGTCAGACCGCACCATCCGTTGAAAAGGGTTTCATCTGAGAAGAAGGCCCAGCTCCTCTGGAACAAGGTCAACGTCACCTACGGGCAGGAGAAGTTCGATCTCACCGAGGGCTGGCTCCACGTGGCAGCGCACGAACTCTTCCTCAACGTCGGCCCAGCCAACCATGCGAAGATTGGACGGTTGGTTGATATACCGCACCCAGTAATTCCTGGGAAGGACACTGATGCTAATCGTTGCAGCAAGTCCATCTTGTGCAGTCTCCAAAGAAATGACTGCGGAAAGGCGAAAGACGTGTTCCTTGCACTGGATGAGTCTGCGCGGAACGAGCCAGTGACACGCTACCTCATGTACAAGGTCGCATTGCAGACGTCGGACACGGAAATGGCGGCCGAATGTCTCGAATGTGTCTCCAGAATGGCATCGAGGGATCCTAAGCTCCTTTACGCGTGCATGCAGGCCGCTCAAAGGGTAGGAGACAGGATGCGGGCATACCAAGCCATGAGACTCTTACTCGAGAGGAACGACGACTCGGACCAGATTTATCGCCCCGCGCTTTTGCGTTCCTCCATTCGTTGCATAGTCGGAATCCTAGACGCCAAGAACGAAAGACCGGTGTGCGGGGAAGATCTCGTGGAGGATATCTGCAGATCGTTCGAGACAGGTTGACTTTCCCTGCGGAGCAAGAAAAAGGGGCTGGCATCAAAGCGGTTAACTAACTTGACTCTGTGCTCAGCAGTACAGGACATCGGGAAAAGTCCGAAAGACGCAGGAGGCCGGCAGCTCTACACCGTCAAGGAACTCGACTGGTTCTGTAAGAACGGGTATAACATCGGGGTCAGACACACGAACGACTGGGACCTCCAACATCTAGTCCGCATTCTGGGCTCCTGCCTTGCGCTGCATGAACACTACCCACCAGACCTCCCAAGCGAGCATGCGGGCGATATTACACTCCGGTCCTTATTCTGCCGCTTCATAATCGCGTCGGCCCAGATGGCGATGGCTCGAGTCGAAGACAACCGAGAAAAACAGCTGCAGGCCTACCTTGCTGTACGGTATCAAGTGGCGGAGTTTGACGAGGAGTTTCAGAAAGGTCGAAACAGCCTGGACGAGATTATAGCGACGGATCTCCTGGGCAAGCTTGCCGTCCTTCTCGAATTTGACTTTGAGGCGACAATCGGACTCGGGAATTTCGGCGAGCTTGGCGAGGTGGTCCAAAAGGCAATAGACTGTAAGAGCGTACGGACGTTCAAAGCTATGGCGGATTGCCTCTTGAAGGGATCGGTGCCGCCGCGTGGTACGTGTCGGAGTTGTATCCTTTTCCTCCTCTCTGCCAGGAGGTTTTGAGTTGCTTACCCGGAGGACGTGACAGAGCTGTACCCGCAGATGAGGCGGGTCATCAACCAAATTTGGAATCTCGAGCGTTTCGACTGCGGTCGATTGGCCAAGTACATCCGATGTCTCTTCCAAGCGGTGTTGCCACTAGAGGATCATCTAGGGAAGCAACTCCTCCGGGAAGCTATCGACAAGGTCAAGATCTCCGCAGAGGTGAGGGGCCTTGGTCTGCCATGCAGCGTGAGGAGGTCAGTCGCTGACCGTCCGCGTGTCGGGTCCCTAGAGCGGTTCTCCATTCCCGTCGGAGGAAATTCACTGGCTTGTCGCTGTGGCCTTCAACCATGGCGTAACGATGTACTCTCTTGGAGAGGACGAAGCGTGCCGGAGTTGGGCGGAGCTCGCGATCGAGCTGGCGCAGTATGCCGGGGACGAAGGGAAGTTAGAGGAGCAGATACGGACGAACTATCTGAAGCTGAGAACGAGCTCGGAGAGCGGTGGCTGACGGCGCGGCCGGCAAAAACTCCTATCGACTATTACCAAATTTGAAGGTGCAGAGAATCGAGAATCCTCGGCGACGGAGGCGTTTCTTGCCTGGTTGTATGCGGTCCGGTCGCCGTGTGTTGGGTTCTTCGTACGTTGTAGATGTCCCGAGTACGTACCTTGCTCAGGGTCCAGGCGGGGGATGGGGGGAAAGTGGAGACGCGTTATGTCACTGTTTGCCTCGGCTCTCGCGCAGACTGGCTCCCATCATTCCGTCGATTCGATGGTATCTTTTTTACTCTGTAATTACGCGGCGTCGTCACACTTGATGATACTATCGACCGTCAACTCCCATTACTCCGTATCCTCGCGAACCTCCACGACGCATGATACGGCACGATTAAATGTCCCCAGCCAGCACGGTGCCATTGCTATGCCACCATTCAACTCACTCCGCGATCCCGGCCTCACGCGGCGGCTGGCCGAGGCCATCGAGAACGCCTCGCGACTTGATGACGATGAAAGCGCACACCTGATCCCCCCCTCTTCCGACGTGTCCCAGCCGTCGACCGGCCGATTGCTGCACCAGCGTCCCCCCTCGCCCTCCGCGCCTGCGTGGCCGACGGACGAATCGATCGAGCCGGAACACAAGCGGTACCCGCTGGTCCCGCCGGAACGCGTGCTCGACATTGTGGACTTCCACGGCCTGGCCTACGTCGACGACCGCGTCGACGACAACCTGCTCTGCCCGATCTGCAAAATGCCCTTCGTCACGCCCGTGACGACGCCGTGCGACCACACGTTCTGCTTCGAGTGCCTCCGCCAGGCGTGCGAGACGCGGCACGTGTGCCCGATCGACCGGAAGAAGTTCCGACCCAAGAACGTCCGCATCACGTCCCGGCTGCTCCGGAACCAACTGGACAGCCTTGTCGTGGCGTGTCCCAATGCCGAGCGGGGGTGCGGGGAGACGATGAGGCGGGAGGACGTGGCCATGCATACGCATAAATGCGATTACACGCTCGCTCCCTGTCCGGACGCCGGGTGCGCGAAGAAAGTCGCCACGTGGCTGTTGAGGGAGCATGAGAAGGAGTGCCTCCACACCGAGACGGCCTGTCCGTACTGTGACGCGCCGGTGGAGAAGGCCGTTATGGAAGACCACATCCGTCGGGGCTGTCTCAAGAACACGACCAGGTGCGACTCGTGCGGGAAGGACACGCGGAAATCAGACCTCGACAAGCACGTCGCACGGGAGTGCCCCGAGGCGGACGCCGCGTGTGACTACGCCGAGTTCGGCTGCCGGCACCGGTCCAAGCGCAAGCTGCTGGCACAGCACCACGAGACGTGCGTGTACAGGATCTGCCTGGTCCTGGGCGAGACGGTCAAGCGGCAGGAGAAGCAGCTGGAGTGGCTGCGGCGCGAGAACGAAGAGCGGGACCGGCTGCTGGGTTCGCTGCGGCGGCAGCAGGAACGGCAACAGCGGGGAGGGGTGTCGGCCTGGGAGGCGCTGCGGTTCCTGGGGCCGGACGGGACAAAGGCGTGCACGGCGGAGGAGGCGGTGATGGGGATCTACGAGGAGGTGGAGCGGCGGATCGAGGGCGTGCAGAAGGACCTGACGGAGCTGGATGGGCGGCAGATGGTCATGGTGCTCAACGAGATGATGCCGATTAAGAACGAGATGACGGAGATTCGCACCAACTTGGGGATCCTGAAGATGCATGTTGCTTGGCTTATGAATAGGAGCCGGGAGGAGCTGGAGAGGAGTCGGTTGGCTCATCGGAGTGTGGCTGCCGGTGGGAGCGCAAGTGGAAGCGGGACTGCGGGTGCGAGTTCGAGCGCGGGGGGTAATGGCGGCAGTGGTGGTGGTGGTGGTGGTAGCTCGGGAGGAGGTGCTACCGGGACTGGCATATCGGCAGCATCATCAACAAGCCGTGGTAGGGGAGGGTCCGACAGTGAAGGGGAGATGCCCATGATGAGGTCAAGGCGGCCAAGCGACGGGTCCAACGGTATCCCGCGACTCTAAAAGAGAGGACGGGAGACTCAGCAGCGATGGGGGTCCGGTGCCCAAGGGCGGTTTGGGCGGTTACCCACTCCATTTCGGGTTTGTTCTTCATGATTCATGTGATTACTTTTTCGGCGTTGGGATCGGCATGGGGATACAGCTAGAATACCCTTTACATCTGTCTATCTACTCTACTACCAGGTAGATCTCTAGAGTGTCGGTAGCTCTAAGGGGCTATTTCTTGACGAATGTTTTGTGTCTTTATTCAGTCTAAATGTGTTAGATTAAAGTGCGGGAAGAGTCTTTGAGCGGAGAGTTGAAATCCGAAGACCATGTAAGAGATTGAAGTATATTGTAAAAGTTCCGGTCGACTTTATTCCCCATTGCTCGCGATATCCGTACGAGACCTTGAAGTATGGGCAGAAGAAACGAAGCATATCATAGCGGGCCAAGCTCCTCCGGAGGGAGGTTGGATTATCTAAGCCAGTGGTTTAGGTAACTCATCACGTGACTCACCAAGCCCCACCAAGACCCCATTTTGCGGTCTTTACCGACTAACCCCGACAAAGCGGAATAAGGTACAGAGTACTTCGTACCTGGACTGGACTTCAAGCAGCGGACTTTCCGTCATCGTCTCCATCGCGTAATCAACTTGGGGGAACTTAGGAACTTACCTGGTCACTTCTTCCTCGACCTTCTCTTTCAGCCTCAGCCTGCTCTCCTGCTTTGTCTACATGTACTCTCGTATAACCCAGATATCCCTAATTTCTGGTTTGCAGCCTGATGACCGTCTCTTGATTTGTTTTTACTCTTATTTCTTGTTCCTTTTTTTTTCTCCTTTTTCTTTTTCTTTTCTTTTTCTTCTTATTTGTTTAACTACCCGTCCGCTCGCATCCCGCGGACTTTGAGATTCCCCGCCATCAGCCACATCTCCCACCACCTCCCACCAGTTCATTACCATGGATCCGGCTCAAGATCCTAACCAGCCTTCAGGGGGCATGCCCGATGCCCCGGACCGGAATACCATGGAGCAGGTTGTGCCTTGTGCCCTTCCGGCTCCCCCGCCCTTCATTGCCCGCGTCTCTTCTTCAATCGCCCCCCAGCTTCGGCGTTTCTTTAAGCTAACTTAATGATCGTTTTGCTTGCACAGATCCGCTTGAGACGACTAGCTAAGCTCGGAACTGCGTCTCCCAAACCCGAAGACTCGTCCTCGGCTTCCAGCCCAAAGCTCGCAGCGTCACCTTCGTCGGAGCAGGATCAGGCCCGGCAGAAGAAAGCCACCGACACTCCTAAACGCCCCATCACCATCACACCTGCCGCCGCCACCGCCACAACCACAACCACAAGCACAACCACCCGCGACGTATCCTCATCCAACCAAGCAGCCGCATCCTCCTCGTCTCCTTCCCTCGACGACAGCTCTAACAAGCGCGCCGCCGCCAGGATCGATGACCGAGCGCAGGGCACACAGCCCGCGAATAAGAAGCCCTATGTCGGCCAGGAGGAGTCTCTCCTTGACTGGACCGACAGGGTCCTTAGCGGCACCTTTCGCTTCACTCTTGATCCCGAGCGCTTGGTAGATGCCCAGGGACACAAACTCACCTTCCTCCCCAACTCCTCGTCCGAAGTCGCCGAGGCCGGCTCGCCGGCCAAGTTGAACGAAGAGCTCCTCGATTCGGCCATTCTCGAAGCTGCGACGCTCCGACCCCACAATACTTCCCTGCTGAAGTATCTGCTTTCTTGTTGGAAGAGGATCACCCGTGTTTTGGGGCAGCAGCCCAAGGATGGGTCGGCAGAAGAGAAGAGGAAGATTCTTGAGGAGGCCAAGAGGCTGTGCATGAGCTACTCGCTCTTCTCTCTGACCATGCCAGATCTCTTCGGGTACGTGTGGTCGCTGCCCTTTCTATTGCCACCGAGTTTTGCGGTTGTGATCGCAGCCACCCTCTTCTTCCACCACTAACGCTTCCACTTCTCTTCCCAGGCGCCCGGAACCCGAAGACCTTGTCCCCTGCCTTCTCCGCGGGTACGATCACGAGGACTCGCTGCCGATGGACTGGACCAAGGAGGCCATCGACCGGTTCCCCGAGGACGACCAGGTAAAGTTCGCCTTTGCCGACGCCATGGCCAGCATCAGCCAGAAACTGGCGGGGTTGACGATGGAGGATGACTTCCGCGCGTGCCTCAACGCCATGGTCTTCTACACCAGGTTCCCGGCGCTTCTTCAGGCCGTGTCATCCCACCCCAGGTTCTTAACCGAAGGCGGCGCGCCTGATCTAGAGAACGACACCATCCTTGGTCCCTTCTTCCGACTCTCTCCACTACAACAACAGGTCGCGCTTACCTACTTCCCCAATCCTCGGCAGCTCGATCGGTCCCGCGTCGCGCAGTCGCAAGATGCCATGCGGACCGTCTTGCGGCTTCATCAGGACGAGCTTTTCAACCTGGCAAACGCCTTCATTCGCGCCGGCGCCGACACGAGGAATGTCATGCTCAACTGGTTCGCCCTGGGCGTCAACCTGAACCACAAGAGGAGGGCCATGCAGGTAGACGCCCGCGAGGTGTCGTCGGACGGTTTCATGGTGAACCTGACCGTCGTCCTGGATCGGTTCTGCTCCCCCTTTATGGATACGACCTTCTCCAAGATCAGCAGGATCGAGGTCGAGTACTTCAGGCGCCAGCCGCGCGTCGCGATCAAGGACGAGACCAAGCTGAACGCCGACCAAGCGACGTCCGACGACTTTTACGCCAAGACGGACGACAAGCCCTCGAACTTCATTTCCGAGGTTTTCTTCCTCACATTGGCCGCTCATCATTACGGCAGCGGCGCCACCAACTCGAAACTCAAGGCGTTGGAGCGGGACATCAAATTTTACGAGAAACACATTGCAAGCATGGAAGCAGAACGTCACAAAGTAGCCAATGTGCGTTCTTCCGTCTCTCTCTCTCTCTCTCTCCTCTCCTTGTTTCTTTCGTTCTTTATGATGCTAATTTGGCCGCCTACCCCTCATCAGATCCCGACGCAACTCGCCATCTTCGAGGTCAGTCTCAAGCGCCACACGGACGTGCTCGAAAAGGCCATCGCCAGCAAGAATGCCATCGAAGGCGTATTCCTGGACGAGAAGATGCAGGAGCTGTCTCTGCGCTTCATGCGCTATGTGGCCGTCTGGCTGCTGCGCCTCGCGAGCCAGTCCGACTACACCCCCGACAAGGACCTCAAGCTGCCCCTGCCGTCGCCGCCGCCAGAGGCGTTCTCCTGTTTGCCCGAGTATGCGCTTCAAGATGTTGTGGACAACTTTAAGTTTGTATACCGGTATGTGCTTGTTCTCCTTGTGAAGGGGGGCCTGTGAAGGGGGCCCAAGAGACGATGTCTAACCATCAGATGCTGTCGTATTGTCTAGTCACCTCCCCCAGATTATGCCGTCGGCCGTGGGCAACGAGATGATCGCACTCTGTATCGCCTTCCTCCAGTCGTCCGAGTTCATTAAAAACCCCTACCTCAAGTCGTCCCTCGTCACGCTCCTCTTCAACGGCACCTGGCCATTCATGCACTTTAAGAAGGGTGTTTTGGGTGACCAGCTGTTCGGGTACAAGTTCGCCAACGATCACCTGCTGCATGCGCTCATCAAGTTCTACATCGAGGCCGAGTCCACGGGCGCGCACACGCAGTTCTACGACAAGTTCAACATCCGTTATGAGATTTTCCAGGTGATCAAGTGCGTGTGGGGCAACGACGTGTACAAGGACCAGCTCACGCGCGAGAGCAAGGTCAACCGGCAGTTCTTCGTGCAGTTTGTGAATCTGCTGCTGAACGACGCCACCTACGTCCTGGACGAGGCTCTGACCAAGTTCCCCAAGATCCACACGCTGCAGGCGGAGCTGGATCACAGCACGGGCATGTCGGCGCAGGACCGGCAGAAGAAGCTCGAGGAGCTGCAGGCGCTGGAGGGCCAGGCCGGGTCCTACATGCAGCTGGCCAACGAGACGCTCTCGATGATGAAGCTCTTCACGTCGGCGCTGGGCGAGGCGTTCACGATGCCGGAGATTGTGCAGCGGCTGGCCAGCATGTTGAACTACAACCTCGAGACGCTGGCGGGGCCCAAGATGGGCCAGCTCAAGGTGAACAACCCGCAGAAGTACCACTTCCAGCCGCGCGTGCTCCTCTCGGACCTTGTGGAGATCTACCTCAACCTGGGCTCGTCGCAGACGTTCGTCGACGCGGTGGCGGCGGACGGCCGGTCGTACAAGCCCGAGACCTTCGACAAGGCCGGCTACATCCTCGCCAAGCGGGGCATGAAGGACGAGGCGGACCTGCGGCAGTTTGACGTCCTGCAGCGGAAGTTCAAGGAGGCCAAGGAGGTCGCCGACCAGGCCGAGCTCGACCTGGGCGAGATCCCGGCCGACTTTGAGGATCCCATCCTGGGCGACCTCATGAGGGACCCCGTCGTCCTCCCTTCGCAGCACGTCGTGGACCGGTCTACCATTGTGCAGCACTTGCTGTCGGATCCCAAGGACCCGTTCACCCGGCAACCCATGACGATTGACGATGTGGTCCCCGATACGGAGCTGAAGGCTAAGATTGACGCTTGGAAGGCCGAGAGGATCGCGGCTGCCAAGTCGAAGGCGGATGCCGAACAGATGGACACCTCGGAGGGTTAGAGGAAGAATGAAGAATGGGTCCATTGTTGTCGGGGTCGGCAGCCATGTTTTGTTTTTGTGTTTGGACAGGGAGCGCGTTTCATTGTATGTACGTACTCATGAGTCCCACGACAAACAGGTTTTGGCCCACCTCAGGGGACCTTTACGAGAAATCCATACCCTTCTCTCACGAGGAGGAGAGGGAAAGCGTGGGGGTTCGTGATAGCTATGGAGCATGAGAGATGGCATGGCTACTATCCCGCTACTATCCCGGGATCACGGTAGGATAGGGGGGGATTTCTCGAGACTTTGGCCAATACATGCCGAGGATCGAGAAGGAAAGACAAAAGACGAAAAGCCAAATTTGTGTTTTCAGCTACATGATTGCGTCTATCTACTGCAATTCAACCTCCGTGGTCAAAGGATCACGCAGCCCCATCATCCATCATCCACCAGCAGACTCTGACAAATCGCGCTGCTTGGACTGCTCGGACTGCTCGGACTGTTCGGCCTACTCAGGTCCTTTCACGTTCTATTTTCATCGCATTATGGGGCGGCACGGCACGGCACGGCACGGCACGGCGGCGCGGAATGTAAGCAGAATCAGATCCGACGCTCCCCATCACGCAATCCAAGAAATGCCTCGTTTCGCTCACATGACACGTAAGAGATCTCCAAGGTGGGCAGGGCTCTCGGAGCTCGCTTCGTGCTTTTACGGACTTTTTTTTTCTTCTTTTCTTTTTTGGTGTGGACCTTGTCCTGGGGTGGGGGTCCCAACACTTTTCCTCCCAAGAGAGCACAGTAGGAGAACTTCAAGTGTGTGTGTGTGTGTGTGTGTGTGTGAGCGGCAAACCAACCTCCGCTCCCCTTTAGTCCATTATCGCCATCTATGCACTAACTCTAGCAGTAAGGGGGACAGACCAGACTCCTCCAAGCCAACCCCCTCTCGATGTTCTCTAGCTCAAATGCACTGAATGGACAGAGACAGTCTTGTCCAACGCGTCGAGATGCAATGATAATGATGGCCGAACGAAATGTTGAAAGAACAATGCGAAAAAAAAAAAGAAAAAAGGAAAGAAAAAAGGAAACAAAATCGGAATGTAAAGTCAGGGCTGTTGCAAGTTGTAGACCCAACACCCCGACCACTCCGAGTGCCGTCAAAAAATATGTGCAATATGCGAACCGGTCCTGTTGCTCGTGGGTCAAGAGAGTTGCGTATATCAACCCCGTGTGCCCAAAGCAGTAAGCTCGTCGCGCCGAAAATGTTCGAAAAAGCTCTTCCCCTCCTATTCGTATACATGGGCTCCTGTAATGCTCCCCGGTTCCAATGCTTCCAGATAGATGGTGCCAAATGCTTCGTCATCATGATTTCGTCAAGATCGTTCGGAAAAAACGACATCGAAGTAAAAACTAAAAAAGAGAACGGGATAAAAAACCCCAGTATCGATCCACGGCAGTACCGGTACACCTTCAAATGATGTTGGCAATGCTCAGCCGATCCTGAGGCCGGGACGCGCTCCTCGCCGTAGGGCTGTTCGCCGTATTGGCCGGCGCATTAGTCAAGCTGGGGCCGCTCGACGTAGTGGGATGAGACGGCGGCAGTGGTGGTGGCGGTAGTGCGACCCCTATTCCCGTTCCGGCCTCGACCTTGACAACAGCCGGCCCACCAGACGGGTTCCACGTCGTGATCGCCGTCGTCGTCGGTGCCGTCGGTGCCGCCGTAGCTGTCGACGTCGAAGGAGTCGGCGTCGTATTACCAGAAGCGAACCCCCTGACCGCAGCATCCAGCCGTTCCCAGCCTCCCCAGTCCCGGTTCTCCTCCGCCGTGAGTCCCGTCCTCTGCTGGATACTGAAGAGACCGCCCCCCACGCCTCCGGGCGTCGAGTTCGAAGCAGAGCCCGGCGAGGACGGGGACAGGACGGCATCGCGCTCGCCTCCGGCCCAGACCCAGGCGCAATGCGGCACCGCCTGGAGGTCTGCGCTGACATGGGCGAGGAGTTCCTCGTCGCGCAGGAGCGCGTCTTGGAGGGCCCGGGGTCCGGCTTGCGGGAGCGGTGCGCCGCCAAAGGACGGCTTCGTCGGCGGCGTGGCGCGAGCTGCTACGAGGGAGGCGTATTCGGCGCGCTTGGAACCGAGGGCCGCGACGAAGAAGGCGAGGAACCGGCCGCAGGGGACGGCGACGTCCCGTCTCGTGTCGATGGAGGCAAGGGCCCGGACGCAGGTGACGGCGTGGTCCCAGTGACCGGTCAGGAGCAGGAACAAGGCGCAGCGGAATATATGAGCGGTCAAGAGCGCCGTCGCCCCATCGGCCAGGGCACCCGTCGTCCGGGAGACCAGGGACGCCGTCTCCAGCGCCGTGTGCGTGCACTGCTCAATGGCCGTCATGCGCGCTTCGGGAGGACACGACGGGGCGAGGTTGTGCCGGTGAAGCACCAGCCGGGCGTGGAGGACGTAGGTATAAGGCGCGAGTAGGTGCGGGGACAGGGGGGCGGAACTCGCGGCGTCGCAGGCCGGGGGGAAGCCCCGGCAGCAGGTGGCGAGGTGTTGGTCGAAGGTGGCCAGTCGTGCGGGCGCCACCATGGGCGCCGCAACGGTCTTGATGAGCGCCGAGTAAGACCGGACAACGTTGATGATGGCCAACAGGGAGTGGTTCAGCGGCTCCCGGCCCGGTGGTACCACAATCCCCCCCTCGTGGATGTAATGGTCGTCGACGCCGGCCGGGAGGGAAACGTCGCAGTCGTCATCGTCGATCATGACGGGCTTCCCCAGCTCCAGCGCAAGAGACCGGTCTAGAATATACGTCGTCCACCAGACTCTCCGTCGCATCTCGCCCTCGATGACGGGCCAGGGCCCCGATTCGGAGTAGAGCTCGAGATCCTGACCCACGCGGACGGCGCTGCCCAGCCACGTCCACGCTGCCGACTTGAGATTCATCTCGTTGAGGCACACGGTAATGAGGAGGAGCGACCGGGCGTTCTCCAGGACGTAGTCGTTGTTCCAAGGGTCGACCATGCTCCGCGCCGCCTCCAGCAGCTCGGCGGCGCGGTATACACGGTGAGGGTCCGTGCTGAAGAGGCTCCCGAGGGCCAAGGCGGCGAAGAATGTGGAGAGCCAGGCGGGCCGGGCCGACCTGGCGTGTCCCGGCCGGTACACGTCGTCGACGCCGGCCGAGAAGGTCGGCCAGTGGAGAATGGGGAACATGGTATGCGCCGAGCCGTAGTATGCGTGCAGCAACTGGTCGGCCGTCTGCCTCGGAGGCAGCTCGGGTCGCGCCGGGTCAAAGAGGGGGCCGGGTGGCGGTCCCGGGTCCCGGTGCTGGACGGGCGACTTCCATATGCCCCTCGAGAAGGTGCGCAGGTCGGACCGGGCCTTGGGTAGGTCGTGGATGGGCGGCGGGCGTTTCTTGCGTTTCGGGTTGGCGCCCATCTCGGGCAGCTGGGGGGGTAGGGGTAGGGGTAGCTGGTCGAGCATCATGTCGGCGGCGGCATCGACGTCCATCGTCCCGTCTCGCTCTTGCAGCATGCGCCGGAGGCTGCTGTTGTTCCTCTTCAGGCGCTCCATCTGCTTCTCCAGGTCCTGTACCTGTTTGATGGACGACATGCGTCGGTTCGTCTCCTTGGTGAACTGGCACTTGACGTTCCGGCTCGAGCACTCGGAGCAGCTGGTCGTCTCGGTGGCGTCGCATTTCACCTTCCTCTCCCGACAGGCATCGCAGCTCGGGTCCTTCCTCCTCTGTCGGTAGGCGCGCTTCTGGGCCTGGGACATGGACGGCAGCGTCGCGTTCGAGGGCCCGGGTGTGGCGGCAACCGAGTCGACGAGCGATTCCCGGCCCGTGGGCGGGGGACCAGTGGTGACAGGCGTGTATGGCTGGAAGGGGGTCTGGTTCATGGGGTGGCGCGGTGGAATGCCGATGTTTTGAGGGGGCGGCGCCGCCGTGGTCCTGGGGCCCGCGTTCATCACGCCTCTAGCCAAGTACTGGCTTGTGGGCTTGGGCGACGTCGCAGAAGAAGAGACAGACGAAGAGTCGTACGACCGCGTCGACGGGTTTGGCGATCGGGGATACGGGGAGTGGTTGTGGTTGTGGTTGTGGCTGTGGCTGTGGTGGTGGTGATGATGATGGGAAGAGGCTGCCATGTCGTGGGACCGCCAGCCACGGAAATGGGACGGCTTATTCAGGGGAGGGGGGTTTTCTGTGTCGAACTTTCCGGAGAAAGTTCCGCCAGGACCCCTGAGGATGCACGGCAGATCAGGGCACAGCACAGAACAGCACAGAACAGAACAGCACAGCTTACCCAGAGAGACAAGCAGACGCAAAGCAAACCCAAGCCCAAACCCACCTCCGGCCGCTAGGAAGACGGGGTGGGGAGGGAAAACGACGGGGCAAACTGTATAGTTATACGGGGCACCTGGTAGGGGAGCAAGCGCCCGTAGGTTGGCTGGGCCGGAAGGGATGTGAAGTTGCGTCAGGGCAGGCAGGGTGGGTGGCCGACGTCTATGTGCAGCTTGCAGCTTGCAGCTTGCTCCAGTTCCGGTGAAGTTGGACCGGGACGACTGACTGCTGGCGACTTGCTGGCGGTCGAAAGCCCGTCGCACGGGGAGGGTTTTTCTGGGAATGCAGGTCGGAGACCGATGGTCCGGGTGCCGGTCGCGCGAGAACGGTCGAGGTATATTCTATTCGTGCTTCGTCCGACTACCCCCGCGGCAGCGTCTTGATAGGCCGTGACCCGTCGCGTTGACGGGGTCGAGTCGAGTGTCTGGGAAACCGGAGCGGGTCGTCATGCGCCGTGAGCCGTAGCTGTTATCGCAAGATGTGGCGTGCCATGAGATGATGAGATGATGAGAATAGTGAGTTCTGATGGACTGCAATCTGCAATCTGCCAGGTCAGGAATACAGCGTGCTGTCGTCCTGTTTTTTGGTGGGGTGGGTTCGACAAGAGTGAAATCGAGTGAGTTGAGCGAGGTGCACGAACTATCGTCAGAAGACATGTACTTACGTCGGGTGCGAATGGCAAAGTGACAGTGTTTGGTGGAGGGAGGGAGAACACGAAGAAACAAGCCTGGGTATCTACCACAAGGGGGAGGGGGGGGCACAGAATGTGGAGAGGAAGGGAAAAAGGGGGGACCGGTGACGAGACGAGACGACAGGGGGGGGGTTGAGAAAAGAGACGTCGGAGCTGCCATGAACAAGTGCTAGGTAGGTACGTTGTACGTTGTAGGTATGAAGATCAGGGAGGAAACGGAGGAGGGAAGACACAGATCTCGGGACAGGGCACATGCGCATAAGCAGCAAGGGGCTAAGCAACATGAAGCCAGGGGGCAGGGGAGCAGGGGGGCGGGGGCAAGGGGGGCAGGTTAGATGCCTGTGACCCGACCCTAGGCCATGCTGCTGCTGCCGCCGGTCCTCAGTGCCACGAAAGGGGGTGTGGTGCTACCTACAGCGTATTCGCATTCACCAGGACCGGACCTGTTCCTGTGAGAAGATAGGGGAAGATAAGGTAGTGTACCCGTACACCACACACAGCCTCAGCTGATGGACCAGGGCTATAACAGGGGTCAGTAATAACGAATACAGCGAGCCCACCTAACCAAGGCCTGTTGGTGTTGGTTCTTTCGTGGATGAATCCAAGGCCTGACTGAATCCGGGGCTCTCCGGGGATCGTTAGTAGGTGTGGCCTGGCGTTGTGGAGAGGCTCCCGAACTTGGTGTCCCCGTCTGTCCCGTCTGTCCCCGTCTGTCCCCGTCCTATATTATTCGTCTGCCGGCCGGTATGGAGCTCGGGAGGATAAAATAATGGACCGATCGTCCCCCCCTTCTTTCTTTTGCCTTTCGTTTGGTGACTGGCATAGGCTGGTTTTGATGTTGCCGGCCGCCATTCGTCGCATATGTATGTACGGTTCTGGTCCAGTCCATGAACGTGGAGCCCAGATCCGACGGGGGCCGGACCCCCATGAACCATGAACCAACCCTAGACTAGCAGGGTACAGTAGTGTAATTAGACAAGAAAGGAGACCGGTAGGTAGGGGACGTTATACGTTATAGGGGGCTAACAGCTCCCATAACTCCCAACATTGTTCATCGCCGATGGCTGTGGGAGTAGCACAGTGAAAGACATCATGGCCGCCATCGACCATTCTTGAGCTCCACGGCTCCGCTCCCTGTTGTGTAATTCGTACAACGTAAGTACAACTAGATTAATTCGTTCGGCTGCCTACCCAGGCAAGTCAGTTCCGTGGGAGGTGGGTGGGGAATGGGACCAACCCCGTCTTCAGTCCAGTCCTATTTTAGGATCATGCTCCATTCTGTGTGTGTTCTTGTTGCAGAGACCAGACCAGGCAAGGGAGAGAGACCTCCACAGTATGTACCGAAATAGGTGCCCCTATTCGTACAGAGTTGTTTCATTTCATTCAAACGGCCGAGGAGAACAGAACACTCCGCGTCGGTGCGCCTGTTTCCGATCCCATGACGGTCGGACACCTTTGGGCCTCTCGGGGATGATGCCGGTGCTGGCGGGCCGCGCTTCATGTTTCGTGATGGGGGTTCTTTTCTGACCCAGCCCCGTCCGGGTCGAACCAAGCCCCCTGCAAAGGACACCACTCTCTCATGTGCACAGCGCTTGGCATACCCAGTTTGGATGCCGCGTGGGAACGTGCGGAACGTGCGACGTGATCTGGTGAGGTGGATGCCGCGTAACGGTGTGTGTGTGTGTGTGTGTGTGACGGGCGGCTGCTGACGGACATGCCTCGACGAAGCAGGCAGTAAGTACGACGCTCGAAGTATGTCGGTATGTTGGCATGGCCCGGTGCAGGGTCCGCGGCCAGTTCGGTGTGTCTTGCTGGGTCTTTTTCTTCTTATTTTCTTCTTCTTATTTTCTTCTTTTCTTTTTCTTCTTTTGTTTTTCTTCTTTTGTTTTTCTTCTTTTCTTTTTCTCTTCTCCTTCTCTCCTTACCCGCCGCCCGCTTCATTGTTTCTTGGATACGCGGGTCCGTATGACGACGTGGACAGCAGTGCTCCAGTCGGCTTCTGTCTGCCCCCGTGTCCCCACATGACCCTTTGGAAGACGGCGATTACGTGCACTCACCTGCAGGTTGCCGAAAAAAGGCAACACACCACAGCTGGATAAGTAAGCTGCCCCATCCGCACCAACGAAAGTCTGGAGGATTCCGCACAGCGGGCAGAGGATCCTATGGGGATATAGTAGTGTGACACAACCTTAGGAAGGTCATTACATGCCATGCCAGACGAGGCAAGAGAGGGAGAGACAGAGAGGGAGGAGGGTACAGGCCCTGCTGGGCCCAATGTCGTTCCAAAGGATCCAAAGGCTGCATCCCAGGCCCCCCCCCCCCCAGAGGCTTGGCTGAGGAAATATCCCGACTGAGGACAAAGTCTGCGCCAGGGTGCGATAGTGGTGGTGGGGAATGAGGGGGCAAGGACCGGGGCCATTCGAGAAGTCGACAAAGAGCCTGCTCGGAGAGTTCGGCACAGCCAGGCGATGTAACCGTGGGTATCCTGAGCCAATGCTTCATACCGAGTACTTTTGTACAGCGTACAAAGATGGGAGATGGGCCTGACGGGGGTAAGCCTGGTTGCCCGAAGCGGAGTAATTGCCGAGTAAAATCAGCGGAAGAACAAGGAGCACGAAGCCACGGGTCGAGGCGGACGAATTGGGTGCAACGCCGACGGGGTACGACGTCAGAGCTCGGGACTTCGGACAATAGGCTGTTGCGATGAGTTCGATTTCGACGTTGGCTCGCTCGTTGGGTCCCGCCGTCGTCCCAACCATCGCTGTTAGTGTTAGTCTTGTGTTAGTGTAGTACACGTACGGAGTCCTGTCCGTCCCAGTCCAAGTCTCCCAGTCCAAGTCCAGCTCGCCAGCAAGCTAAGGTGAATAATGGTCACTCACATCGGCACCTAATTCCCTTTGCCTACCCAATGAAGGGAGTGATCTACTTGGGGAAATTGGGCGTCAGAGTCCAATCATGCCTGCGCCTGTGCGTGGGGCCCAGTTAGGGGTCCAGGATCAAGTCTTTTGGGTCATTTCAGGCATTCGTTGGCGAGTCAAGATCCTTGTAGCTGTCTTGAGCCATGAGGGGCTACCGAAATGACCCGGGCGTATATTCGTCCAATTGTACAACGTACAATGTACGACTAGTTGAAGGAAGAAAACGATTAGTGATGAGAGCCCGAGTCCTGGTATGTTGCACGAGTTTGGGAATCAAGGGGGCTCCCAGTAGGCAGGACAACGCTTACAACGTAAGGTAAGGTACATTAGTTCCCATAGTGGGGTTTATCCCGTCGTAGTGAGTCGGTAATGTGAAGCAGAATATCTGGAACGGCGCCGAAGTCGATAATTGCTAATGGGAAAAGACGACGAAAAAGCAGAGTGCGCTCAAAATAGGTGTAGGTGTACAGGACAGTGGAGGTGGGGTAGGAGAGATGACCACGGTCACCGGTTAGTTGGAGGCTACCTTACATCAACGCTGCGATAGAGTGCCTGAAGTGCTTTCCTGGCAAGTGCGGGGCAGGTGTTCTCGGATCGCTCCTCCCCTGCAATAAAAAGCACGGCTATATGTAGTATATTTGCCAAGGGCAAGCTATCCAGGGAAAGTACCTACCTTACGTAAGGTAAGGTAGACACCCAAACAGCGTGATGCTAAGGAAGTAGGAATCGTATTCAACTGCTCCGTAATTACGGGAGATTTCTATGTCCGTATCCTATTACTTCAGGCATGCTCCGTCCAAAGATGCAACGACTGTTTATTAGCGGGTGGTAGGTAACCTAGCTTTTCTGATACCTACCTACCTTACCTTAGGCTTAGGCAGGTACATGAGCCCCTTTGTTCCCTTTGCGGACTTCGGAGCGTGGCATCGGCTGCGGCAAGGTACAGTGTGGATTTCGGCGGGGCGGTTGTCTTCGGCACACTGCGTCCGGGGGAGCACGAGGCAAGAGAGAGAGACCGCGCATGAGTTTAAGGTAATGACTTTCCACTCCGTAGTCCGTACGTTGAAAACCACCATGATATACGAAAATACCAAAGCAACAGTCTGCTTTAAGAACGACCCCCACCCCAACTGTCTCATCTAACAGCGTGTTAATCATCATCTCCCGTCTGACAAACCCATAGGTACTCATACCTACGAAACATCCGTCCCACAACCCTTCATCTCCCGCGCCACGCGGCTATCAAGGGCATCATTTAATTAAGGTACTCTCTCCCCCGGTACGACTAACAGAAGGCCCATGGCAGTACCGAAACTTTTACAAAAAGAAAAGAAAGTGTTAGTCAAGACACCATCCCATATCTCTGCGGCCAGACCTGGTATCTCCTTGACATAATACACGCTGTCTTTAGATCTCTGCCGTGGAACATTGACCGCGTGGGATCCTCGTGATGGCTGCATGTATGAAGCCTTTCTTACCCCCGACCGGCCATGTCCTATGCTACCACACGAAGCACCCAAGATGCACGTAGATGACTCTCGTCCGCCCGCCCCGAACGGGGCAACGGGAGCCTTGACTGCATTGGGATCAGGAGGGAGAAGAAGGGAAGGAGAACAAAAAGAAGAGAGAGTAATCCTTCTCCCTTCTCTCCATCACCACGACCTTCTCCGCCGTCTTTATTTACGAGTCAAAAATCTCACTCCCAAGGGCCAATAACTAGGACAGACGTTGGCTGGCGCAACCAACCCCGGCACCGGCACTCAGCCCCCGCCAGTACCGTTTCTGTTTCATCATCCTAACCTTTCTCCCCTCGCCTCATCTCCAAAGCGTCTCCGGGACGGAGCAAGGGGGCACGTGTGATGGGGACGCACCGGCGCACATGCACATGGATCATCACGGACATGCATGCTGCGCGGTGCGTCCTGCGTGTTGCAACGTACATACGTTGTACGTGGTGGTGCGTGCTGCTTGCAGTCCCGATCGCCGGCCCTCGGGGTTTCATGCGTGGGTTTCGCCGGCATAACCGAGAGAACCCCGATTCGCAACGCTGTGGTCGAGCCCGCGGTTTCCCCGGCTGGCACGAGACGAGACGAGACGAGACGGGCAACACTTGGCCCGCGGAAGGTCACAGCCCGCGTGCGTGTCCCGCATATAATTATTATTACCTACCTATTCGAATTACCCCCAAGGCCATGCGGATGCCTACTTACTTCAACTGTTGCCTTGAAACGGTCCGCTCCCTTTGTTCATGGTGTGGAGTCGGGATCTCCGCCGCTTGCTTTGTCTCTCGCTTTGTCTGATACGGAGTACGGACTACGGACTTCGTATATCGTACAAAATACTGGATGACCTACCTAGCCCTTAATTAATCAGAATGGGACTTTGGTCACGGTGTGCACATGCATGGTCCACGTACTTTAGACGAAGTAGTGTAGGTAGGGATGAGAAACAAAGCTTGACGGGTCCGGGGGGTACATGTAGACGATGCCCGAGATCCATCGGTTCATCCATCGTGTTTTATATCCCTGGCACCAAGGGGCCAAAAGCCAAGGGGCAAGGGACAAGGGCCGATCATTAACCGATTCTGCCCGTCTGACAACCGACGGAAAATTGTGGCTTGTCTTCCCATCTCCCAACTATTAACGATTAATTACCCTTTCGTCTATGTAAGCAAGTTCCAACGCCACGTTTATTATCGGAGCCTTTCCTTTCCCTTTCTCATCCAAAATGAAGGAAAAAACTCCGTGTGGTACGGAGCCCGGAGCACGGAGGAGAGCCGGGGCCTCGCCTCGTCTCGCTGCAACGCAGCAAGGATGGTACATGCTTCGTACTCTGTCGCAGGAACCTTGCAACCACGGTACTCTGTACACCTACTAAGGTACTTCGTACGAAGTAAGGTAGGTACCTTAGGTACCATATGTACTTCGGCCGTCCGCGTCCACGCAAGTAGAACGTACGGATATCCCAATCTTACAACGTTACACAGCGTGGAACAACAAGAAACTCCAGGGGGCTTGCTTGTTGGAGTTATCCGGGACTGGATCAGCCGGTCTTCGCCGAGAAATGATTGTAATTGGGGGCCCAAGAGTCCCATACTTTGTACATCTTGCCGTACACGTATAAATCACATGTACCTAGCACCCGGCACAGGCCGAAGGATTATCGTGACGATCGGTCGGTGCTTGTTCCGATCCCGGGGAAGGGACACCGTCTATGGATAGATATGTTGTACATATAAATATATTGTTAAAAGAAATAGTATTCGCCAAGATCACCAACAGCACCAAGCTGTTCCCGGCTCTTGAATTTATCTTCAGAGCATAATGCATAATGCATAATGCATAATGCATAATGCATAATACAAAAGAACATGCGTTGTTCGCCGGTTAACCGGAGTATTATCAGTTATCCCATATTTATGCCACTCTCCGAAAAATATGAATAATCCCAGTGCGCGGGAGGCTGGGGGAATACCCGTTGCAGGGATTAGGGACGTTAGGCCAAGAAACCTTCAAAAGTGGCCGTAATTATAAGGGTTTCCTCATAAGCAACCATGCAGGGTGAGATGTGTTAGAACACAAATAAGGTGCAGAAAATTATGTATATATTTATCTAAGTGAAGTTCGTGGTACTTCACGGGGATATCTAACCATCAGGAAAAATAAGGGGAAATAAGTATGGATATATAGGATCAAGGTACTCTATAAGTCTAATATAATATAGTTTGTCACACCTGGACAAGGTGGCTAAGGGCATGCGACAAGATAGATGCATAAGGTTTGCCAGGGCATTATAATATTATATAAGTGGCTGAACAATACCTTACTTTATACGTTGTAGGTAGGTAGGTATATCCGTAGATATTAATTACGAAGCTGTATTACTCCGTACCAGGGACGGAGTAGCACGATTTGCTTGGAACTTGCTATGCGCCTGCCTTCGCTGTCGGACTTAAACGCTCTTACCCCGCTGACCCGGACAACGTGGGGTCTTGTTCGTGTATTCTTCATTAAGGTCAGTTGCATGGATGATGGGGTAGAAGAAGATGTCATTTTTTTCCTCCTTTGGTGTTGTTTCAATATCCCCCGTAATTACGCAGCCCCTCTAATAAATACCAACACTAACACAAACACAAACACAACACACATCCTAGGTAATTACCATGCCACCAACCTACGCCACGCTAGAACCCAGAACCACGACTACGGGGACACGGAAGCTCCCGAGAGAACAATGTGTTCAAGGATGGGCTACGATCCCTATTCCATGCCGCGAATCCACTTCGCGGCCGCCTCCTCTGCCCGAAGTGGAGCAGCCGGTGCGCTTAGGTACGTAATGGGGTAAAGTCACAGTTGTCAAAATCGCTCGGAGAAAGAAAGAAAAAGGAAAGGTATCGTGTGAGGGGGTGAGGTATGCTGTCATATTGTACCGTTGTAGTCGGCGACGTCCGGTCTGGGCGTGGGATACGGGTGTGTGGGGGCCAGATAGGGGTCGGCGAACTCCTCCATCTCGTCGACGGGAGGGGACATGCACGTTGAAGGGTGTATCCTAGACGAAAGACGGATAGTCGCCGAGAGTGAGGAAACCTCCGTACTTTACTTTCTTAAAGCTGCATTAGCGTTTGTGCAGAAAATAAGAAACTTGGTAACAAGCGGGGATCCCAAGTCAGTGAGTTTAGCGTGAGTGTGATGTTCTGTTCTTTGCGACAGGGATGTAAGAGCAGTCCAAGGCCGACAGAGTGATACTGGTTGGTACAGTATACCAACGACTAAACGTAAACGCTATGCCAGTGATGGCCCACCTTCTTCACTACATCCTTCAGTTAATTACTCCTCGTCTCCAAGTCCCGTCAACCCACCGGCGAGGCCATGCATCCGCCTCCCGAGCAAGTCTTCGGAGCTCTTAAGTCTGACCATGCTTAATACTTTCCCCGTCGATCCAGTCCTCGCCCTGCCGTTCCTCCTCTTGGTCTTGCCGTTCGTCCCATTGACTTCCTCCATGCCCTTTGCCTTCGCAGGTCCGTCGTATCCCCCCCCCCCCCCTCCTCCTCCTCCTCCTCCTCCTCCTCCTCCTCCTCGCCCTCCTCTTCCTTCCTCCCCCTCTTCTCGCGATGTCGTCCCCGCCTCTTCCGCTTTCGCCTTGCCTTTACTCGCCCTCGACATGGCAATCTCCAGCGGTCTGTCCTCGTCTGCACTCGACTCTGTCATGGTGCGCCTATGATGCCTGGCCTCTTGCCCGTCTCCTCCCCACAGCGTTGTCCCGTTCACACCGACCATCCTGGCAGACATGTCCGGTGTTTGTGTTTTCCGGGAGACTTGCTGCTGGTGCCGTGCGGTCGTCTTCTTGTTTTTCTCTCTCCTCCTGACCTGGTCGGCGTGCGCGAAGATGTCCTCAAACCACTCTGCCGTCCGGTCGATGAACCCCCAGGCCGGAGGGTAGATGGACGGAAACTGGAGGAAGCCGTGGGAGACGCCGGGAAGCAGCGCTACCTCGGCGACGTCCTTGTCGCCGAATGGCCGTCTGCCGTCTCCCTCGTCCTGGTCCCGCTGCTGCTGTGCCCAGTACTCTTCCTTGGCCTTCCGCAACCGCGCCGCGAAAATGACTGTATCGTCCACGAGGGGATCCCGCTCGCCCGTGAGGAAGTAAACCTTGGGGAAGTGAGCCAGTAGCGCATCGGGCGCTAGGACGGGCGAGAGCAGATAGTCTTTGCTAAAGTCGGGTCGGTTGTGGGGGCCGATATAGAGAATGATCATCGCACGCATCATCTCGGGGGTGAGCACGCGGTCGTTGAAGTACGATATCATGGAAGACATTGCGAGGCGAGTCCGTAGAGGTTGCGGATGATGCGACGCAACGGGGTTCTTCTGTAGACCACCGGCAGCAGTGGTCGATAGAGTAGCGGGGGTTGTGATCCCGGCGGTGGAAGCAGGAGACCTCGCGCGATCGGCGGCGGCGGGACCATCGTTTTCCACGACACTGCTTAGCCCGGTGCTTCTGGGTTTCGACGTGGATGGCGTAGACTCGTCCTCGTCATCAGAATGATGCGGAGTACCAACGAGATCGTTGTATTGCATGCTCTTCCTGCGAACGATAGACTTGCTCGTGCCTTTCATCCGCCGATCCTTCATGAGCGACATCTCCTCGTCGGACATCCAGTTGCCAATGTTCATGTCTAAGCCCGGGTAGAAGAGGACCAGCCCTTCGGGGAGAGGCAGCGGCAAAGCGCCACCCCTGCCATCGTCATCGTCCGTTAGACGACGCGGACGCGTAGGGAGCAGCTTGGCGCGCTCGACGATCATCAAGGTCGCGGCGGTGGCCAGGTTGCCACCGGCGCTGTCGCCCGCTATGACGACCCGGGGGACATGGCGGCCGGACATGCCTATGCACCGGCCCTTGCTCCGCACGAGGGTGGCGTAGACGTCGAAGCACTCGTTGAGGGCGTAAGGGTAAGGGAATTCGGGGGCCTTCTTGTAGTCGAGGCTGAGCACGGGCAGTCCCGTCTTGACGGCCCAGGTGAACAGCTTATCGTCGTTGCAACGGGGGTCCATGGCCACGAAACCGCCGCCGGGGATGTCCAGGACGAGTTTATCGTGGCGCCGCAGGTCGGCCAACGGCCCGTCGTAGTAGAGCCAGGCCGAGACGGGTTCCGTGTAATCGCTGCCGGCCGGGCGGGGGATTCGGATGGCGCGCGGGGGCCAGCGGGTCAGACGAGGGCGTAGGAGGTTCTGGAAGAACCTGATGTAAGGGGTGGTGCTCTTGTTCCAAGAGACGCGGAGGTGCTCGACGGTCAGCATGCCCCTGACCTTGCGCACTTTTTCGTCGGCTCGTTCGGCGGCGATCATGTAGAAGACGGAGAAGACGATGCTGGCCAGGTCGCGCAACCACTTTGTCTTGATCTTCATGGCCGTCCAGAAGCCGGCATCGAGCGCGGTCAGGATCCAAGTGGCGCGGAAATAGGCGGTATCATACATGTTGGCCATGGGTTCGGGGCTGGCCAGGTTGACCAGCGTACTGAAGTTCCGGGCGATGTAGAGATAGATCATGGTTAGGACGACGGTCTGCCATGTGGTCAGGCGTTTTGTCCAGAATTTGGACAAGAAGCGCACGACGGGAGGGCCATGTCGATGACCGCTGCCTCTTATTAGCCATGTATTTGTCGACAGGAGAAAAAAGAAAAACACAAGGAAAAGAAGGGGGGAACATACCGATAGAGATAAGCAGACCAGAAAGCCAGAACGCCGAGGACCTGAAGCCGGCGCGACTTGACAGAAGGCCGTCCGAGGACGTGGTCGATCATGGTGGTAGAATCTGATGCGGAGGTCGATGCATGCGAGAGGAGATAGCCAAACTGAAGAGGTAGACTGTGATCGTGGTGTAGTAACGTAGTAGGTAGAATATACTGGAGAAAAACGGATATCACGGCGGTTGTTTGAACACCCTCGTGTGCATCGTTTCCAAGTGGTCGGGTCTGCCGTCTGTCGTCGGTCGTCTGTCGTCTGTCGTGGTCCGGATTCACATGACAATATGCAATGTAAAACACCCGACGCGAGTAATGGAGATAAGAAATGCTCTACTAATTAGTTGGTTCACTTAAAGCCCGTAGAAAATGGGATGAACGACGGACGAGGAGACGACGTCGTTTAGTCGAGGTTGAGAGAGGTCAAGCTAACGGACAGCTCTAGGGCAACAAGGGATGAAAGCAAAGCGACGAAGCCTGGCTTTCCTGGGCGAGAGAAGAAAAGGAAGTTCGACAGTGACGCTCATTTTCACGGTCTTTGGGTGTGCCTTTCGTTGGCATGTGAAAGTGTGGAGGGGTGGATGTGGATGTGGATGTGGATGTGGATGATGGATGGGGATGGAGGCTCATTATTCGTAGGTGGGATTGGTCTAAGGTTAGCGTTTTGTCAGCTGTAACGTCCAAGCCCACGCCTCAATCAGCTGACCTGACCGTCGGTGGCGGGACATGGGAATGACACGTGCGCTTATGTACAGAGTACAGAATGTCGTACCGACCCGACGCGAAGTCTCCATTACGGGGTACGGGGTAGTTGCCTGCCTTACGTACTCAGGATAAGCTCCGAAACCCGGAGGGTGTGATATAAGAGCTTATCGATAAGCTACGACACCCGGGAGTCATCACCGTGACTGCTTTGCGTGTAGTGCGACATCGCGCATATTTTTTTTTATACATATTATTTCGACTTGGACAGCTTCTGTTCCATTCTTGAAGACTTTGTCCCCCGTTCTTCACTTTCCGTCCCGGACTCATATTTCCTGCTACGATGGCGTTCCGCGCGCCCTTGAGGCTTCAATTGACCAAATTGAGCCTTCCCACCACCCATATCACCCGCCGTGCCATCTCCTCTACCATCGCCGTAAGTGTGACCCAGGACAGACAGGACAGCCAGAACAGAGTCAAACCGCCTCGCTCTTGTCGCATTCCTTTTAAAGAGGCAAACGGATGGTCTATGGGCATAGAGACCGGATGCTGACTCATATTTTCCCTCTAGCGACAAACATCTCTACCCAATCCCGATCCGACCGAAGATTCGCCCAGCGCTCAACTCATCCGCGAACATGCCCCCTACATGGTAGCAACCTACTCCCGGCCGCCGCCCGTCTTCGTGAAGGGAGAGGGTTCGTGGCTGTGGGACGCCGAGAACAGGAAGTACTTGGACTTCACATCTGGCATTGCCGTCAACAGCCTCGGTCATTGCGACCCCGAAGTGGCCCGCCTCGCTGCCGAACAGGTATGACCATCCTGTTTTTGTAATGTCTATGACTTGTCTGTGACTAACACACACGGTACTGGCCAGTCTGCCACTCTGATCCACGCATCGAATCTTTACTATAACCCCTGGACGGGGGCCCTCTCCAAGCTCCTCGTCGAGAAGACCATCGAGTCCGGAGCCATGCACGACGCCTCCTCCGTCTTCATCTGCAACTCGGGCTCCGAAGCCAACGAGGCCGCCATCAAGTTCGCCCGCAAGGTCGGAAAGGCCCTCGACCCTTCGGGCGCCAAGACCGACGTCGTCTCCTTCACCAATGCCTTCCACGGCCGCACCATGGGCAGCCTGTCCGCCACCCACAACCCCAAGTACCAGGACCCCTTCGCCCCGATGGTGCCCGGTTTCCGCCAGGGCGCCTACAACGACGTCGACGGCATCGACGCCCTCGTCACCGAGACCACCTGCGGCGTCATTGTCGAGCCCATCCAGGGCGAGGGTGGCGTGACCGCCGGCACCGAGGCCTTCCTCGTCGCCCTGGCCCGCCGGTGCCGCGCCGTCGGCGCCGTCCTCATCTACGACGAGATCCAGTGCGGCCTCGCCCGCACCGGCCGCCTCTGGGCCCACGGCCACCTCCCCCGGGAAGCCCACCCGGACGTCCTCACCACCGCCAAGGCCCTCGGCAACGGCTTCCCCATCGGCGCCGTCATCGTCAACGACGCCGTCGCCGACAAGATCAAGGTCGGCGACCACGGCACCACCTTCGGCGGCAACCCGCTCGCCTCCCGCCTCGCCCACCACATCGTCTCCCGCCTGGCCGACCCGGCCCTGCAGGCCGCCGTGCTGGCCAAGTCGGACGTCTTCCGCGCGCGGTTCAACGCGCTGCGGGATCGCTGGCCCGATCTCATCCGCGAGATCCGCGGCAAGGGTCTTATCTTGGGCCTGCAGCTCTCCCAGGACCCGGCGCCCATTGTCAAGGCCGCTCGCGAGCGGGGTCTCCTTGTCATCACGGCCGGCACCAACACGCTGCGCTTTGTGCCGCCGTTGACCATCACGGAGGAGGAGATCAAGCAGGGCTTGGATGTGCTGGAGGAGGCCATCGCTGCTACGAGGGCGTAAAATTCGGGTTATGAACATGTGTGGGGAGGGGAACTGGACATGATGGGATGATAGATGTTCGATTTCCCTTATGTACATGGTTTCCTTTTCTTTCTCTTCGTCTTGTCTGTTCCTATTATTTTTCTTCCCTTTCCTAACGATCTCCGGCGTTGGCGTTGCAAGAAAAAAGTCGTCTTAGATGATGCATATAGAGAGGTAGAGAGGCAGCTTCAACTTCCTACTTCTAGAGGAGAGACCGTCTTTAGACCCGGCAAACAGTGTAGCACCAAAGTCAAAGACCCACAGTTGAGCATGACACGCATCGAGCGAAATGAAATAGCCGTCAAATAAGATTGAATCCCATAGTAGATTGTTGTATGAATACACGCGACGCACAGAACATCAAAGTCCGCAATGAACCCATGCCAAACGCCACCCTGCCAGCGAAGAACAAAACAAAACGAAGGGAAAATGACACGTAGGGAAAAGGCTGGGCCTTGGGCGGCCACCATGACATGCTGCCAATCCGCCCCCGACATCCCTGTTCTGCCCATTCCTCCATTCCTCCATTCCTCCATTCCTCCCCCCCCCCCCTCCGGACCATATAAGGGCCCGACAAGTGCCGGCGTGAAGCATGACCGAAAGAAAACGAAAGAGAAAAAGAAAAAAGTAGTTACAAAACGTAAGATCCGCCGACTTTCACTTCCAACGCAAAGCAGAAAGCTGGCTGGCTTGGTTTACGCCGAGAAGAAGAATTTAAAGGACTTGCGCCATTCCACCTTGGCTTCCCTGGCCACGCCTACCCTACAAGGCGCTGTAGCCACCCCGCGTCCCGCTGCCCTGGACGGCGTTGAGGACGCTGCGCGCCAAGTCCTTGAGGATGTAGGGGATGTCGCGAATGGTGTCGCCGTGCGGCAGCAGGTCCCAGCCCCTAGCGCCGTACCTGTTGTAGTTCAGCCAGGAGCCGAAGATGAGGTAGGCCGCGATGCCGAGGAAGGCCCTACGTTGTGACGAGCAGCAGATTAGTCGCCGATTCCGATTTAGAGGCAGAGAATGAGGACATAAGAAGGAGAAGAAAAGGAAAAAAACAAAGGAAAAAAAAAGGGGGGGGGGGGGGGAAGCACGTACAGAATCACAAACCACGTGAAGAAACCCCAACCACGGCTCGAGTCCTCATCTCCCGAATCAGGCGGGTTCGCCCAAGCATCCTCGCACGCGTACTGCGTATACCACGTGAGTCGCAGGACGTCCACATCCCCCTTCTCCGAAGGCCCGTAGCTCTTCCAAACCAACGCCGCACCAGGCGTGAGATTCTGCCTCTCCTCGCCATCGTCGCCATCGTCGCCCTCATCCTTGTCCTCGGCCCGCGTTCGCAGCGCCTCGGCGGAATACTGGTCCTCGGGCGTGATCTCGCCCTCCAGCCCCGTCTTCTCCCGGTGGCAGATGAACTCGATGATGGCCTTTTGCGGGCGCTTGTGCTTGCCCTCGAGCGGGTACCGGCCGCCCTGGAGCACCAGGCGCAGGCCCTCCTTGTCGTGGTCCGAGTGCGAGTCGGACGATTTGAGCCGCTCAACCTTGGGGTCGAGGGTGCCGCCGCCGTGGTCTTTCAGTTCGCCGGCGATGGGGATGACTTTTTGGATGTCGTCGTGGCTGTCCTCGTCGGGACGGATCAGGCGTTCGATGGCGCAGACTGCATTATGAAAGATGGTACGCGTCAGCATCGGCTCAGAAGTCTTTGCCCCCCCCTCCCTTTTTCTTCCTTGTCTCTTTCTGTCTGCGGATGGGAGCATAGTATTGGGCTCATAGGACAGAAACACACACCTCTTGTTCCGTTCGGGCACTCATCCCCCTTCTTGACGTCGCCTTTCCTCTTGAGCGGTTTGCAAATGTCGATGGTATACGACGTGTTGGTGTACGTGGGTGGGTGCCACTTTGACGTGACGACCGAGTGCGGCCCGCCGAGCTTCGACAGGTTAAAGTCGACATCACCGACCCGGATATGGTCACATTGTAACATGCCGGATGTTGGCAGAGGCGCGAGCAACAGTGCTAGAAACAAGGCCGTTTCTGGCCTTGGGAGCGACGGAAAATGCATATCGTACAGCTCGGGCGGGGAGGATTATTAGAAGCCTGTCGTGTGAGGTGAGAGCGAGTCCGATCAAAGATGCCGATGACGAATTTCGGGTCCAGGGGGGGGGAGTCGTGTGGACGGATCGCGGGATCGGAGTAGCGGAAGGTGGCGACCGGACGAGCTGAGAATATTAGGACAAGCTGTATGAAAGTAGCGTCGGTTTAAAACAAAAGAACGAAACGATCTGCCGTGATGTGACGCGAAAAGAGCGTTGCCTGGATTAAGAAATGTGATGGAGGAATCCCGAGATCAAGTGGATAGGCAGAAAGTCGCGGAAAAATATCCAAGTGGCGCCCGTTACAAGCTGGGGGAGCTTACGGAGGACGTACCTAGAAATTACCACGTAACTGGCGTAGGTTGCATCATTGCCCTGGGCACATACCTTATTAGGTAAGAATCCACCTGTGCCCGCCCCACGAAACATGTCCACGTGACCTGGTTTGGCTGTGAAAACACAAGATCAACCTGGCAGGATTATGTAAGGAATCTGGACCGGCCTGGCCCCGGCCTCTATCTCCTAGGCACCTAACACACCGAGGGAGGTCTATACGACACTTATTACCTTAGAGAGCAGCTCGTCGAGTCAACGGCGTCAAGGATAAGACATAGTAGCCAAGTAATCCATGAACGCATACCGAAACCGCAGTATATTTAATAATAAAACACCGGGTTTATATTACACCTCGCTATCCATATCCGTGTTGTGCCTTCATGTTTCCATACCCTGCCGTTAAGTCGCCCCTTATCCATGAAGCCGCCCATGTGCCCTGGCCAGAGTCCAAGACCAGCCAGGGGAGAAGGCGGATAAAAAAAAAAACCCCCCCCGAACCCCCCTTTTGACTTGGTCTCGTGTCCCCGTAACGCCGAATAGAAAAAGAAAAAGCATCGTCGAACGGGTATATAATAGAGAACAGGTCCGGCCGAGGATGTGGACTCTTTTCGTTCATCTTCAACATCGTGTTGGGGAATCACAACGAAGAGAAGAAAACCCGAAAAAAAGAAAAATGCAAAAAAGGGGGAAGAACAAGAGAAGAAAGAAAAGAAAAGGAAAAAAAAAAAGGATAAAGAAGTAAAACAAAGAACATACCCCCAACTCCCCCGTCTTCCCCCTCCATTCCACCTAGCATGTCACCATATCAACAACCTTATTCTTTTCTGTTTTCCTTAAGAGTCTAGGTCCAGCTCCGAGACGTCGTCGTCCTACATGTCGTGGGTACCGGGGCCTGTCAACTCGCGTCTGCCCAGTATCTGCCGTTGCTGCAGCAGCATCCGTTGCCTCCGTCGCCGCCGCAGTTGCTCCTCCACCTGTTGCTGCTGCCGCAACTGCCGCATCCGTTGCCGCACCAGTTGCCGCCGCAGCTGTTGCTGCCGCACTTGCTGCCGCATCTGCTGCAGCTGTATGGCGGCCTGTTGCTGTAGCATCCGTGGGTCTAGGTTTAGGTCCGAGTCCGAGTCATCGTCATCGTCATCGTCCTACATGCCGTGGGTACCGGGGCCTATCATCCCGCCCATGCCCTGCATCTGCTGTTGCTGCTGCTGCTGCTGTTGTTGCTGTTGCTGTTGCTGCTGCAGTATGGCCGCCTGCTGTTGCTGTTGTTGGTGCGCCCTCCGCTGGGCTATGACGTTTGCCACGTTGTTTCTGGCCTGGATCATGCAATGCTTCTTAAACTGTTCCAGATGTTCCGCAGGGATGTTCTCGACCGCACCTCCCCATTTGTTCGCCAGGTCTTGAATGCCTTTGTTGTAGAGAAGTTGTGTTTGAGTCCGGACATGCTGTTGGAAGGTGTTCATGTTCTGCTGTTGCTGTTGCTGTTGCTGTTGGTGCTGCTGCTGGTGTTGCTGTTGCTGTTGGTGCTGGTGCTGTTGCTGCTGGTGTTGTTGTTGTTGTTGTTGTTGTTGTTGTTGCTGCTGCTGCTGCTGCATCAACATCGCCTGCATATTCATGGCCTGAGCATTCATGGACTGAGGCGTCCCCATCATCTGCCGCTGCATGGGGTTCCCCATATGTTGCTGTAGCTGTGCCTGTAGCTGCGCCTGCATCTGTGGCGACATCTGTCCACCTGCCATCGGACCTCCCGCTTGCATGTTTTGGAGTTGCTGGGCGAAGCGCTGTGCCATCTGCGGGTTCATCATGTTACGATGGGGCTGCTGCTGCTGCCCATGTTGCGGTAACTGCTGCTGCTGCTGCTGCTGCTGCTGTTGCTGTTGCTGTTGCTGTTGCTGAAGAAACATAGCCCGCCGCTGCATCTCGTGTTGCATTTGCTGAGGCGTCATCGGCTGTCCGTTGCCGAAGTTACTGTTCATCATGCTGTTCTGCATGGCGTGCGGCATCTGCGCTTGCTGGATGGCCCGTTGCCTCTGCGCGATCTGCTGCGCCAGGAACGTCGGATCCGCGTGCATCTGCTGCTGCTGCATGTTAGGCGTGCCAACCATCATGCCCTGGCCCATCTGCGAGCTGGTCGTCATCATGTTGGGAGGCGGGCTGGCCTGGGACATCCGGGGCGTGGCCGCCATGGCACGCGCAGGGACAGGCGTCCCCTGCATATTGGGCGTCCCGTGCGGCATCCGCGGCGTACCGGCCGGATGACTCTGCTGGCTAGCACGAGCCGACATATTGGCAGTCATGGGCACGCCACCCATGCCGCCACCAGGGTGACCCTGGGCCACCGATGGCGGCCGGGGCGGACTGGCCGCCATGCTCGAATTGGACTGCTGCATGGCCACCGCGCCAGGCATCGGTGACGACATGCTGTGCGGAGTTCCCTGTCGGATGACTGGCGACGACACCTGGGGTTGGGCCACCTGCGCGAACCTGGCCTGCGCTTGTGCCGGAATACCGTTAGGGAGGCCGCCAGAAGGAGCGCCGCCGGGCACCCCTGCACCGACACCGACAGGCGCACCGCCGCTGGGCATCCCGCCATGAGGAGGTTGCGGGTGCGCCCGCTGGCCGGCAAGGCCCGCGTTTTGGCCGGTGCGTTGGGGATTCGCCTGCGCAGCGAGTGCTGCCTGTCTGGCTGCCTCTTGGCGATCGCGTTTCTCAGCTGCCGCTTGCTCTCTCCTGGCCTTCTCGAGTTCGGCTTGTTGACGCTGCTGAGCCAATGCAGCCGCTTGCTGTTCTTGCTGCTGCTGCTGCTGCTGCAGTAGCCTCTGTTGCGCGAGCTTCCTCTCGTTCTCCGCAAGCCTTGCCCTCTCCTGTTTTTTCTTCTCTTCGTATTCACTCTTAATGTCGGCGATGACCTTGAACCGCGCGAAATTGGGCTCAAACGTAGACCCACCCGCCTGGTCTTCGCCGTCGGCCCCGTTGGCACCCCCCTGAGTGCCATTAGCTGTCGAGGAGAGTCGTTCGTCGAGCGTGAGCATGTATCTTTCCTGCTCTGCCGCTTGCGCCTCGTCTGCCGCCATTTCGGCCACAGTTCTTTTTCTCGTCTTGGGTTCGGGCGGCGGATAGCTGTGTTTCGGATGAGCGAGGGTGTCGAGGAGCGCGATCGTGCCGCGGGCATCCTTGGTGGGCGCGAGATGGAGAGTCGGGTGGGTGGCTAGCAAAATCTGGGCTTCGGCATCGCGGATGTTGCTTCCGTCAAGCTCCATGCGCTCTCGCTTTTGTCTCTTGGACGGAGGTGGCATGCTGGAAGTCGTGGGCGTAGGCGGTACCATGGAGACGGGCGTTGCCGGCGGTATCACGCCGCCGTCAATACTTGTGCGGTCATCAGCGGCTGTCCGCGGAGTAAGTGCTTTCAGAATGAGGTCGGTCTGCAAGCTATGCTGTGTTGGATGTAAAACAACGGTGAATATCCTCGCCTGGGGAGGCGATTGGCTTTTCTGCCCCTCGCCGGGGAGGGACGGAGCAGGCTTGATATCTGTGCCTGGGTCCGTGCCTTGGTCCTCGCCCGACTTCTCCTTCTCCTTGCCATCCTCTCCTGTTGCTGGGACAGGCTCCGGCGCCTCGCCAAGGTTGTCCTTCGGATATGGGACGTAGGGAGACGGTACGATGTATGGATTGTGGTTATGAATGGACGATGGTACGACGGTGGTCGATTTGGAAACTGGGGGTCGGACGTCCTTGACTTGTGCCGGGGTTTTGTGGTCGTGTACCCGTACAATGAGACAACCCTCGTAAAAGGTAACGCCAGCTTGGGTAAAATACTCGAGAAGGTCGTGAGGAACGGTTCGAGTTCGGACGTGTTCGAGGAAGATGCGCATCGGTGACTTGTATGAAAAGGTCCCATCTTGCTGATCGAATCGGAAATGCGTGGCATGAAGATGGACGACGAGTGATGGTGGGTTTCCGGCATACTTCTTAAGAATGTAGTCGTCCGTGACGACTGTGACGGGGGTCAGAAAACCAGAGAGTCGTGAGGGGAACAGGAAAGGGGGGGGATAAAAGGAAAACAAGATGAACAAAATAAAAAAATAAAGGACGAAAAACATGGGGCGCTGCGGTGGCATCTCGAAACCTACCGTAAGGAGGACGTTCTACTGCGGTCGACATCGTTGCGACTCCGCCCATTAATACATCCTGAGATGCAGTACCGCTGTTCGTATTGGAGGTTTGGTTGGCAACTTGAGTTGAAGGCTTTCTTTGCGCCTTTGGTGGTCGCGCCGACTGGGGGGTGGTTGCGTTCGTGTTGCCGCTGGCGGTCGCGCTCATCGAATTGGGATGTTTCTTAGTTGACATAGACGGCGAAGATGACGCATTGGTCATGGAAGTAGCGCCGTTCGTCTGGATCCCGGGAGGAACGGGTCGCTTGATCTTAGAGGCGGCTGGCAGCACCGGTGGCGGGATTGCCGTCACGACGGGCGCCATGCTTGCCGCGAAGCCTCGGCGAGAGGCTCTCTATCGTGTAGGCTCGGATCGTCTTTCCGACGTAGGAAATGCGAATTCTAAAGAGATTTCCGCATCTGTGAAAGAGATGTATGAACTGTGCCTTCTCTGATTGAAGTAGATCTGACGATAGAGACGATGGAGGCGAAGGGAAGGGCGTCCAAGATATAGAAAGGACGATAGGGAACGTCGCTGGGCGCTGGCTGCCGTGATCGGGTGGTCGGGGACGAGTCGGGGAGAGGGAATTGGCGAGTCTATAGTCGTGTGGAAAGAGGGCGGCAATCGCAGTGGTCGAAAACGCGTTTCTTTGGCTCGAACGAGTGTCTAGCTGATGTCCAGCAGTCGCGGTTGATGGGTATGGATGGTGGGGTCTTGGGGGAGGGATGTTGCGATGAAGTCGGGCTTTCCTACCACTTGTGAATCCACGCGATGTACAACGTATACGGAGTAGCCGCATTGTTCCTGCCAGTCACGGCATGTCATGTCATGGGGTGTCGGGTAATGTCCGGATGACCTGTTCTGGTTAGTTCCAAAAGTACAGTGCGTATGTACTCAGCACTGTCCCCAACACTGTCCAATCGGGCTTAGTAATTAGTCAGACGCGAAAACGTCTGAATGCGCGATCGATAGAGTAGAGCTGCTCTTGTTCCCGTCTACGACCCTCCATAAGGTAGAAAGGAATTGAAAACAGGGATAGTGGAATGGACCTCGGAAACAAAGAGAGACGCCCCTATGAGATCAAGAAGAAGAATAAGAACAAAACATTGGTCATTGAAAACTACAATATCAAACCAGCGTATCTTCCTGTCTACCCTCAAGGCAGAAGACTGTTGTAGAACCTGCAGACCTGGCCTCCTGGAAGCATCCGGGTATTGTTCAGTCCCTGGCGAGCTGGTGGTCCATCCTAATCCAGTAAGCGAGACTCGTTACACCGAGCATAATATCCTATGGGCCCCCCTCTCTCGCTTATCACCTGAATGAGGCGCCCCCCCGCCCGCCTCCTTATTCCCTCCCCTGAACACGGCGTGCCCAATCGTCGCCAACTCTCATACCGTCAACGACCACAACACCCCGTCCACGGCCAACCCTCTCAGGCCGCTGCCACCACTTCTCCTCGGCGCCGGACTTTTCAGCTTCGGACTCACTGTCGGCCAACCCGCCATGGCCGCTCTCGGCACCCACTACCAGGATAACGTCGTGCCTGAGCCAGGTCTGCATGTTCGCCACAATGCTCCCGTTCTCCCCGGCGAGGGATTCTTGCAGGTACACGACGTCGGGCTTGAGGTGGCGCAGGATGTGCGCGTGGCCATTGGGCGTGGTGAACGGGAGGACCATGGTCTCCTTCTCGACGAGGGCCATCGCTTGCGAGTGGACGGCGTTGAACAATGTGGAGCCGGCCGAGGGTGTCAACGCCGGGCTCCTGGCTGCGTCGTCGGGATGTGCTTGCGCCTGGTTGTGTTCGATGTTGGAGAAGGAAGAGCTCAGCGAAGGCGGGGGGAGGTTGCTCGTCGGGTCGAGCGTGCTGTCTTTCAACCCAGGAGCGTAGATCAAGACGAACAGCTTGATATGGGAGAAGTCATTGTGGCGGGGGATATGAGATAGGATGGACTACAGTAAAAAGGAAATTCGTGAGCCAGGAGCCATACGCCGCGAGGACTGTCTGTCGCTCCGTTGTATATGCGAAGAGGAGAACTTACGGCATGTTCGAGGAAATCGTCCTCGTCGTAATCGCCCACGTTGACATCAGCCGAGACAACAATGGCCACGGTCCGGCGACGCTTTCCAGCTTCTTGGGGCGCCGAGCCGGAAGGGCGGTCCCTGCGATCATCGGCTTCGCCCGACCACGCCTCGTGATCGGCAAAGGCTGCCTTATCCTCCTCCCGGATAGCGGCCAGGGCGCGACCGGCCACCGCACCAGCCGCGGCCACACTCGCCGAGACGGTCTTGCCGGCATTCTCGAGGAGCTGTTGAGGGCTAGGTGTGCGTCGCAAAGCGCCCGACATGCGAGCGCCCCAGCTCCCTTCCTGCGTCGCGTCGCCTACCGGGGGGTTCGACGACGACGGAGGAGGTTGGGACGGCCCCCCCCGCGATGTCGCGTCGCGAGGAACGTTTCCGCTGTAGTCGGCATTGTCATAGTCCAGATCGTCGTATAGCTCGGAAGATTCGTCCTCGTCCTTGCGCTGGCTCCACGCCCATGCCGCAACACCGACTGTAGCAACGGTGAGCGTGACGGCCAGGGGAACCCAGTGGCTCCACACACTTCTCCTTCGCGAAGAAGAATCGTAGGGTGACGACATTTAGACCAATGTTGTCATGGCACGGGGCCAGAGGCCTTGTTGTAATCGTTTTGTTGTCGCGCTCAATGTCGTACTCCTGGTCGCGCGTTTCGCGACCTTGGCAGGGTACCGGGTCGTGCAGTGGAGGAGGAGAGGATGCGGTTGAGTTCAATCGTTAATCGTGTGTGTCGTCGCCAGTTCCGATCAAATTGACTGTTGACAAGTATCGTGATTTTGGCGGGGGGTAGCAGGGGTTAATTGTATGTGTGCATCCCTCTTCTCGGCTATCGAGGTGCAGAGGCAATGGGATTCCGGTGGCTGGTATTCACAAGCTAATCATCCGGTGCATGTCCAGGAATTACGGAGTTCGGGGTACTGTATAAAAGGTACATTGGCTTCCGAGGTTGTTGTTGTTGGTTGGCCGGCCAGAGCTTTGACCACTATCCGTACCTACACGTGTAATTAGCCAATTCCCCTCTTTCGACTCCATCGAGAAATGACATAAGATCACGTGCTATTAAGTGGAGAAGCACGGACGGTAAGTGTACCTAATTACTTCTCGTACCTGCCAATTTCTTATCCATCCAGACATCCGTCATCCGTGCGACCCACTTTTCAATGACTCTTGTCTACAAATTGTCTTCTGATTTGCTTTGTTGAAGCGCAACCTCCTTCGATGGACTTTGCCCATTAATATTATCAAGAACTCGACGGCGCATGGGCCGTTCTCACTGCACGTCAAAAAAGAATATCGATTAGAGTCATTGCTGTGGGGATAGTTCTCATCGACGCATTGACACCACCCGCCCCTCACTCATCATCTTCCCATCAAGATGCCCCACGCCGTCTCAATACCCTCGCCAGGGCTTCAGGCCTTGGTGCTTTGCGGTCCTGGATCCTCTTTTCCAACTTTCACATCGAATCCAGATGAGAATCCGAAGGCTCTTCTTCCCATTGCGAACCGGCCCATGGTGTGGTACCCCTTAGACTTTTGCTACCGCACAGGCATCACGGGTGAGAGAGACATTGGAGTCGCAAGTTGCCAAGTTTGCCAAGTTTGAGACTCTAACCTCTCTACGCTCAGATATCACGCTCATTTGTCCAGCATCAGCGAGGAAAGCCATTGAGCAGGCAGTCAATACGAACCCGTATTTGACTTCTCTACCTCTTCCCAGACCTACCATCCTCGCGCCAGATGACCTCGACCAGAACACGGGAACCGCCGAGATCCTGCGGCTGCCGGTAGTTCGCGAGCTGGTCAAGTCCGATTTTATCGTCCTCCCCTGCGACTTGGTCTGTGAGATCCCCGGCGACAAACTGCTACAGACATGGATGGTCAACGCCGCGAGCTTGTCGACCATTCTTGGAGCAACAGCCTCCTCCTCCGGGGCCGAGCATCAAGCCAGCGGAGGCCTGGGGGTTTGGTATGAGACGAAGACGGCATTGGCCGTGAAGAAAGAGGAGACCGACTTCATCGCCACTACACCTCTCCCTACTTCGTCTGCGAATGCGCGGCCTAAAGACCCGCTGACGCCACATCTCTCCAACCTCGTCTATTCTACGCCCAAGGACTCTCTGAAAGACCTTACCGAGGAGAAGAGCGGCCTGCCCCTTAGGCATGGGCTCATAAGGAGACACCCGCGCATTCGTATGCTCACCACGTATCGGGATGCCCACCTGTACATCTTCCCGCGATGGATCCTAGATTTCGTTCAGCAAAACGAGCCGTTGGAGAATATCACCGAAGACGTCATCGGGTGGTGGGCCAAAGCGGGCTGGCAGGTCGGCCTGGCGGACAAACTGGGCCTGCGGGCGATCCTGGGTGAAGAGGAGAAAAAATGCGACGGCAGTTCGAGCCACGAGCGCACGCCGTCCCCGCAACCACAGCAGCCGGAACCACCTCTCCCGCCTCGCGTCCCGGGCGAGAGGCGGGCTTCGATAGCGGGCAGCACTAGAGATGCCGACGCCCAAGCCGAGGCCGACGACCTGGCCGTACCGCCGATTCTCGCCTACCTCCATCCCTCGGACGAGTCCGCCCCCTTGGTTCGTCGGGCGGACACGGCCCAGCTGCTGCTCAACGTGTCTCTTCGCCTGGCCAAGCTGCCGTCCGTGGAGGAAGGCGGCGCGGCGGCGTCGCCTTTTGCGCATAACAAGAAGGTCTCCTATCCCGAAGGCGTCAAGTCCCGGACCACGATTACCAAGCAGGATAGCCTCGTGGGCGACAACGTCACTGTGGAGGAGAAGGTGGCCATCAAGGAATCGGTCATTGGCGCCAATTGCCAGATCAGCGAAGGGGCCAAGATCTCCCAGTGTCTCCTCATGGACGGCGTTGTCGTGGGGAAGAACTGCAAGCTCACTAGGTGCATCTTGGGCAAGAGGTGCGTGATTGGCGACGGGTCTGTCTTGACCAACTGCGAGGTGCAGGAGAACTTGCTCGTCGAGCCGAGAAGTGAGTTATTTCACCATAAATTCCGTGCATTCTTTTCCCCCCTTTCCCCCTTTTGTTTATTAGATCAAAAAGCTTTTCGACCTATTGCTAACCATCTTGTACAGCCGAGGATAAGGATACCAAGCTCATGAGCTCCGAGGGGTTAGAAGCGACTGAGGAGGAGATGCAAGAGGTGTTACAGGACATGGATGACGAGGTCCAGGCCACCAATGAGCTCGCCATGCTGTAAATGAACAGCGAAAGGAGTAAAGCTGCTGCGTCGTTGCGTCAGGATTTGGAGCAGACGGGAGCATGTACCTGTCGTCTAAGATTGGGCATGAAATGGTGAAGTAGACAAAACACATGGTGAGGGACGTTTGAGGATGGTACATGCCGTGCTGGGCATTACTAGATGTGTTCGGGCTCAGCGAGACGAAGTTTTATCCGGAACGGATCTTTTCCTGCTACTCCCCCTTGCTATGGCAACAGCCCGCAACTCAGCCTCGGGAGGAGCTGCGAGCTACCTAAATAGCACAAAGAAAAGGGGATTTCCATGAGACATGAAACACACTCACCCACTCACTCACTGCCGGTCATACGCACAAAGAAGGCTGCGGAGTTTGGTGGTACGAGTCTGGGCGTCTCTCGAAGGAGTCGCCGCTCGCTCCCACACCGGGGTCAGCCATATGTGGACACTTTTCACTATATGAAGAACGAAAATGGGACCTGCGCTGCTGGGGCAGTTCGCCTGTTTCGACTTATCCTCGCCATGCAGAGCTTCATGTTGACCTGTTTTTATTCTTCTTCCTTTCCCTCTTCCTTTTGTCCCCTCTTTGCCTCTCGCCGTTTGCGCTCTCTAATCCGTCCACCTTGAGATACGATCTACATGGACTGGCACAGTGAGTTAATTTGGTGAACGGGTCTTGGGCCCAGTGATCCATAAACGGCCGTCGAGGGTTTCAAAATGACGGCGATCGAAGGGTCGAAGGGTGGATGTAAGTGATCCTCCGCAGCGTCCAATATTCCTCGGTTGCCATGGTCGCCCTACCCTGGCTACCCTAATGTAGCAATAGTAATAATATTTTCATACTCGACTTATGAGGGAGAGTGTCCTCACCTGCCCGACGTGGAGGAAGAGATTAAAGAGAAGCTCCCTCACTGCGATTACAGGTGGGAGAGGAAAAGAGAGACATAGTCCGGGGTAGAGATGCTATGATGTATCCGTACCTCGTATAATGATACACAGCCGTCCAAAAGGGGATGTGCTGGCTAGAGGACCGGGCACGCCGATAAAACATAACGCAGGGCGACTGTCTAGCGGGTTTCTTCGTTCCTCGGTGGGTGGCCCCGAGTCCCTGACTTTTGCACGTTGACTTTGCATGGGCACCGCAGCGCAAGTAGCATGATGTTAGAGGGCTGGCCTATGGATAGTATACATAGAACTTGCGGAAGGGCTTGAGCCATCCGTTGCCACTGAGCAATGGCGCCTCCAGAAGATATGCATCCATTGCAGAGGTTACGAGGACAGAAGACAGAGGGCAGACGACAGCAGCCAGAAGCCAGAGGTTGGCGCAGTATTGTTCGATGTACCCAGAGGCTCAAGCAAGACATTCCCATAAGGTACATGTACATGTACCTTAGGTAAGGTAAGGTAAGGTAGTGTAAGGTAGTCTCGGTATGTGATGTGACATCTGTGGCACGTTAGCTTTCTCTTCTAGTCCTGTATATCCATATGCTGTATACTTACATGATACCTCGACACGTTGTCAGAAGTTAGAACTCAGGTTCTAGCATCGTGGCGTTGAGGTTGTCGTGGTGTCGGGCTCGCCCTTGGCCGCTAAACCCAAAAAGGCGATGAATGGCCCCACGTTGGGCCCCCCGTTTCCTATTGTCCGCGCACCCGGGAAGGACCCGGCAGGGGTGACACTGACCTGGTGTCTCCTGGTCTGTGCTTTGAAGCTACATACAACGTACTACCTTATCTTAGCCTAGCCGCTGACCTAATCATGCGTTTATGTCTTAACCGACGTGCGTGCCTTGACTCGGGCGAAAAAATGCCCGATGGTCGTTCTGGATCCCAGAAGTCCAAATCACTCATTCTCTCTATCGTCCTCGATACTGTGCTGCTGTGCTGCTGTGCTGCTGTGCTGCCGCCTTCTTTTTCCAACGAGATACAGGCGCAGTAATATCTTATGGACTAACGTCCTGTCATTTTGCCCGTGCAGCCCACACGTGCTAGCCTCTGCTGGTCCTTGACATGGCGGCGCCGTGCCTTTTTTTTCTCTTCTTTTTCTTTCTTCTTTTCTTCTGTCTACTGAGTAGATGTTAGGACTAGACCGCGACGTTGATCGACGTTATGGGTAATGGCTAGAGGGGTTTGGACCGTTTGGTTTGTCCATCTTCCTCTTTTTCTCTCCTTTCCTACTTCCTGCTTGACTGCTTCTCTTTCCCAGCTGCTCAACTCAACCCAGGACTAATGATCTTTTGCACTATCATTATACCATTCCCTTTCACCGTCCTAGAATGCATAATGCAGCTTTAGTATGGGACTACGGGCGGCTGATCTTGACGTCCGATCGATAGGGAGCCCATGTTAGCCCATGTCTTGCATCACTCGCACTCCATGGCCTTGGGCCAATGTACGGTACCAATGGCTACTAGCTGCCAGCTGCTAAACTAGAGGTCACTCCTTTCTGCCGGCCCTTTGGTTGTCTAAAACACCATGGCGAGATTCTCGGTCTTTAACCTGCGTATTCATTCCTCGGAAAACCATCATTCCCACTTCCTGATTTTAATTTTTTTTTAATCTTTTTTCTTTCCAGCCCATCTCTGCCTGCCTCCCTCTAGGAGACAACTACTCGGCTCGGCTAGGGTGATCGAGGACAGGATGCCGGTTTCCCCCGTCCCTCTGGCCATTGTCTCCTCCCCCATATCCCCAGTTCCCACCATCCATCCTACTGTGTTTTCCCATTTAGGTAGAGCTTGTGAATCAACATGCTGTTCCTGCAGGTATCTTGTTCTTCTTGGCGTGGCATTGCCGTCCAAAATACCTTGTATCGATCACCCTCCCCCACTCCCAACAATGCGCACACCCCCCCTCCCCCCGGGGCTCGATGGGGCTTCCTCTCACCCCCCCAACACCATCTTATTCTTGACTGGCAGCCACAGAGATACCCCTGTTTCCTGTCATGCTCTGACCCGGCCGAGAGGACCCATGCCCTACTCCCATCACTGCCTGTGGTCTGGTCTGCAGCTTGAAGCCCATCCCGGCCAAGGTTCAGTATATGGGAGGGGGCAGTGGACGGGGGCCCCGCGACACGACATGCCAGTTTGTAAGGGTCTGTTGCTGTTCTTGTTCTCCGTGGGGCGAGTTGCGTGTTTCCATAACAGGAACTGCTCAAAATACACCCACAATACACACCTAGAATGCACCCAAAATACACTCAGCCCTTTATCCATCGCAAACTCGACTGGGCCCATGGACCTGTTCCCCGCTCGACGGCTCGGACCTAGTGAGTACACCTTACTCTCTACTACAGTACTACTCACTACTCTCCCCATCGACTGAAAACATATATGGGCTGGGGGTGCGCGATGTGTTGATCAGCGGCAGCCCCGTCAAATTATTGCTTTCTCAGGGACCAAGAAACAAGCGCCGCCCTTCCGCTTCACTCACCCCACTACATGTTGCGGATCAACCGACGTCCTCGACTCAGTCATATTTGATTACTGCCTCCCTCCCTTCTCACCTTTTCGTCTCCACTCTCCTACTCCTACGGCTACCCTGTGCTGCCGGCCCGCCGCCGCCTGCTCCCCTTCGATAGGATCGACAGGAAAGGAGAAAGCTTTCGGCCATTTTTGGTGACTTGGTACTGGGGTGGACCACACCTGGACTCTCGAGTCTTGGAGCATCGCAGCATCGCAGACCTGCGGCTTGGTTGCATTCCACATAGCGGCTCTCGTGTCTCTCCTTCGGCTCTACTACTGCCATTATTACCCCATTCTGTGAAGATAGTCCCGTCTCTCAGCTGTCTAGGACGTTATCTTCGCCTCACAACCCGGTTGGACTCTCCATCTGCATCCTCGTCTCCATTCAGCAGCAGTAATACTTTATCTTCGTGTCTCCCGGCCGTCTTAGGAACGTGTCCTATCACCCCCATCATTCTTCGGTTTGGCCACGCTTCGCCCTCCTACTTCACCTCTTCCCCTCCTTTTTTTGTCACTCTCTCGAGTTTTGTTCTTTCGTCTCTCCCTTTCTTTTCTATAGTTTTTCTTCTTCTTCTTCTTCTTCTTCTTCTTCTTCTGCTGTTTGGCTTAACTTCTCTCAACACGCTCTCTTGTTCCCCGGTCAGCCTGCCCTGCCAATATTCTTCTCCTTTATTCACACAATCCTCCCAACACCATGGACGGTATGGATGCGTGCTTTGCCAGAGACGGGAGCTTCGACTTCAGTACCCCCTTTCTAAGCAGTTCTGCCTCGTCCCCGTCGTACGACTCGGCAGATCCTTTCACTCCTCGGTCCGGTCGTTCAACTCCTCCCGGGTCCTCCATCGACATGGGTGACTCGTTTTCATCCAACGGCTCCTACTCTCCACACGGGTCTTTCTCGTTTGAGCCCACGCCCCCCATGGCCATGCCCATTCCCAAGGGCCACTACAAGCACGGTCATATTGGTATGGCCTCTTTTCACTACCCGGGCTCGATGCCCCTGACTCCCACCCGTCAGCAACAGGGACACGGGTTTCCCGGGATGGAACTCGACTACAACACCATGCTGCAGTTCACGCTCGAACAGCAGTCCATGTCCAACATGTCGCCCTCACAACCCACCATGATGGGCCACTACCCGACGCAGCACGACCTCCAGTCCTCTCCTTTCGCCATGCCCACCCCTAGCCGGTCTCTCTCCAACGCGACGCCGAACCACACCTCGGCCATGTGGCCCTGCAACAGCGAGAGCCCCATTGTCCTGTTCGGCTCGCACCATACTCCTTCCCCATCACCCACCCAGATGACACCCACCAGGCGTGGCGGCGGCGGCGGAGACGAGTCACCAACCCTGTCACCCTCCAGCCGGTCCTACCGCCGCCGCGGACCGATGGCCGAGGCGCAGCGGACGGCGATGGCGCTCCAGCGCTACGTCAACGAGAAGATGCGGCGCGAACAGCGCGACAAGGAGTTGTTGTCCAAGTACAAGGCCACCAAGCTCGAGCAACACCACGATGCCCGCGCCGCCAAATCGAAGCAGCAGGAGCTCGGCCAGGTGTTGACGGATGGGAACGTCCTGGTCCCGAGTCCCCGGGAACGGTGCGACTTTGCGGGATGCCGCAAGACGTATCAGAAGAAGGAGCACTTGAAGAGGCACCAGAGAGCGTAAAGCACCCCTTCTTCCCCCTTCTACAGACTACACCCAATGGTGTCTATTTTTCTTTTGCTACATGTGGGATATGAAGACTAACCAGACTTGCCTACAGAGCCCACAGCATCGGCGGGACGCCCGAGATGTACGCCTGCCCGGCCGAGGGCTGCGGCAAGGTGTTCAAAGACCGGTTCGACAACTTCAAGCAGCATCTCCGCATCCACAAGGACGGCAAGAGCACCAGGACGCCCTACAGCGAGGAGGCGGCGCGGCTGTACGACGAGCTGCGGAAACAGAGCAGGCTGCGCAAGCGGGCGCACCGGAACGCGGCGGGAGAGGAGTGCTTCTGCTCGACTTGTTCCCTCGCTTGAGCGTCAGCCGCGGACTCCTGATCTACGATTGGGTCTCGTTTAATGTGTATTTGCTTTACCAACCCGCCTTTTCGATCAGGGCAACGCACCTCCCCTTTTCTGCTTATATGCAGACATTCTACCTTTTTCAATTCTCTTGTCAATTTCCTTGCGTTTTCTTCTTCTTCTTGCCTACGGGCGATTCACTTCTATATTGCTTCATACCATGTACTAATTTCTTGTGTGCTTGGGCGGCAAAACCTGATTTTGATCTTTATTCGTATTATTCTTGTTTTTCATTTCTGTACTGCTCTTTCCCAGCAGTACATAGTCATATCAGGGTCGGCAACACAGAGCAACGTTCATGTTCTTTTTTTCGCACCGGGATTATTCGGAGGAGATACCAAAACACACGGATGGACCCCATACAATAGGCAGAGGGAAAGGAGAGGGAACCTGAATCATACAATCTCGGGGGAAAGGGGGAACCAGGGGAATGGGGGTTGGGCGGGAGGACTTTGGAAGAGGTATTGGAATGTGTCTTGTCTTCTCTGCGTCTTGTGCGGGCTGGGTAGATAGATTCAACAACACGTGTTCCGTAGATGAGGTCTCCAGTACTCGAGCTCGTGGTTATTTACCGACAGATAGAAACATGCATGTGCGGACCGAAGAGGCAACTCCCTGGTCCGTTTCCCCAGAAAAACAACAAAATAAAAAGAAAACCCGGTGAGAATGCCTTGAATCTATTTCATGGGCCGGTACCCTACCAGAGTGAGGGAGGACTATGAGGTGCATCGGCGGGGGCTGTCAAAACAGGATCAATGTTGTCTTGGATCGGGGGATATATCATATGTTCCATGTCGACAATACGGCAGTGTAAGAGTAATGCCGAGACACACGTTTCACCGAGGTCAGACCAGTGATCGATTTGTATTGGCTATGATGGTGTAGGTATCATTCCCTCGGGATTTTGGTCATTGCTTTTTTTTGTTCTCGTTTCTTATTCCTGTCTTTCCAGCCCCGCCAAGAAAAGAAAGAAAAAAAAAAGAAGAAAAAAAAAGAGAAAAGAGACATCTAACATCGTATTCGGCGTTGTCGTGTTCCGATGTTGTTCTGTTAACGTATAGTTGTTTTGGTTTGTTTATATGTTTATCATCAGCATTAGCCGTAAAGCACATAGCGAGGGGACGAGGGGCAACGGGGGTAGCTCTACGTCCGATCCCGGTATAGTGCAAGTATCGGCCGATGCAATGCATGAGAAGTACGTAAAAAAGGCATGTCACCGAGCTATCGTATTGCTAGTGTTCAAGGTAGGCAGAGGAACCAGGTTTCCAAAAGTTCCGCAGGATCTGCGTGTGATCACTGTGATGGCTGCAGGCAGTACGACATTGCACCTGTCAAGTTCAAAGACTCGAGTCTGCGGACTAGTCATTTGTCTTGTCATCGGCATGCCGCATACCAGGACGCGCGACAGGGCCACGAGGATCATCTTCTCTCTTTTCATGCTCTTAGGTAGAACAAAAGGGTGGTGGCCCGTGGGATCGGCGGGAGATACGGTAGTTGGATGGCATGCGTCGAGCCTCGAGGTATGTCGGTATCGAGACTGTCGTGGTGGGTTCCTTTCAGAGCGATTGCTGCTTTCGGAATAGCATCAAGCCACAGGTTTGTAGAATGAAAGAAGCACGGGTGACAGAGTTCGGTGAAGGTGTGCTAAATGTGCCAAATGCAAAAGTGACTGGACGGTCAACCGTCAATGTGACCTTCTAGAAGCATGATGGAAGGTTCATGATTGTCATCTCGGGTTCGCCGCTGCAGAGTGATGGTGTGATGAGCAGGTCAGTACCCAGTTCATAATCCCCTGGTAATCCTTTGAATTTGGAAGAGTTGGCGATCTTTGGGGGCGCCTGGGAAGTGGTTGAGGTTCGTTTGCTTTGGTGGTTACACGAGACGGGGAGGGAGGTGACAGGGGGTTACACGATGGTTGGTGAGCGTTTATACACCAGTACAGGGAGTAGCGTTTGATTGGCTCGTCACGGGAAAGACTCGGCCGGGTCAAGAATAACTCCGAACCCCTCCCCCAGATCACGAGCTCCCGAGCTCACAACAAGTAGCGAGGTACCTCTGCGGAGTACTTCGTCCTTCGTCCTTCGTACTCCGAACCCATGTCCGTCTTCAACCACTGCGCCTCGTCGTCCGTGTCACCGTGATCATTCAATCACAGCCTCACCACCCAAACTTGGCATCACCAACACCCAATCAGTGCAGCCTTCTCCAATGGGCGCCCGCAAACCTGGATACCAGTACCAATGATGAGCCTTCTGGGTGGTGACACTAATTACATCTTGGTGTGTGTGTGGCCCCAACTCCGAACAGCAGGGCTCTCCCAGTTTCTCGAAGCGCGCCAAATGCTTCCATCTTTATTCTATTCATTGTTCTCTGCAGGTTATGCTCGAGGCTTTCCTATTGTCGACCGCTTTCGTCTAGCCTTGGGTTTGCGGCCCCCAGTCTTGTCAGACCATTCGCCATCTTCATTCGCCCACTCGTCCAGGGCATCTCATCCATCATCATCTCACATGCACCCAATTTGTCTATGAGATGAGACGCTAGAACCCTTCTCCCGCGCTTCCATGCACCTTCGTCGCCGTCCGTCACCTCTTCCGCCTCTCGAAGAAGCAAGAGAATCGGTCGTGTTTGCTCTCTGCTACTCATACTGCAGTCTGCAACCCCTCCCAGCCTTCTCACGACTACCGGGGATGGTGTACGTTGTACTACCCTACGGATAAAGACGAGAGACTAGGGATCCCACCAACATCGACTCTCGCTAGCAACACCCCTTCGATCTGTGGCTGCTTTACCCCCACCTCGGGACCAGGTGGTACAGCAATCCTTTCATCTAGCTGCCGACTGTATCTACGTCGTCATCTATAACCGGATGAAGACAACCATTGCTGACCAGGGTCGACGGCTGAATTATCCCACTCCACTCCTCTTCCGGCGGTCAAGGGGCCTTGTCTATCTGTCCAACGAAGAACGCGAATAGACCGCCGCCGAAATGGCTCAGCAGCCTCAGCTACCGTCGTACGAAGAAGCCATCAGTCGACTCGACTGGGTCGGGTTGGTGGCTCCCTACACTTCAGTATCTGATTATAGCCGCCTTTGTTCTGTCAACCGGCACTTTCACACCGTCTTTGCCCCGCTCCTGTGGCATGATCCGCTCAACACGGTGCGTCTGCTGGGTTTGCGTCCCAGTAATGGTGAGAATTCTCTCTCCCCTCAGCCGCCTTTTGTTCCTTTTCTCGTCGGCAGGCACTAGCTTCTCGATGGCCGCTAACGGGATGCGCCGCCACGTCCTCTGGCGGTAAGTAGATCTCGACTGGTATTGTCACTTCGTCTTGCATCATGTGTTCCGCGTCAGGCCGGTTACCTTGGCCCTGGTTACGGTACTAGACTTTCGCAACTTCGCCAAGGCCACCGCCCACTTCTGGTCCGATAACGATTCAAGGTCGATCCCCGTAACCTTCAAGATTCTGCCCAGGCTCTTCCCCGCGCTTCGATGCATCCTTCTGGATGGCCACACCGACGCAGACCCTGCGGCTTTGGCTGTGGGGGGTCCAACTCCGGCGCCGTGGGCGGGCCGCCCGTGGATGCTGAGCATCCCCGACTGTGCTTCCCAGTTGCCGGCGACCTTCTTCCTGTCCGACTACGTCCAGGACCTAGTCTACCTTGACATCTCGGGACTGCCGGGCTCCTTGCAGTCCCTCGTCTCAGCGGCCGAGGGCGCACGTCACCTTCCACGTCTGAAGGTACTGAAGATCCAGGGACGTGAGCTCGGCGACAACCTTGCAGCACGGCTCTTCGAGGCATTCGATGCACGGCTATGGAGTTTAGACCTCTCCCATAATAACCTTACCGACGACGTTATCGAGCCTCTCTCGTGGCACTGCTTACAGTCTCCGCCCTTGCGGTCTGGCCGCCATTTCCGGACCGAGGGTAAACTTGTGTCTCACCCGGTTATCTATGGAGACAGTCTCTACGGTCCGTTCAAACTCATCGAAGAGTCGGAGCGGAGCGGTGCTTTCGATCACCCGGAGCGTTATTTCGCCGATGCCCCTCTTTATCACGCCGATCCAGCTCGGGCTGTATATCAGGACCAGGAAGATGTCCGCGCTGATGGCCGGGGCCCACCGAAGTATGACTCGGCGGACTATGTCAAGTCCGCCATCATCGCCGGCGTGCTGTCAACGACACCGGCCCTGTCCGACCTACCGCCCAGTAACGTCTCGTCTAGTGCATGGGGCATTACCCACCTGGACCTCACCGGGAACCGGTTCACTTCTTTTGGCCTGGAGAAGCTGATCCGCACCACGCCTGGCCAACTCGAGTATCTAGCTTGCGATGCGCCCCTCGTGCATGCCCCGGGTTTCACCTGGCCATCCTCCTGGCCCGAGGGCACAAGGCTACACGGCATCCCGGGCTCCGCTCACGCATTCCGTCCAGTGTTTTCTCCCAACCTCCGGGCTCTGCGTATACATCATTCTTTGGTCACGCAGATTCCCACGTTGGAAGCCGAAGGGCTGTCGACCATGGCACGGTGGTGGATGGCAGAAACTGCCGTCCGCGAGCGCGTGGAGATGGCTTACCCGCAAGCCTTCCAGCCAGACATGAGCCCTCGCCTCGCGTCGTTGACTCTCACCAGAATACCTCGGCGTTCAGCCGGTCCATTGCTTGGAAAATTGACCCAGTTCCTGAAACTAGTGGCCGCCCAAGAGCAGGGTATCTGCGAGGCGACGCCAGACTCCTCTTCGCGTCGCAGCCCGACCATGCTTCGCGGCCTCCGCCATATCCGTCTGGAATTCGAGGTGGACCCCGTAGAGGACGCCGCAGGGTTCTTGGACGTCGACGCCCTAGATGCCGAGGCGCTCCTAAGCATGGGCGAAGGTGAAGGTTTCAGTTTTTTCGGGGATGAGTTTGTCCGGCCGAAGCCCAAGTTGCCGCCTCGACGCGTCCACGATGCCACCGCCACCCCGACCACTATCCACATGGCTCGCCTGCAGCATGCCCCTTTCACCACTGCAGCAGGCGAACACGTCCAGCACGTCATGTCCTGGAACGGCAAGACCTTCGAGGCGCCGGTATGGATCGGCCCGGGGGTTCTGGGCCCTCGCCCGGCCGTCAATGCTTACATGATGGCGTTGCGCGACCCAGCCTTGCGACAGGGTATCGTCGGGCCCGCCATGCCCACGCACGTCCAGGCCGGCGTGCCCCCGGACGCACTCCTGTTTTATGGCGCCTGGGACGCCACGATAATACCAGACGCGCCGCCTAGCCCGAGTAGGGCCGAAATCCACGGAATGCGGGACGTGATCGACGGGCTCAAGGCGTTTCGCGCCGACACGAAAGCCAGATACGAAGAGGCGCCGAACGACAAAAGGTCCAGTGGCCTTGGCGTGAATGCCATGGAGCCCCATCACTTTTGGACGGGGAAATTAGAGGTTGCGATCTAATAGGGCATGGGCGCACTTTCGATCGGGGAGGTATGGGGGCATTTCAATGGCCATCGGCTCAACTGTCTCTAAGATCGAGAGCTCCCCTGCTTCCCAGCGCAGGGGGCTATTGAGAAAGTGATTCTGGCCTGCCCATCAAGCACTGAAACATGTTTTGGGCTCTGCACGTGCGACTGTCGCCACGAACATGTGGTTCTCTCGTGTCAACGCAAGACAACTCTGACAAAAGCACTGCACTGCAGGGAAAACACCAAGGAGCTGTGTTCTCGGCTCATGCATTAGCATATCTGATGAAAACTCGCATGATGTCGTCAAGACGTCAGTATGGCGTCTGCCATGCTCAACTGAAGCTTGGCAGAGTATCCATACTCCGTATAAGCCGTGGCGCGCACCCAGACTTGTCTTTTTTTCCTTTCTTTTTTCCCTTTTTTTTCCTTTCTTTTTACTTTTTTCCCCCTTTTTCCCCCTTTTTTGTTTTCCTCCCACAAGGCTAAGCGACGTTCTGGACTGCATGTCGGATCCTCTTCAGCCGCAGCCTCTTGGCAAAGTCCCTCACACCCTGGAGGGGTGAGACGATGTAGTGTCACGACTGGATGTCTTGCAAAGGGGGGAAAGCTCGTCTATCCCCTGGATGCGTTGAGGGCGCGGGCACAAAAACGGCCTCAGGTAGCCGCGTCTTGCAATGTCAGCACCTGTGAGGCGCATATAAGCCGCAGTGGTATCAAATACTTGCCCGGACAATAAACTCCGGGAGACCGCTGTGGGAAAAAGCAACGAAAACTCACTTGCATGTGGGGTGATCTATGATCGCTTAGTGTCAACGATGTCAGAAGTGTCCGATTATATGTACGAATACAATGTGGACGCCCCCTGGGCTTGGCGTCGTTAGGTGAGTCCGCACGAGACGCGAGTTGGTGGAGTTGCTGGTAGAGAGGCAAATCCACTCAGTCATTCACTAGACGAAGTGACTTTTGGTTTTGGATCTTGGGACCGTTGATAGAGGCTACAAGTCCGACTTGAGCCCACGAAGTGCCAAGTACGTTAGTGAGTATTTGGCCTGCCACTTGAGCACTCATGAATGATGAGACAGGGTGAGACCATGGGTTTGTGTTGATCTCTTTACAACTGAGAGGCTCTCACACATCGAACTCGAAAGCCTGTCCCACCCTCTGGCTTTCCTGAGAGTCGGATTTCTACTTTGCCTAGATTCGTTCATGCAGGGTTGAGAGTTGGGACCAGATAAGTGAGGGTATGTATGGACTAGGGAAGGGGAAGGGAGTAAGGCCAGAATATGAAGTGACACTGAAGGTCATACACTCGGATGATGGATCATCAACGAACTTCAAAGGGAGAGAAGTGCGAGATCAAACAGTCGTCCTCTGAGGCCAGACCCGGGGTTGTGTAGGAAAGGGGCATTGTATTCTCAGACTTCCCCACGCTCGATATTCCTTAGCCTGTCAGGGAAAGACGCTGTTACTTGATTCTGCCCGGCTTCCCATTGTGTGTTGCTGTGGTTGGCGATGTCAATTCTGTTGACTCCATAACTTGCTCAACTTGACTTGTCGTTTTGGTCTTATAGTCAGTCTGTTTGACACATAATTAAGGCGGTTACTGCTACAATAGTAAAACAATGAGTCTGTCAAACTCACACAAAACTAGTCTGTGGACGTGGGGTTCGGACGAGTCCTGAGTCCATGTCAAAGTATTCCCTTGTAATACGTTCGTACGTTACAAAGAGGAGAGTCAACAAACAAGCCTTTGGTGGCCAGTGCTATAAAATTGGGCCAACATTACAGTTTAGCATGGAACTCTGGTGTATCCAGTTCTTCTTTGATTTTGATTGCGTATGATGTATCGCGTCTCATCAACGACGCGACAACATAAGACAGTGATGCAGCCTCACAACGAAAAGCTCCGTTATCTGCTCAGCCTTTCCCTCCTTGGAAGGTCTTGCATGATATATTAGTCGCACCTCTATTAAACAAGTTGTTGATTGCCTCTCTTCACTATGTCCACCATCTGGATAACCTACCGACACATTGCCTTCAACTGGCATGCGCGCGTATGCCTATGTAAGACCGGCGTCAAGGCCTCAAACGCGTCTTAATGGAAACGTAGCTTGAAGCCCAGAAATAGCGACGCGCAGCGCTATAATCCAAACATACAAACTTACGCCGACTCCTGAGAGGAGGCCGTCCCTGTTATCCTTGTGATGTTGAAACCAGCTGCAGTTAGGAGTTGCCAAACATTCTCACGACCAACATCACCAGAAACATCTTGAAGGTTACAAGAGCGTCCCTGGAGCAATGAAAAGTGGACGAATGACAGCTAAGAAAGTAGAATATCGGTGAGTTTACCGTTACCTCACAGCCCGACCCTGAGCTGACCCAGGTCGGGCCGATGCCAATTGAAACAGCGTATTCGTCTCAACTTCCTTTAACAACTTAACTGCTGCCTGGCTTCAAGAATACAGCAGTATAGTGCTCACTGTCTATATTATGAAAATGGTTTCATGTTTTGTTCTGATATATGAACTTCTGTACCATGTGTTGATATGAGAGGGTTCTGAGTTCTGACTACCACTTATGCTAGTATAACTATACCCTACGTATTTGTGTCTCAGATCAGTGTTACTAGGCTCATAAGTTGATACTGCGTTTCTCTCTAGCTTTCCCCTTATTGTCATGTTATATTTCCAACAGGAACATGTTGAGCCTGTTATCTTAGGTTTATCAATTGCCTAGGAGGGGGGGAGATTGTGAAGGGCTCCAACGTTCGGTTACAATTCTCCGGAGTTCGGAGCACCATGACCTGCCTAATATGATAAACGGGCATGGGATTAATAATTGCCAACTCCCAATCCTTCGACTCGTGGTCGATCTATCAGCTTGTGTTACCTCAACATTCTACAAAAACAACTTTAAAGAGAAGAGTAAACCTGAAGAAATACTATCTTATTCATTTGTACTGCTTCGCACGTCCTTTTCTATACGCCAGTGAAAGGGACAGCAGCAGAGCAACGGTCCCCCGACTTAGACCCCTGGAGCCCCTCCCCCGCCGTCCTTAATTCCGGCACTGTCCCGCTTCTAGCGTCTGCGCCAACGTCCTGTTATCGGCAGACTTCATGCGATATATAACACTGTCATGCCGAGCGATGTCATGGGACGCTTGACGCTCACATCCCATCTTCAACTCTCGTTCGAACTAGATTCTTCATCGAAAGAACACATTGACCATGGTTGCTCAAATCCGTGAGCATATCTTGATCACGGTCCCCGTGGAGGTGTCCGAAGAACGCCTAGCTCGGCTAAAGGAGAAGTTCCCCAACGTGGAGATCACCGTCGCCCCGACCCCATCACCAAGGTCTTCAGAATGGAAAACATTCAAGCAACCCGCTAAAAGTAAGGGTCTCATTTCTCCTTCCTTTTTATCATGCAGTCTTCATTGCCGAGCGAAATAAATTAATGGAACCGTGAGGGAACCCCCAGAGGACTACGCCGGCAAGACGATCCTCGTCACCCTCAACGTCCTGCCCCAGACGATGGAAGACGCTCCGGACCTGTCCTACATCCACTTCTGCTCCTCCGGCACAGACCACATCGTCCAGCACCCCGTGTATACGCAGTCTTCGGTTCTGATGACCACGTCCCGCGGAATCGCGGGGCCTCCCATCGCCGAATGGGTGGTCATGACCGCCCTCGTGCACTGCCACAAGTACAATTACAGCCGCGAACTGCACCTGAAGCGGCAGTGGAGCTCGGGCGCCGACTTTATGAGCTGTCGCGACGTCGTCGGCCAACGGATCGGCATTGTGGGATACGGCGGGATTGGCCGTCACGGTGTGTTCTCCTTTCCCCTGCTGTCTCCTTTTTCACTTTCACCGTTGTTCTGACTTGAGATTTGTCAATGAGTGTAGTGGCACGTATCGCCAAGGCGATGGCTATGGACGTGTACGCCTTCACGGCCACGCCCAGGGAGACGCCGGAGCAGAGACGGGATACGGGCTATACCGTTCCCAACACGGGGGACCCGGATGGTTCCATCCCGACGAGATGGTTCAGTGGGCTCGATAAGCCCTCTTTCCACGAGTTCCTCCGACAAGATTTGGACATTGTCGTCTTGTGCCTACCGCTGACGTACCTCTCCCCTTAACCCCTATCCCCCCCTCCCCCTGCCCCTCCCCCTCCCCCCCTTTCCTCCTTTTCAAGCTTGAACAGAGATCCATCGAGGACACTCGCAGGACTGAGGCATCTGCTCACAGGCCGCAAACTCGCCATATCCTCTCCACGGCCGAATTTGAGATTCTCAGCCGCCGCCAGTCGTTCGTGAGCAACATCTCACGCGGCGAGACTATTGATCAGACGGCCCTCATTGCCGCCCTGGAAACCGGTCAGCTGCGCGGGGCCGCGTTGGACGTGACGGACCCGGAACCCCTGCCTGCAGACAGCCCGCTCTGGACGGCGCCCAACATCATCATCTCGCCTCATATGAGCGGGTTGATCGCGAACTACGGCGACCGAACCATTGATGTGCTGGAACTCAACTTGGAGAGGAAGAGCCGGGGCGAGCCCATGGTGAACGTGATCCAGCGGGGGAAGGGATACTGATGTGACCGACGGGAGGGCCACGGCCCACGGTGCCACCCAGCCAGGGAGGTGATACAAAGTAGGACCGTTACCGTTTGATCGTGACAGACGCCAGTTCTGGACACGTAGTCGGGGAAAATGAAGCTCAGATAGACGGCCAGAACGGAACGGGAATCATAGGATAATAGAACGGCGGCGATCCAGCGAACTCTGAGAGTGGTGAATGCGCCATTGATGCTTGCTCCCAAGGGGAGAGACCAGTGGCGAGAACTTGGGGAAAGGGGATGCACAGCCACAATCGATGTGACACTTGTGGAAGAAAGCAGCGGGGCGACAGGATGTACCCTCATGTACCCCCATGTACGAGGTACGAAAACATTACCTACCTTACCTTACCTTACCTAAGGTACCTAGAGGTAGGTATTCGGTCTTCGTGCGCCCTTGGGAAGGTACAATAGCACTCAACGCCCATCAACACAAACAAACCAACGCGTCTTCTGAGAAGTTAGCCCAATGTCAATGTATTCTTTCTTGAGTCGCCCGATTCGAATACGATCGGAACATTCGGGACATTCAAAAACACCGCCGTGACCGACCGGGACAGGGGAAGACTAAAAAGAAGCGTAGATAAGACCAGTCCACGGCGAGTGTTGACTGCTGGCGCCGCCGATGGACAAGAGCCTGCGACATCTGAAAGTACACGTATCGTGAGAGAATCGCCAATCCGTATCTGAAACGTGCTCAGCGGGTGCTATTGTTGACTTATGGTCTTGGTCAACGTCATTTCCTGCCCAGAGTGGTGGCGCATGGGACGGAGGGAGGGAGCCCATCAATGATTGTTTAGGTAGGTACCCGATTCCATCTTTGACCTTATGTACCTCTCTGGTAGGTACCTTATTCGGACGGAGTTTGAGGTAATTTACCTGCTTACTCCGTATCTTATTAGGTACAATTCTTTCTTTACCGTTCAAGGGCACGAGGACGCGGAGAATCGGAATCAATGGACAGACCGATTCGATTCCCTCAGACAGAGTTCATCCAAGGCCTTGGGTCCTTGACACAATATGAGCCGAGCCACGAACTGTACGCCATCGTGGACGATTGTCCGGCACACCATACGAAGTTGTTCTTTTCGCATTCAGTTCGGATCTCGGAGTTTGATGGTGGTGCGGGAATGTTGGTGGTGGGTAGCAGTGGCTGTGGCAGTGCTCGCTCCCGGGTGGTTGATAAACCTACGAAGTACCCGTGCACTTGGTAATTTATCTGTACTTACTTCGTACTTCGTACAAGAAAAGGCGAAACCCCGAGACTTGGGAGATGAAGGAACAGGAATGGGATTGTTGTTGTTGGGTTGTCCCCCCTATTCCTTTAGGGGTAACTGTACGGGAGGTGGTTTAATGACGTTTGCATCCCCCAGGACTATGACCGAGACGAAGAAACATATGCCTTTGTGCCTTTATGCCTTTGTTCGGCGGTGATACTCGGAGTTCCATTAACCGTTTTACGTGTAGCGTGATGGGTCGTCGGATTGGAGAGAGAACTGATGATGCTGAACCAGGAAAGCTCCTCCTACCACGTATGGGAGCATCCCTTGGTGCAAGGAGCCTGAGACGGACCGGGGCTTTCACGCTGGATTACGGAGGATTTCTGTAATTACTTCATACTGCTATATGTACAGCAATACGGAGGACGGAGTACAGAGCAGCTACCAGTGTATGGTGCTCCGTATTCGCCCAGAGGATCGGGAGCGAAGGCAAAGGCAAGACACATACCGTAGCTGAATACTTTTCAGTACACTCTAGCTATTGCCATATCCATGTACATGCTTAACAAAGTCCACTTAGAGGACAGAGAAACTGCTATTGAGTACGTACCAGGCACGGGAAGAGCCAACGTTTGGCCCAATGGTTGGCTCATGATGGTCACTTCGGCGGGGCATGTCTAAGTCTTGGTTCAACCCAAGTTGGGCGACTCGCTGCTTGGGGCTTACGCGTCCCCCTTCTCCCCTTTTCTGGCTCTGTCGTTCAACGGCCCTCGTTTTACACGTGTATAAAGTGATGACATACTTTGAATTGTACTGCTATTGCCCAATTGTGTGTACCGCTGTATGTACTCAGTACTGAATACTTCATCTGGTACGAAGTAGGTACATACACTCAAAAAGCAGGAGCGAGCTACGGATACTGGTAATTATTAGCGCCTAAACCCAGTGGCGCTTTCCCGGGCTGGTTGGTCTGACAGGCAGCAGTGATATTCAAGAACGAGGCCCAAGCCCGGTCCCAACTTGTGTCCCTTCTTCACCTGCTCACTCTCCTCATTACCGCCTCCAGTGCTTCTTATCCAGGTACCTTATCTGGGAGAGAATACTTCGTGACTCCTTGGATGCTTCCAAGACTTTCGATCTTCCCACCTCCTTTCCAGCGTTACCCGGTCTCCTTTCTCCTGCTTTTCCCCTACTTGTGTCCTCTTCACCACGAACATATCTCCATTTCCCACCGAAATTCACCCATCAGTCAATTACATATCCGCCCGCCAGTGTATTATTGCGCCTCTTGCAATTCCCCCCCTCTCTCGATTAGAGGCAAAATTTATCCGATCGGGTTTTTCGTCAGAACCGTCACTGCCCCTCCGTCATCGAGTCGTAACGAGGGTTTGCCTTTGGCCCTTGTTTGTTTATTTCGGGAAGACGTGGGCGTCTCATCGAAGCCGGATAGCATGACGCCAACTCAGCCCCAGAACGTCGATCATCTCGACGGTCTCCTCGATCTCAGCGACTACGACAATATCCCCTCTTATCAGTCACCATCTCTCTCGCCAGTTACGACCAACAAAACAACATTCCCCAACATGCCGCCCATCAACTCCGTCCAGACCCCAACAGTTCCCTCCTCCGCGGCGACGACCACAACCGCCCAACCTACGCTAAGCGGGCCCAGCCATCAGTACGGACTCTATAAACAACAGACCGGCTTTGTCCCTGGAGCCTTAGCGAGCACTCTCGCCGTGAACCAGGCCAACGCGCAAGTATCCGGCTACCATGGCGGCTACAGCGCCGATTTCCTGAACGGCCTAAGCCCCGACCCCAATCTCTTGGATTTCAATACCCTCCCCGGCACGGCTGCCTCGCATGCCTCGCAGGCCTCGTCAAACCCGGTGGACGTGGACAACATGGACTTCGACTCCCCTTCCGACTCTTTCCTCTACCCAGACCTTGACACCATCAACCCGAACTCTCTCACTGGCCAAGAATCACCCGTCGTCCCCTCTCAGCCCAGCAACGTCGGTAGGCTCTGGCCCGGAATGCATACTCAGGCCGCCGCCGCCGCCGCCGCCAACGGCAAAGCCCAGGCCCAGGCTCAGCAGCAGCGACGACAACAGCAGATTCTGCACTCCCAAGGCCAGCAGCAGCACCAGCGTCAGCAGTCCAAATCCAGGACCAAGAGCGCTCAGCCGACCGACCCCATTGTCGAGCAGAAGATCACCCAACTCCTCAATTCGATGCGTGCCCGGCCCATGGGCGAATCGGCCAGTCCCACGCCGGTGATCAACGTGTCTCGACCCAAGAAGGACGAAGATGAGATGGACGAGGACGAGCGACTGCTTGCAAGCGAAGAGGGTAAGAAGTTGAGCAGCAAAGAACGTCGCCAGCTTCGGAACAAGGTATCGGCCCGCGCTTTCCGATCAAGACGAAAAGGTAAGAAGAGAAGAAGAGAAGAAGAAAAGAAAAAAACCAAAGAGAAAAGAAAAAAAAAGGGAGAAAAGAAAGAAGAAAGAAGAAGAAAAAAAAACCCGCCCTCCTGATTCCTCCCCTGCACAATTAAGATGCTGACACCTTTCTTCCAGAGTACATTTCTCAGCTCGAGGCGGAAATCGCGAACAGGATCTCCGAAAATGGCGACTTGCTTGTGCAAAACCGGGCACTTTTGGAAGAGAATAAGAGACTTTCCGACCTTACCCGCATGCTCCTCACGTCACCCTCCTTCTCCACCTTCCTCGATCAGCTCAGCAGCAACCCACAGGCGCCCCTCCCACCGCATCAACTCCAGCATCAGCAGCATCCTCCCGTGCCCTCGCAGGCCCAGCCTCCCGTTAAGACGGAGCGACTGCCCGAGCAACAACAACAACAACAACAACAACAACAACAACAACAACTACAACAGCCACAAACCCCCAAAGACCCGAATCCCTATGGCGTCCAACAACAACAGCACCAGATCGGCATGGCTTTGATCCCCGAGCATGACATGGATTTCCCCCTCTTTAACGCCGCCAACGAGGCCTTCGCTATGCAGCCTCAGGTGTTCGCTGTCGTCGAGACGCCTGAAATGCCCGCCGTTATCGACGCCGGCATGCTCTCCGGCAAGTCCTCCAACTTCATCGGCGAGACGTTCGAGTCGGAAGACGACAAAGTCGACCTGCCCCCACCGGAACTGCCGTCCAAGATGTTCACGCCCGAGGTGGCTGAACAACAACAGACTGAAGCCCAGGAGGAGGCGTTGGACGACGAGTTTGAGAACGATCCCGAGTTTGCCCTCTACCATTCATCGTCATGTCCGCTTTCCGAGTGCCCCGTCGAGCTCGACACGGACGGGTTCAACCACGTCGACATCTTCGGCGGCATAGAGCCCGAGAAGATACTCGCGCGGTACGAGCTTGTCGATGCATCAGAGGAAGAAGAGAAAGCAGCGGTGGCCATGGCTCGGGTGCAACGCATTAGTGCCAGCCTGGAACCTGTCCTCGCCAGGTTAGAGCAGCTCTGTCTGTAGAAACAGGGGATCCTCTTCCGGCTCGTCTCACTCTATTTTTGGTCTTCTACTCAGCACACATCATACTGCTGCTTAACCCCCCCGTTTTCCAGTACTTGAATTTAGTCATCCGGCCTCCAGACGTGGGGAACTTTTGTGTTTTCACGTTCGTACGGCGTTTATGGTGTGGATTGGGCGTTTCTTTTTGAGTGCCAGGGGCATGTTCGCCTCTGCATGGCACGTGTCAAAACTGCAAAGAATGGGAACCGGCATGACTTGACGAATCTGGTAAATTCTTTTCTTTTTTTTTTTTTTTTTTTTAACTGTACCTTTAGGCGTGGACGAAGAAGGACGGTGGATAGGTAGTTGAGTTCGGAACGTACTAGACAGCACGGAGGGAGGAATTGAGAAAAAAAGAATCCTTGAGGCGGTGCCCGTGTCCAATTTGCCGGCAAAACAGATGAATGTTATCGACTCGACTTGCGTAAGTACCATTACCCCGTCCGGCGCCGTAGGTGCTGAGCGAGTGCTCAGTGCGAAGGGGATTATATGTTAAAATAGAAGAAGAAAGACGAAGACAAAAAAAAACAAGTATTCTAATTAGACAGCCCTCGGCTTCACCTTGACAAAGAAATCCACCGGTCTCAGGTTAAACCATCCATCCTGGTCAAGCTGATAGCTCGGATCGGCCATCTCGAAATCCACCTCCCGGATCAGCTTGGTCAGGACGACGATGTTCCAAAGCCAAGCGTAGTGCTTCCCGATGCACTCCCTCTTCCCGTTCCCGTACCACCGCCGCACGCCGAGCGGCAGCTTCTCGTAGGCGTCGCCCAGCATCCTCTCGGGGCGGAAGGCGAGCGGGTCGTCGAAGACGGCCGGGTCGCGGTTCACGCCGGCGAGGACGATGATCATGGGCTGGTTGTGGGGGATCTGGTACTTCCCGCCGGCGAGGAGGACGGGGCTCGTGTCCCCCGCGGGCCGGGGGATGGGTTCGATGTTGAAGCCCGGGGCGGCGAAGGAGAGGCGGAGGGATTCGCGGAGGATGGCTTCGATGTAGGGGAGCTGCGCGAGGTGGGCGTAGGTGAGCTCCCCTTCGCCGTTGGCGTTGGCGAGGACGGCGTCGATCTCCTTGCGCGCGGTGACGATGAGGTCTGGATTCTTGAGGAGGAAGTAGATGGCGGTGGCGATGAGGCAGGGGGCGGTGCTGCTGCCGATGGGCATGGAGACGATCTCGTCGAGGACTTGCGAGTCGGTGAGGGCGTTGCCGGTTTGCGGGTCGGTGCCTTCCATCAGGGCGGCGAGGACGTCGTTGCGGTCGTGGAGGGCGGGGTTCGCTTTGCGGTGGGCCACCATGTCGGCGGCGTAGGACCGCATGGCGCGGATGGACTTTTTGAACTTGCTGCCGTGGACGAGCCAGTTGAGGAGCGCCGGCCTGGCGGGACGTTTCATGGCCTCCGAGGTGGAGTCCTCCATGGCTTGGATCATGGGGTGCTCCGGCCCCGCCAGGCAGTCTAGCTTCTTCCCGTACAGCGCCAGGGTGGTGGCTTCGAGGTTCAGCCTGTTGAGTTGGTCGACCAGGGGGATGGTGTTGGTGGTGCCGAGGCCCTTCCACAGCTGGATGAGCTCTGTGGCGGTGTCGCGCATGTCGAAGAAGCGTTCGGCGATGGACTCGGGGGCGAGCCGGGGCGCGATGATGCGGTGGGCGATGCCCCATGACTCTTCGTGGTCGAAGGCCGTGAAGAGGGCGTCGTGGACGGCGGCTCGGATCTCGACTATGGGCCCGCCGACGTACTTTCGGAATCGCTTCTCGTCGCAGAGCTCCTCGGCCAGCGCGGCGCCGGCTACGAAGACCATGGAATGACCCAGCACCTTGATCTGGAAGATTTCGCCGTATTTTTCCGACAGCTTCTTCAATGAGCCCCAGGTGTTGCTGGTATCAATGTCGAAGACGTTCCCTAAGAGGGGGACGCCAGGAGGCTGGGGGATGGGGTGCGACATGATGTTAGTTGGCTAGCTTTCTACGTTGTATGCCTTTCCAGATTTGAAAAGGGAAGAGAAACAGGGGACGGAACTGCGAGACCAGAGTTACGAAACGACGCGACGGCGGTTGACTCGGGCTTACACTGCCTCTTATGCTTTTCTTCTCATCGGCGTTTCTTCACCGCAACACGGGACACAGCCGTGAGATGGGGGATGAGCACTCAATGGCAATATTTACTCCAATTGGTTAACTGTGGAACAAAAAGGTGCCGATCCATGTCTCAGCCTGAGCTCTGCCGCTGTCCCCCAGCGCTTTGAATTTACACGCACAAAATATCCGTACCTATACCTATTAGCTAGTCCTAGGCACCCGGGGGTGAATGGGAAGAGGAGACGGACGGGAGCTCCCGCGGCGGGTTGTTGGCTGTGCCTTTGAGGGCGTTGGAAGTACGAAGCAGGATCCCAAGGGCGTACTTGAAGAAAAGAAATCCATAGGTTTAAATATTCCAGCACACTGCTTGACCGCCAATTGGTAACGCCCGCCATCCCTGTTGTGAGTGTACATGACCTTCAAGACGGGCTGTGAGACAGCATGGTCAATGACCGACTGTAGAAGGGAAGGCCAAGCCGCCAAAGAGCAGTAAACTGTAAGATCACATCACCAACCGAACCGTTGAAACATCTCATCCCTCCGTCACCCAACGACCTCTTGTACAGGCCATTTGATGTTTCAAGCAATGCGTTGGGTCTTCTTGAATGCGCAGCGACTGTTGAGATGCGGGTTCGAAAGCGCGATAATGCGTATGTAGGCTGCAGGTAGGCACAAGACATTGCCTAGGGTACCGTAGGTAGACCGTAGAAGAGCCAGGATGTAAAAGAGAATCTTTACTCGTCCCCCACCTTCGATTTCCTTTCGTCCCAAAAAACATAATCTTCTTGCTGCTTTGCATACCATGGAGCACACTTCGTACACATAGACACGGGCGGGTTGGGTTGTTGCAACTCGAGAGCGGTTGACGCCACGGGCCGTTGGCTCTTCTTAAAGATTACCTTAGTCATCAGTCCCTTGCCCACCTTAAGGTACCTAGGTAGGTAATTACCGAGGAGGAAGTACGAAGAACCTAAGGTAACGGATACGGAGTACGTACCCCCGCTGAGATTACCTACGATAAGGAGTTGTTTCACGATAAGGATTTTTGCTGGGTAAAATCCTTCGAAGAAAGTTCGAGTATGGGAATCGTCCCTCCTCCAGCTCCACGGTCAGTCGCCTATCTAAGAGTTTTAACAGGTGACAGGTCCTGGGCAACGGCAACAAAATGGGCAAAAGAAAGGTCGGCGCCCTCGAAAAGGTCGACATTGACCTGTACGTGGTCTCCTCGTTTCCTGTTGTCCTTCGCTCTCAACACTCGCTAACTTGATCAACCTCAGCGCGACTCTACAATACAAGATCCGCCGCGACCCCAAGTCATACGAAGACAACTTCCTCCAACAATGGGGCCAATACGAGAGCCAGCGCGAGGTCTTCCTGGTGTCCCCGGCTACTGCGACCCACGAGTACACCAAGTCGTTCCACGACCTCGTCGACCTGATCGCCCATGTGTCCGACTGCTACCGGGAACATGCCCAGTCCTTCCCCGACGACCTCAAGGCCATCCTGCTTCAGCATCACGAGGTGCTTCACCCGGAGTTGCGCGAGAAGATGGTCGGTAGTCTGGTGCTCCTGAAGCGAAAAGATGTCATCGACTCCTCGCGTCTGCTCACGACGCTCTTCCCTATTCTCGTCTCGTCCCCGAGCAAGTCGCTCCGAGCGCTCCTCTTCCAAAAGATTGTCGGCGACCTGCGCAACTCCAACTCCAAGTCCACGAACCACCCGCTCAACCGGACCATCCAAACCGTCCTCTTCAACCTCGTCACCGGCGATCGGACGTCCCCCAAAGCGATATGGGCGGTGAAGCTGACGAGGGAGCTGTGGAAACGGCAGATCTGGACCGACGCCAAGACGGTCGAGGTGATGAAAGAGGCCTGCCTTTCGGACAACGAGAAAGTGGTGGCCGGAGCGACGCGGTTCTTCCTGGGCGGGGACAAGGAGAGGGAGGAGCTCGAGGACGAGAGCAGCGACGACGAAGCCATCGACCTGCAAAAGATGAAACACCAGCTGGGCATCAACAAAAAATCCAAGAAGAAGGCGCACGCGTACCGCAAGGCCGTGGGCAAGCTCCACAAGCAGGAACGGGCGAAGAGCAAGCCGCACCCGCTCAACTTCTCGGCCTTCCACCTGCTGCACGACCCGCAGGGCTTCGCCGAGCAGCTGTTCCAGAAACACCTGCAGAACACGTCGCGGTCCAACAGGCTGAACCTGGAGAACAAGCTGCTCGTGCTGCAGCTCGTCACGCGGCTGGTGGGCCTGCACAAGCTGACGGTGGTGCCGCTCTACTCGTGGTTCGTCAAGTACCTGACGCCGCGCCAGGAGTCGGTGACGTCGGTGCTGGCGTCGCTGGCGCAGGCCACGCACAACCTGGTGCCGCCCGACTGCCTGGAGCCGCTGGTGCAGAAGATCGCCAACGAGTTCGTGTCGGAGGCGGCGGCGGCCGAGGTGGCGGCGGCGGGGCTCAACGCGATCCGCGAGATCTGCGCGCGCCAGCCGCTCGCCATGCAGGACACGCTGCTGCAGGACCTGGTGCAGTACCGCAAGAGCAAGGACAAGGGCGTCATGATGGCCGCCAAGGGCCTGCTCTCGCTCTACCGCGAGGTCGCGGCCGAGATGCTGGCGAAGAAGGACAGGGGCAAGGACGCCACCATGGGTCTCCGGTCCGGCGAGGTCAAGCAGAGGAGGTTTGGCGAGGAGGAGGCGGGCGGCATCGAGGGCTTGGAGCTGCTGGAGAAGTGGAAGGAGGAGCAGCGGAAGTTGAAGCGCGCTGAGAAGGGTCTGCCCGAGGATGGCGGCGAGAAGAAGGAGGAGGGCGGTGGCGAGGAAGTGGAGGATGACGGGTTCAACTCGAGCGACTGGGACGTCGAGTCGGTAGACAGCGACGACTCTGGTGGTTGGATCGCCGTCAGCCACTCCGAAGACGAGGAAGAAGAGGAGAGCAAGCCGGCACCCAAGAAGCGAAAGACGAAAGGCGGCAAAGAGGATGAGGATGATAGTGAGGACGAGGACGAGGACGAGGAGGACGCAAAACTAGACGCCGAAATCCAGAGGATATCCAAGCTGGCGACGACGACGATCCTCACGCCGGCCGACCTGCAGAAACTTCAGGAGCTGCGCATGGAAGCGAGACTGAGCCAGACGCTGGGCGGCAGCAAGAACCGGGCGCAGCGGAAGCTGGAGGAGGCGCTGGCGCGGCACGCGGAGGACGGGCTGACGGCGGAGCAGATCGAGGCGCCGGCCAAGCTCCGCAAGACGACCAAGGAGGAGAGGGTGGCGATGGCGAAGGAGAACAAGCCGGACCGGAACGAGCACAAGAGCACGCAGGCGATCCGCCGGTCGAAGAATGCCGCCGAAGGGAAGAGCACGAGCAACAAGGAGAAGGCGAGGCAGAAGAACTTCCTCATGACGCTAAACAAGGCCAAGCAGAAACAGAAGCGGAGCTTGGTGCAGACGAGGAACGTTTTGCGGGGGCATCTGGATAGGGCGAAGCGTGGTGGGAGGAGGGGGAATAACGGGTAGTCGGGGCCGTCGACCGGTCTACGGTGCGTGTAGTATTATCTACGTATATGAATGGAGAGACGAATGGATTACTTTTATTTTTCCCCTTGTAAAAATCGTTTTATTGATAGGTGTCTTTCATGCCTTGGACATCGACTCAACTCTTGAGCTTGATAGCGTAGTCTGGGAACTACTCTGTAGGGTGAAGAGGAGCAGAGGAGGTTCAGGTAGCAGATGTAGCAGATGTAGCAGATGCAGATACAAGGCAGACAGACATCTAGTGTTAGACTAATAACAGAATAATGAAAAAAATTATATATTTATATATTCGGCCCCTCCATCGTCCAGATCCAATCTCGACATTCATCCGAGGAAACATGTCACACACACAGGTACAGACACCCCCCGTCGGATGAGAGCAAGGAAAATCAATTTTGCACGCCCTTGAAAGCCCAGCGGGGGGCCCGTTTCTGGAGAAAAGCCTCGACACCCTCCTTCTTGTCCCGGGTGCCAAAAGCAAAGTAATAGAGGCTTCTCTCAAAGTCGTCATCCCGGCCGAGGTCGTCAGCTGAGCGGTTGGCGGTTGGCGGTTGGTTAGCTTTGCTGCACGCATTTCTGGTTTCTCCCTTTTTTTTTTTTTTTTTGTTCTCTCCTTTTCTCTCTTCCCCCGGGTTTTGGAATTTTGGGGTTGGACTTGGGTTGGAATATGGGTTTTGAGACAACGGGGTAGTACAATGGGGAAGGGTGGGAATACGAGTAAGTAAGGCTTAAAGAGGGCCGGCTTACATCTGCAGACTGCCTCTTTGGCAAGAGATAGGGCTGTGGGACTCAGGGCCGCCATATTGGCTGCAGTCCTGACCGCATTTTCGAGGACAGTGCCGGGTTCGTAGATCTGTGCTACGAGACCGGCGGCTCTGGCGTCGGCGGCTGAGATGGGCGTTCCGAGGAGGATCATCTCCATGGCCTGTCACGGCATTTCGTTGTCAACAAAAAGGGCTTTTGTCTCAGACATATATCAGGCCATTATAGAGCCTCGAGGAAAAGAGAGAGGCGGGGGAGAAGAGAGAGAGAGAGAGAGAGAGAGAGAGAAGGGGGGGGGGGTTTCAGCTTGCCTTGTATTTCCCTACGGCGTTGGTCAACCGTTGGGTACCGCCGGCACCGGGGATGAGACCGATCGTGACCTCCGGAAGGCCGAATCGGCTGGTCTCGGATGCGAAGATCAGGTCGCACTGAAGAACATCTTTGCATTAGTGTGCGGATAGTGTCTTCTTCACCGCTGAGGTGAAAAGGCAGGAGAGGGAGAAGCATAAGAAAATGACCATCAGCTGATTTATCCATGTATCCGGTATCCCCACTGGTTTGACTTGCGCTTGCAGCTTGTCTCTCTCAGACGGGGTCACCTTGAAGAAGTGATCGACCGCCTTGCAAGAAGGGCGATTCCCGCCATGATAAGTGATAGTGACGATAGTGACGATAGTGACGTTAGTGACGTTAGTGACGATAGTGACGTTAGTGACGATAGTGACGTTAGTGACGGTGATAAGCGCGCCCACTGGCCATAAAGGTGCCCGAAGTAAGGTACGGAGTATGAGGGCTGGGAGCAGCAGGTATCCGGACCTTGGGACCAACGTAAGGTAGGTACCTAAGTGGGTCACTGAGTGTGGGGAAAGAACGACTGCAGCTGACTGCCGGTGGTTCCTGAGGTTTGGGTCCAATGAGGAATCTGCACATGGTCGATACATCTTGACATCTTGTACACTACCTAGGTAGTACACTTGTTTGTACCCAGACCTGAGACTCCTGAAACCCGCCAAGGTCATCAAGTGAGCTCGTGAGTCGTCCCTTCCTTTCTCTTCCCTCCATCATCTCGAGTGAAGCCGACCTGGATTGACTTCATCCAGAACCACCATGGCATCACCTTAATCAAGGGTAGAGTATTGGTAGGTAGTCGTCAAGGGAGGCTTCAAAGCCCTTGTTCGCCTGAAAAATCGACATTTCGTCACATTTTCCCAATTTCTCATCTTCATGTCTCGGAACAGGCGGCGGTAAAAAAAAAAAAAAAAGGAGGGAATTGTTTCTTTCTTACTCACCATCAGCGCGACCTCGAATCCTCCGCCTAGCTGTTTTTGGCCTGTCAATTTTTGCGGTTCATGATGTCAAGGTCTTCGGGAAGAGAATAACGTACAGCCATGCCCTCAACCGCGGCAATGAGTGGCTTGCGGACGTTGCGGATGCCGACGCAAAGGTCCTCGAGATAAAGACATCGACGTGCATCTTCCCCGTCGAGCACGGATATTTCCCTAATGTCGGCCCCCGCTATGGATCCGCGTCAATCAATTGTCGACAGATCCGTGAAAGAAAAAAAAAGGAGGAAATAACCCAACGAACTCAGCTGCGAGGATCTGCGGCACAGCTGCAATGATCTGCGCATTGGCAGGCTGCAATTCTTGTGTGTGTGTGTGTGTGCCGTGGACCTTTCGAGCCGGCGTGGGGACGAGGCGAGACAATGCCTCTTTTTTTTAAAACCACACACAGTGACACAACACATACCTGAGAAGACACCTCCACTGCCCGTCACCACGATGACACGCACAGACTTGTCTGCTGATGCTGACGACAACGCCTCCAGGAACGTGTTGATGAGCTCCTGCGAGAAGGCATTGCGCTTGGCCGGTCGGTTGAACGTGATGACCCTCACGCCGTCACTCGCCATGGACACCGTCACCAGACTATCTGCCGAGGAAGAGATCGAGCCTATCGTCATGATTGCGGCCGTTCGACGATTGAAAAAAGACGGGGTATGCCGAGAGAAAAGAGAGAAGAGAAGACTGCGAAAGGGTAGATGGGAGAATAAGGGGGTGAAGGGACAACTCGAACGACAAGTGACGAGATTCTGTGTGAGTGTGAGTGTGAGTGTCTTTGTTTTGCCTTGTGTGAAGATTCAGAAATGCCCTCGTCGCGTCTTGGCCTCAGCTCGACTTGAACGACTTCTTGTTCTACCAATACAGCCACGACGAACCGGGGGGAGGAGTACGAGGGGCAGCCACGGCCTGAAATAGTTTTTTCGAGCCCTTCCCTTCCAGCGCAAGTACCGCGCCGTTCGAACGGTCGCACAACAAATGTCAAGAAAAGTCGCAACATGATCCACGCAACGGATGCGCCACTGTCGAACCC